AAAGAAAGTCAGGTTTAGCCATTCTCAAAACATTGTTAGCTTGTTACTTATAACTTTTACTGCAAAAGCTGTTTGTAGTGCCATTTGACGAAAGTAAACCGATCAGTTCAACCGTTTGATCAGTTCAACCGAAACAACTTTAGTATAAAGTTCAACTAAACCAAATCAATCACCGAAAACAGTTCAAAAGTGATTCAAGTTATTACGTGATTCTTAAAAAAATGAAGATTTCAAACGGCGATTAGTTGTTTTGATCCCGGAGAACTCTTGAAACGGCGATTAGTTGTTTTGAACTGTCCCGGGGAACTCTCGACGCTCGAAACGAGTCCCATCTCGGGAAAAGACAAAATTTGAGAAAACTCTACCAAAAAAGTGTGACTCAAATCGTAAAAATGTCAAGAAAATCTCCGTTCATCTCAATTTTTCTTATTTTCCTTTTGTTCTCACAAACACAAAAGCTCTCACAAACACAAACTTGGCTTATTTCGGAAAGAAACGAGTTGAGATTTTATCTATGAGAAATATGCGAAAAGATTTGGGATCTTTCAAAATATCTATGGATTTTTAAAGATCATAAAGAGATTTAGCGAATTGGAGTTTTTAAGGGATTTGTGAATGGATTTGGATTGGATTTGGATTGATATTGTCGGCAGTTGGGTGTTGTAATATAATTTCTTAATCAGTTTTATGTATATCGATTAGTCGATTAAGAATCAAAGTAGCGTTTTCTAGATAGTGAGTTGGTGACTACTTTACCGTTTCTAAGCTTTCCCAGAAGCTCAACACTCTAATCCCTCACTAGATCTCATCGTCAGCTACATTTTCCGACTCCACATCAACAGGTTCTGATAAGCGGTTCTCGAGATTTCGAGGAATTTAGGCGAGGCTTAAGGTGCGCTACTATTAGAGAAAATACGGTAGATGGCGACAATATTTAAACAATATTAGGACACCATTAATTAATGAAAGAATGAGAAGAGCTCGACTTTGTCAATCGATAGAGTGCTCACCGTCGAGGCGCCACTTCCACAGCTCGCCATTCAACATTAGAGATTTTACTATAAGATACTCAGATACTTATTCATCTGACGACCACATTTCCTCTAATTTGCATACAAAAGTACATTTCATCTTGCACTAGGTTCCAACTATTTTATATACCGTATTTTCTCTAATAGTAGTGCACTGGGCCGAGTTGATGACTATTTTACGGTTTCAAAGCTTTCCCAAAAGCCCAACACTCAAATCCCCCACTAGATCTCATCGTCAGCTACATTTTCCGACCCCACACAGATAGGTTCTGATAAGCGGTTCTCGACATTTCGAGGAATTTAGGCGACGCTCTTGGTGCACTACTATTAGACTACAATACGGTACTCATAATCGGCTAGCCGGTTATGATTTTCACTAGCGTTTGCTTCAAAAATCGGCTACGACATATAAATGATTAAAGTAAACTGGTTTATCAATCATTTAAAGGATCAAATCCGTTTTGCAGTATTTCAGATAAGTTTTTGAGTATAGCGGGCTGTGAATTTATAGCAAAGTGTAGCCAAATTTAAGGCAAAAATCGATCCCAGTAGTTTGAACATAGGAATCGATTGGAGCTATTCATTTTATTGAGTCTACCAAATTTTAAATCCAAATCGATTGGGTTTAAATTTTAGTTTAATTTAAATTTTGTAAAATTTATTAGCCTATCTTGAAGAAGAGATTCGAAAAGTCATAAAAGTGAGATCATAAAAGTCAAAATGATCAATCTTGTGCACCGTTTTGATTAAGACAAATGAATTGATCAATTTTGAATGAACATTTTGACAGAAAGTAACTTGATGAGTAAATGATCATTATTATTCTCAAAGAGCTTACCTTTCATTTTACCGTGATTCTTGTCGCAAATCTTGAAAGTTCAAAGTCGATTAGTTCAAAGCTCCAAGAAAGTTGGAAATGTCTATTTGCGAAGCCAAGAATCCATTTGCGAATTCAAGAATCTCGCGAGAATCCATTCCATTTCCATTTCCATTTATTGGGTCCAGAAGGGATTTGTCTCACGTGCAGTTTCGTTTGTAGAAATCAATGAACCGAATCCCATATTGACGTTTAATGGTCTTTTCTTGCGTCAGAGATTCGTCAATCTTTGGCAAAGTGAGGAATTTTGAGAATTTCATGAAAACATTCTTTTCTTGATGACCTTGACTTAATTTGACGAATCTGTCAAGTTTAGGGATCATTGATTTTGTGACAAATCAATGATCAAAAAAAGTTGCAATCTGGCAAATATCAAATTTCAATGAAAATCAATGAAATTTCGATGAAATTTCCGACTCACAAAGCGGATTGAAATTTCCGAATCACAAAGCGGGACCGTTAAAAGGCCTCCCTCCGCTCTATTCAATGCCAGAGCGTTTCGCTCGAACGCGACATGTCGAGGGTTCAATTCCCGCAATTTTAAACTTTTGCTTTTAGCCGTTTACTAATGAAATATTAAAATGCTAATTTATGCTGCTTGAATGCTAACAAAAAGCTGTTTGAATGCCAACAAAAAGCTGCTTCAATGCTGCTTGAATGCTAACAAAAAGCTGCTTGAATGCTGCTTGAATGCCAACAAAGTCTATGATTTCGGATTCATTTTTCTTTTTACCTTTTTTGATTATCCTTTGATTTTATTGCATACTTTTATTGCATACATTCGTTTTTTTTAGGATGAAGTCTTTTCTCAACCAACTCGACGCGTATCAAGTCTACTAGAGAAATCGCAAAGCTGTTGGGCCGCAATCACAATTGCATTCGACGTTATTTAAAGAACAAGAACGTGACCACTCCTAAAAAGAAGACTGGGCCCAAACCTCAGCCTACATCTCGAGCTAAGCGTCACATTGTGAATTCAATTCATGGAAAGTCTATCAATAAGGCCAAAAATGAGCTGAAAATCGATGCTTCTAAGACAACAATCTGGCGTGTCGCCAAAGAAAATCCTCATATCGATCGTGAACGCCTAAAACAACAGCCTACCTTAAAGCAAGAGCATAAGAAAGCCCGTCTAGACTTTACCACAAATCATATGAACTTGATTTTTCTTTCATTTTTACGGATTCATTTTTCTCTTTACCTTTCAAATCAAAAGCCTGCCTTAAAGCAAGAGCAGAAGCGAACGTATCTACTAACGATGACCTAAAGTTGATCGGAAATCTCAAGCGGAATGCAACCACCACAAAGAACTCGACTCGGAAAATCGCCACCGCTATTGGCATTGGATCAACTTCGGTTCGACGAATCCTCAAGAAAGCTGGATTCAAGGCAAGAAAAAAAATAGAAGGCATGAGCGATGAAATGAGAAAGAAACAGTTGGACCGATGTAAACAACTAAAAAGACGTTTTGCTGCAAACCATCGTCGTCAGATTCTCTTTACTGATGAGAAGTGGTTTGACGTCGAACAGGCGCATAACAGTCAAAACGACAAAAGCTACTTCCATTCAATGATAGGATTTCTTTCAAAGCAACAAAAGTCATAACAAATAATGATTTGGGCAGGAGTTACGTACAGTGGAAAAACATCATTAATTTTCATTCCCAAAACGGTTCATTTCTGGTTTCTTACACTTAAAAATTCATAATTTTGCTTAAAATCATCATTTTTTTAAAATAACTGCTTAGTTTTTATATTAAAATATCTTAGACGCATCTTTCTGCAAAGGAGGAAAAAATGTATATGTTAAGTCCTATCTAGAAATCCATTCGATGTAAAATCAAGCCGATCACTCTAAATCGAAGTCTGGATCGGAGGTCTGATTTAGAGTGATCGGCTTGATTCTAGATCGTACGTTTGACCTCACTTCACTCTGGATCGGATGTCTGATCTAGAATTAGTCTAGATCAGACGTTTGAGATAGTTGATTTCTATGTGAGAGAGTCGCTTTAACTACCGCAAGAATGCAATACGGTAGTTCGTCTTTCTTTGTCAATTCTCGAATTATAGGTTTTATAAATTTTCAGGTACGGTATTCTAAGAAACAAGCATGCTTTATTTTGAAAACTTATCGTACTTTTTTGCTAGAGCAAAGCAAACGGTAACCCGTCACAATAAGCCCATTTGATTCAGTGTTAAGGCTGGAGATTTTCCTTTGTGGCCTCAAAGGAAAATCTCCAGCCTTAACACTGAATCAAATGGGCTTATTGTAATGATAATGAACCCATGAACCCAAAATTATAAACACATTATCTGAGCACAATTGAAATCTGTTCAAAAACATTCACACATTTCTTGCAATGCAAGTCCTCTAAAAAGAGGCTAAGCGTCATTTTTTCTTCTCTCATCGTAAGTTTGCACAGCTTTTGTAGAAAAAAATTGGGATATTATCGCAAAATACGCTAACGCTTTGGAATTTTAGCTTTGTTCAAAGAAAATGTGGACGAAAAGAGAAAAACGCAAAAACGATTTTATACTAGTGATTTAAATTAGTTTAATGATATTCAGTTAAACAACTGAATATCTTATTTTAGCTGAATATCTTGTAAATAATAGATGGGCTTTTTTTATTCTTGTGGAAAGCTTTACTCGTTTTCAAGTTCTAGTTGTGTTTTTGGATTTGGTTTAAGCAATCATTAGTAGTTAGTAGTCTCATTAGTAGGACACTCATTAGTAGGACAGAAATCTAAATAACAATTTTATAGTGGTCACCAATTCACTCACTAAACTTTCAAATTTTCGAATTTTTTGAGAATTTCTTCTTTTCGACTTTTCCCCTCTATGGCGACGTTGCACATCAGCATTTTTGCGTTGGCAATGGAAGCTTTTATGAGAAAAAATAGCGAATACGCGTCCTATGAACATTTCGGTCAAAAACTTCCTCTTTTCTTTCCCAAAAGGCGCAATCGATTACGCATTGTAATCAGGCAACGCGGCGTGGCTTTCGATAATTTTAGGGTTTTGCTTTTAATTTGTTTTTGATCAAGAAATCTATAATTCTATATTTTTAGGTTTCTGGATTGAACTAATTTGATGTCACGCCTCTTCTTGCGATATGTTGTTCCACGTCGAAAGGAAGGAATCATTAACATAGTTGATTGTTTTGACATTTTTGGTTTTAAATCAAGCTTAGGCAATTGTTTGCTTGCTCCTGTTTGGATTATATCTTTATGCTAACAAGAAAAGTAGACATGATTCGGCTGTTCAAGTGCAACAAGTACAACATCATCCCAGGGACATTGGAGAACAGGTAGGTTTTTCTGTTTTTAGAATCAAACTAAGATCAAATTATGCTGTTTTATTCCAAAAGACTTGTGAAAAAGAATAAGTCAAAGTAAATTTGATGCTTGTACTTTAACTCACTATATTTATGCTAGCTTTGTTGAAACTGATATTGCTTTAAAAGTCAACTTTAGAATAGACCTGGCGCTCGCTACATCCGTCCCGACTACTCGAAAAGCCGAACTGGCCCGGGAGAAAATGGGCATGCTGTCGTCCCGGGTGCTGATGAGAACGAAGCCGTAGAGAAAGATATGAAGGATTGGTTTATGAATGTACATGCCAGGTAGGCCATTGAGGAAGATAGATAAATTCTAAATTTAGCGATAAAATCTCCTTGGATCGTAGCATTCCGGATGTGCGCCGTGAAGAATGTCGAAAGATTCAATATGACCTCAAGACGCTGCCCGATGCATCGGTTGGCTTTAAAATTGGATTTGGAGTACGAAAGGTTAGGTGGTGATCATTTTCACGGATGAAGCATGGACCCCGTTGATACGCACGGTGCATTCTGTCGTCAATAGAAGTCCTCCCGAATTGCTGCGCGAAGTTATCCTTCTTGACGATTTTTCACAGCGAGGTTATAATTTTCGTTATCTGCCTTTTGTAAACATTTTACATTTAGAGGAACTGAAAGGACATTTGGATGAGTACGTGAAACAATTTGATGGCCTCGTCAAGATTATTCGCAGCGACGTTAGGCTTGGGCTTATTCGTGCAAAACTCTTGGGAGGTGGACGGTTAATTTTTAATTGCATAATGAGTTTTTAGGAAAACATGCAACAGGTGAAGTCGTTGTTTTTCTCGATTCCCATTGCGAGGCCACTATTGGCTGGTAAATCAAACAATTTAAATAAGCCTATCAATTTTAGGCTTGAACCCATTGTCGCTCGAATTCAAGCAAAACCTTCAGCAGTTGTATGCCCAATCATTGATCACATTGACGCAAAAACTTTGGCATATTCAGGTTAGTTGAATAGCTGAATAACCGAATAACTGAATTTGCATAACAAACTTGATTCTTAGGTGATCCGTATGCAACGTCAATTGGAGGGTTTTCTTGGGCTCTTCACTTCACTTGGGAAGGAATGTCAGAAGCTGAGAGAAGTCGACGCACGTCGGATACGCAAGAAATTCGGTAGGCTGTTACTTTAATATACCGTATAAGTAAGTTCCTGTCAAAAGGTCTTTAATCCTTAAAAGGAAAATAAACTTAGGTAAAAAAACAAATTTTTCTTGAAAAGAAAAATTAACTTGAGAAACACCGACTTTAGGTCCCCAACTATGGCCGGTGGCCTTCTCGCGGCTAATCGAAAATATTTCTTCGATGTTGGTGGTTATGATGCAGAAATGGACATTTGGGGCGGTGAAAATCTGGAGATCTCGTTTCGGGTATATAATAGTGAGTTGTAACATAATTTTCTGTCCTTAGGTTTGGATGTGCGGAGGATCGATAGAATTCATCCCATGCTCTCATGTTGGACATATCTTCCGTGCTGGGCATCCATACAACATGACTGGACGTGGAGGCAAGACTTATCTAAAGTCTGACCAGTACATTTTCTTATAGGAAACAAAGATGTACATGGAACGAACTCCAAACGACTTGCTGACGTGTGGATGGATGACTATAAACGACTCTATTACTTGCACAGACCGGATTTGAGGGTCAATTTTTTCAGTTGGATTAAGAAATAAAATATTTAGACCAAAGATGTTGGAGACATTTCGGACAGGAAAGCTCTTCGTGAAAAGCTGCAATGTAAATCGTTCAAATGGTTTGTGGGTTTATGTAACCGTTTTAACAAGTATTTTAGGTATCTTGATAACATCATTCCTGGCAAATTCGTGTTGGATGAGGATGTGCTTGCATATGGAATGGCAAGTTTTTGACGAATTAATTTGAATGGCATTTTCTTAAGGCTTTCACCAAAGTCAGTGGCGTTAAAATGTGTCTGGATACCCTGCAACGGGACGAGAAGCTCAGTCAAATGTTGGGCGTTTACCATTGTCAATCTGGTGGCAGTTCGGCCCAAGTGGGTTTTTGGAAATTCCAGTATTAATCGGTATATCCTAAATAAAGAAGTTCAATATTTATATCTTTTGACTACTTTGACTGCATTCAGGTATTTTCCCTCTCCAACCAACGCCACTTGCGACGAGAAGATAACTGTGCTCAAGTCGAGAAGGGAACACGAGAAGAAACTGGTAGAATTCGCATGCAAAGCTGTGCTATTAATCCACAAACATGGACTCAAAAGGTGCCTTTGGATTGCCCAGTTTTATGTAGCTCTTGCAAGATTAACTGCGATTGTATATTCCCAGAAATTTTTTTGTTTAGGGCTCTCAACTTGTCAACGATGCAACGGGACTTTGTTTATCAACGAAGGATCTAAAGCCTGGAGATGATGTAATAGTTGTCAGGTTGGTACAAATTTTCGACTAACTTCAACAGCCCATTTTAGTTGTGATTCGTCGGACGCTCATCAACTTTGGACATTCCAGAAACCATAATTTTTCAAGTTTGTGTGCCTCTTTTTGTATTTATTTTTTACGAGTATTTTAACTTTTGTCATTCAGGCTATTACTACCAAATTCTTTGATTTTCCTGTGATATCTCCAAACCTCCTGTGATATCTCCAAATTTATGGAGCACCGCCCATTTGCACAACTTTTTTGGCCTCTAACCCTACGACCTTTTGGTCTATTTAGACTATATGGGTATCAAAAAATCTTCGCACATTTTTCTATCATAATAAGCTTACAGAAAACAAAAATGATGAAAAATAAGAAAGTTATGAATTTTTTATGGTCGGGAAGCCACCTTTCAGTTTTTGAGACTAATTCAATTGTAACTTTTATTCTATTTGATCGATTCGAATGAAATAGCTACCAAAATGTAGCTCTCGATGAGATCTAAAAATATCCGAAAGAAAATTGGCAAAAGGAGTAGAGATGAGCAAGCAGTAGCCCAAAAAGATTGCTTTTCTCATTTTTAACTTTGAAAAAGAGACTTAAAACGCTCCGAAATCTATCACCTCTACTCCATTTGCCAATTTTCTTTGGGATATTTTTAGAACTCATCGAGGGCTACATTATGATAGAAAAATGTGCGAAGATTTTTTGATAACCATATAATCCAAATGCCGTAAAAACTCTAATAGAAGCTCCCCATAGGAGCATCGCGTAGTCTAAGTTTACTCTCAAACAAACGCTCGACACCAGTACGTTTGTTTCTGCGCGCTTGGATATCAAATTAAAGTAGAGAGGATGGGTGCTTTTTTGAAATACAACATATTTTTAGCATTAATCAGCGCTTAGAAAAAAATGATGGAGAATTAGCAAAAAAGAGGTGATTTTCGTCGAAGTTGTGCAAATGGGGGTGCCCGTATTTATTTATCCCAAAGTGGTCAAATCATAAAGCTGCTGTGATATATTTTTTCGGGGCATTTTTGGAAAGAGCTTTTAGGTTTTATTGGTTAGGCATTGTTATGGATTGATTGTGCAATTTCTTTGAGTAACCAAATGAATTTTCTAGTCATATGTTTTTAATAAAGTTTTTATGGTTGTTTACATATTGAGTAAATGGCTTAGACCATTAAAATTTCTTATTGGATTGGTTGGACAATTTTGTTTTTCGTCAACTTGCCGGATGTGGTGCAATTGCTTAAATTTTCCAGTTGTACACGTTACGAAAAGTGGATCTTTGCGATGCTTTTTTACGATTATATAATTCATCTGATTACTTACTAATGTTTCTTTACGAGTTTTTACTAAGTTATTAATTTAAAATTCTAGGCAAGATGGCGGATGTTGAAGTTGCCGAGGCGCCCGTTGCCACCAGGGACATCAATAAACCGGAGTTATACGGACCTGGTCCAAGCGAGGGGGTCACCTATCCACTCGTCGTTCAGTATTGTGGTGGTAAGTTATTTTTCTACTATTCGGTTATACCCAAAATCTATGGATAACAAACATGTGTCACTTTGAAATGTTTAAATGCGCCAAAATTTAATTATTTATTTTTTAGCGTGCACTTTGCCATTCGAATACTGCGAATATGCTGGAATGAAGGACACTTGTCGGTAAATTTATAATTTCACAACTTTTAACTGATGTTTTTAGCGAATGGGCTGAGAAGAACATTCCTGAGTTAATGCAAGATTTGGATATTGCGGTGAGTGCTAATGTTTCACTAAAAATAGATTTGTAATTTTATAGGCGAAAGACGATCAAGAAGATGAGGACAAGAAACATCAAAAGAGGGGCGGAAAGGGCAGCAAGCCGGTAAAAGTAAATAATTAAATAAAAATGCTTGGGTTGTTTAAGGGCGGTAGTGACAAGAAGAAAGCGGCTACTGGCCCTTCGAAAGTCACCCTCCAAAGGGAGCCTCGTCGGGAAAAAGAGCGTCACTGTTATCCGCGGACTTGGTGCTAACGGTTGGTCACTTTATTCGATTAATGGTAAAACGGTAAATGGTTTTTAAAATAGAGTGTTTAAATACAGGGTGTTCAATAAAAAAAACGTTTTCAAACCGGAATTCCTCAGAATTTTGAGTGGCTAGAGGTGGTCGGTGTGGTGTCATAGTGAATCATTTGTGCTCCAAAATTTCTCATATTTTTTCACGAAAACACCATGACTCGATAGAGGTATCATGAGATTATGGGTGCCACCATGGTCACCACCATGAGACCATCAATAGGGTGAAATTTTTACCATAAGGATCCGCTACTAAGTGGCTACGAAGTATCCGCACGTAGTTTTTGGCTTATTGAGATTTTAGCGATAAGGGTTTATTCTTTACAAAAGTACAACCAAAAAATTGCAAGTTTTTTGTATTTCAGAAAATCATCATAATTTTCTGAGAAATTGTGTAGTTCTATAGTTATGGCCCCTTTTCACCCAAAAAAGGGCCCTGCACCGCCGCTCGTTGATTTGAAAGTTTGCTCTAAAATATCTGTGCAAAAAGGCGTGCCAGCCGGATCCACCAAAGTTAAATTTAATTAATTTTATAACACCAATTTTTTGAGTCATAAAACTTTTTGAAAGCACTGGAAGGATGTCATGGAAACTCAATTCTGCCGTTTTTTGAGTGGCCTAAAAGTGAAAGTTTTAAAAGGCTTGTAAAAAAACACTTTTTTCCTTTGTTTTTTGTTTGGACCCATTTTGAAAGTTTTAGAAAACATTTCAGACAATTATTAAACAATTTAGCAGGGGGCCAGGCTAATACACAAAAATTTTTCTCTAATGAACCTCAAACTTGAGTGCGGCGCTGAGCCCTTTTTTGGGTGACACAAAAGGGTCATAACTATAGAACTACACAATTCCTCATAAAATTATAATGATTTTCTGAAACTACCGAAAATTTTCAACTTTTTGGTTATACTTTTGTAAAGAATAAATCATTATAGCATTCTCAATAAGCCAAAAACTACGCGCGGATACTTAGTTGCCACACCGTAGTTGAATAAAGGCGACTAAATCTTAATACTTATATTTAAAATTTAGGCATCGATCTGAAACAAGCATCAAAACAATTCGCCTCGAAATTTGCTTGTGGAAGCTCTGTAACGGCCGCCGACGAAATCGTTATTCAAGGAGATGTTAAGGATAATTTAATCGACTTGATACCCGAAAAATGGCCGCAGGTATGTGTTTAATGAAAATTGAAATATGAATCCATTTTAGATTGAAGCTAATTTAATCCAAGATCTTGGAGAGAAAAGACGATAAATTCGCTTGATGGTAATTCCTTGTTGTTGGTGGTGGTCAAGTTTGTGATTCAAATTAGAAAATTCTCTTTAATGGTGTTTTATCTTTTCAATTTCTATCGGTGTTGTTTTACTTTATGAATAAACAAGTAGATAAATAAATTTCACAAAATAAAAAAATTTAGTACCCATAATAGAAGAAGTTCGAATCGCTGTGAATTGTGAAAAAAGACCAAAGAAAAGTATTGCAAAGGTGGAAATGGCAATTAGAAGGACTCAAACTTGTTTAATCGTTTCTAATGTCCAATCAACAATTTCCTTAAGTGACTCTTGAGCAAGATAAAGTTCATTGTGAAAATTGAGCATTGCATGAAATCCCTTTTCATAATGAATCCATTTGGAAGAGATACCCGCAGCGACTAGACGTTGATGATAGAGAACTCCTGAATAAAATAACTTTTACATGAATCGGTCAAGTTTGCTTCATAAAATCAAGAATGTATTTGATGGAGCTTTGAAGATGAGGCAAGAACGTACTTTTCAGCTAGATATTTGCAGTTTGCAACTTGCAGCTAGATAAAGTTTGCGATTTGCAGCATGGCTAGGGATTTTACGGGCTAGCGATCAAAGGATTTTTTTGTGGGCTTTTTGTGGAACTCACCTTCATCTCGAAGGATATCGAATTGGCATGTGACGATGAGAGTTGTCGGGAGATTGGTGAGATTTCGTTGCACCAATGGAGCGAACGATGGATCCAACAAGTGTTCTTCCATCAGAAGCTGAAAATTGTTGCAAGTTTTGAAATTTTTTAATGAATTCAAATCAGAAACCAAGAGCACAATAGTTTTTTTTTGAGATTAGCTAATGTAATCAAATCGCAGACTCACCATCGCTTCTCTATTAGCTTTCATTGGCATTTTCTTCTTGATCTTGTGATCGAGTTGTTTGGGAAGTGATGAGAAATCAAAAATATCGGAAGTCTCGCGTTGAACTCGATCAGAGAGATGACCATTTGTGATAGCCGAATGGGCTAACTCGGGGTTCTTCGATACGTCAATTCCAGCATACCACATGTAGTAATAAGCAAGGGAAGTTGGATCTGAATTGGAGCTGAATTGGAACTGAATTGGAGCTGAATTGGAGCTGAATTGGAGCTGAATCTTATCGAATTTTAGCTTCTAAGTTTAATAGACTAAACAAGTTTACTGTTAGATACTAAGAAAATAGGTTTTTTGTTGATGAGCTTTGTTAATGCTTTGTTGATGAGCTTTGTTATTGATGAACTTTGTTGTTGAGCTGCTTTTCCAGCTTACCAACAAGAGCATATCCATTGAGATCGCGGTGAAAGTGAAGAAATGATTGAGTTTGAAGATTGTGAAATTGAAGGAGAGGGTAGAGGAGAACCTGGACAAATAAGCTAATAAATCGAAGCTAATAAGTTTTTTCTTGAACCTGTCCAGCTAAACGATACTCAGGCTTGGCGCGAAGGCGTTGTGCCGTGGCGGCTATCAGATTTCCTCCAGCTGAATCGCCCATTATCACGATTTTGTCCGGGTCCACCTAGAAATAAAAATCGTTATTTGGATAGCAGTTTTAAGGTCGGTAAAACAAGAACAATAAAAAGTTACCCCATAATCTCTTGAATTGTCGATGAAATCGATCAAAGCTCGTTCAACATCTTCCAAGCCGCCTGGATAGATTGTTTCTGGAGCTAAGCGATAGTTGACAGAGATCACTACGGAGCCAAGCCTGAAAAAGTTTCAGTTTCAGTTTCTCAGGTGTTTGACGTGTAAATAGTAAGCTGGAGGATCGGTAATAGTCTAGAGCGGAAGCGCCTAGAGCGGAAGCGCCTAGAGCGGAAGCGCCTAGAGCGGAAGCGCCTAGAGCGGAAGCGCCTAGAGCGGAAGCGCCTAGAGCGGAAGCGCCTAGAGCGGAAGCGCCTAGAGCGGAGGCGCCTAGAGCGGAGGCGCCTAGAGCGGAGGCGCCTAGAGCGGAGGCGCCTAGAGCGGAGGCGCCTAGAGCGGAGGCGCCTAGAGCGGAGGCGCCTAGAGCGGAGGCGCCTAGAGCGGAGGCGATTTTTTTTCTAAAATCTTTAAAACCACTTTTTCTGGCATAATTTTATGTGTAGATTCCAAAAAACACAAATAAAGCTTGGGAAAATGTGTTTTAAACCAAGTTTCAGGGCTCCAACGTGTGCGCTTCTATAGTGTACTTCACTATATGAAGCCCCGGCTTCTAGTGTACTTCACTTCTAGTCTATCGACTATTGGGGCAATTTTCAAGGTCAAAACTAAAGCCAAAATAATTTTTAGCCACGAAATACTCATTTTATAACTAAAATTAACTTGTAGAGGCAAAAGAAATTGAAAAAAAGATGGTTTTTGAGTTTTTGACTTATGTGAGGGACTATATATCGTATTTTCTCTAATAATAGTGAGCGTTGCCTAAATTCCTCGAAATCTCGAGAACCGTTTATCAGAACCTATTGATGTGGGGTCGGAAAATGTAGCTGATGATGAGATCTAGTGAAGGATTAGAGTGTTGAGCTTCTGGGAAAGCTTTGGAAGCCGTAAAATAGTCATCCACTCGGCCCGGTGCACTACTATTAGAGAGAATACGGTAGATTTGGAATGAGCATAAAGTTCTGCGTCGAATGGTATAGGTTGCATAGCATTTGACCGGCTCAACCTTCCCTTGTCCATTAAATCAGGATATCAGAACCTTCCCTTGTCCATTAAATATCTTCGCCATCTACCGGATTTGGTTTCTTATCTGTCTAAATCTGGCTCGTTATCTCTCTAGATTTGGTTCCTTATCTCTCTAAATTTGGTTTCTTATTGCTACAAATCTGGCCCCTCATCTCTCTAAACTTGATTCCTTTTCTCTCGTAATTTGGTTTCTTATCTGTCTAAATCTGGTTCGTTATCTCTCTAGATTTGGTTCCTTATCGGCTCAACTTTCCCTTGTCCATTAAATCAGGATATCAGAGCTTTCCCTTGTCCATTAAATATCTTCGCCATCTACCGGATTCTCTCCAATAGTAGCGCACCTTGAGCCTTGCCTAAATCCCTTGAAATCTCGAGAACTACTTATCAGAACCTATCGATGTTGGGTCGGAAAATGTAGCTGACGATGAGATCTAGTGAAGGATTAGAGTGTTAAGCTTCTGGGAAAGCTTTGAAGCCGTAAAATAGTCATCAGCTCGGCCCAGTGCACTACTATTACGGTAGTCAAAATTTAAAATGTTTATTTTGCTTTAATTTGTTCAGAAACGTAATCAATAGGTTAAATTATGCTAAAAGAAGTGTTTTTGACTTCAAAGAAATCTTTTGGTAGTAATTTTTGAGCTGAAAGGAGCTCGTTTACGTTTGCTAGAAGGAGCTGGTACTCTATATCTCAACGGGTAACTAAACCGGGTAAAACAGCTAAAGAAAACTTTAAAATCTGGAGCAATTTGCAAAAGTAATCAAAGATTTAACCCTTTTCAACTCACATTTTCGCCATTCTTCTCATCAAACCCTCGTAAATCGCTGTATTTCCAAGCACAAAGCCTCCGCCGTGCACAAAGAAAACCGCGCCATCAGTGGTGCGATTGAATTTTGGAATGTAAGTGCGAACCTGGAGTTTGGGGTTTTTAGAAAGCTTGGAGTCTTTAGAAAATTGCTTTGATTCACCTCAATGTTATCGAAAAATTCGGTGGCTAATTTAAGATCTGGATGAGAATCGAAAAGGATTCGTGGATCGATTGTCCTGGCAAGAGAATTTAATACCAGACGTGTCCATGTAAGTCGACAAGCCGCATTTGGACACTAAACTTTCGTTGACGTTAAGTTTAACTGTACTGTTAACCCATATTCACAATTTAAAGACAATTTCAGAGATTATTGGCACTTATTCGAAGGAAGCAGCTTTAAGAATAGGTCATCAAAATAGGAAGCTTATTGGAACCGTATTGGAAGCGTATTGGAACCGTATTAGATCAAAATAGGAACCGTATTGGAAGCGTATTGGTAGCGTATTGGAAGCGTATTGGAACCGTATTGGAAGCGTATTAGATCAAAATAGGAACCGTATTGGAGCCGTATTGGAACCGTATTGGAAGCGTATTGGAACCGTATTGGAACCGTATTAGATCAAAATAGGAACCGTATTGGAAGCGTATTGGAACCGTATTGGAAGCGTATTGGAAGCGTATTGGAAACGTATTGGAACCGTATTGGAACCGTATTAGATCAAAATAGGAACCGTATTGGAGCCGTATTGGAACCGTATTGGAAGCGTATTGGAAGCGTATTGGAACCGTATTGGAACCGTATTGGAAGCGTATTGGAAGCGTATTGGAACCGTATTGGAACCGTATTGGAACCGTATTAGATCAAACTAGGAACCGTATTGGAAGCGTATTAGATCAAAATAGGAACCGTATTGGAACCGTATTGGAAACGTATTGAAACCATATTGGAACCGTATTAGATCAAAATAGGAACCGTATTGGTAGCGTATTGGAAGCGTATTGGAACCGTATTGGAGCCGTATTGGAACCGTATTGGAAGCGTATTGGAACCGTATTGGAACCGTATTAGATCAAAATAGGAACCGTATTGGGAATTACAAGGGAATGGTTTAAAGTTAATGTGACTGTTTGGGATGAATCATACCTCATTCGATAGAGCTCATGATGAATATTGATGAATATTGATGATTAATGAATGTTCAATGAATAATTAGCTACCAAAAGAAGAAGATTAGCTACTAAAAGAAACTCTACAACAAGAAATAGAGACGACAAGGATCAAAAATGACCTTTTTTAGACCCTCCTTGATCGGCTGAAACTTTTTACTGAATAAACATTTTTAAATAATCTTTCTCGCATGTAATAGAACTTGAATAAAACTAAAAAATAAACTTTTATTAATGATAGAAAATTTAGATCTTTCTATAAAAAAGATCTGACTAAAATCATGCTCAAAATTTTTTTGGCTTTAGCTTTCAATAGCTTTAAAATATAAAAGTTTAGAAAGACTTTAGGAATCAAATTTCACTATTTTTTAGTTTCATTCAAGCTCTATTAAATGCAAAAAAGACTATTAAAGAATATTGCTTCAGTAAAAAGTTTCAGCCCGGTCAAGGAGGATCAAAAGCATCATTTTTGCTCCTTGTCGACTCTATTTCTTGTTGTCAAGTTATTCATCATGAGATTCAATATTTATCAATCATCAATATTTCCCAATATTTATCATGAGCTCTATCGAATGAGGTATTCATCCCAAACGGTCACCGCTACTTCTGACCGAATGGTTGTCAGTGTCTGGGTTCTAGTCTGGGTTCTAGACTGGGTTCTAGTCTGGTTCTAGTCTGGCTTCTAGTCTGGTTCTAGTCTGGGTTCTAGTCTGGGTTCTAGTCTGGTTCTAGTCTGGTTCTAGTCTGGGTTCTAGACTGGGTTCTAGTCTGGGTTCTAGACTGGGTTCTAGTCTGCTTCTAGTCTGGTTCTAGTCTGGGTTCTAGTCTGGGTTCTAGACTGGGTTCTAGTCTGGTTCTAGTCTAGGTTCTAGACTGGGTTCTAGACTGGGTTCTAGTCTTGGTTCTAGTCTGGGTTCTAGTCTGGGTTCTAGTCTGGCTACAGATCCTAGAACCTAGAGTTCGCTGACTACAATAATACAAATTATAGAATAAACATGGAATGAGGTATAATATTTATTATATAAAGAAAGCTAAAAAGCTTAACAATTGCTGTTTTCTTTTGAGAATTAGATTCTTAAAAGAACGAGTAACGGTGAAACTTAAAGAAAAAAGTGAGAATGTTTAGAGTGGGCTGCTTTTTATAGGTCTATAGGTCTATAGGTCTATAGGTCCATAGGTTTATAGATTTTTATATGTCGGAACATTTTCAGACAGACCACGGTACGTTTAGTGTTTTTTAGTACCGTAAACGATCTGTTAAAACGAGATACGGTGATTTTCAAAAGAAAAATTGCAATTGTTGAGTTTTATGAAGTCTAATCGTAATAGAGTGACGCTGTTTTCGAAATTTTTCATTGAAAACTCACCAATTTATCCGCTGGCCAATAGTAAGTGACGCGGAGTGCCGGTTCAATCAAATGCATCGTAAATTTGTCAAGAAATTTTTCAGTGAAATCTTCGGGTAACGGTTTGTACAAAGTCCACGCGATCAGGCTCACCAGAAATGCTGGAAACATGCGTTTTAAATTGAAATTATTGAATTTACTACTAAATTTACTAATAAATTGCTTCTTAAAGCCTCAGGCGCTGAGCCAAGCGCTGAGCCAGGCGCTGAGCCAGGCGCTGAGCCAGGCGCTGAGCCAGGCGCTGAGCCAGGCGCTGAGCCAGGCGCTGAGCCAGGCGCTGAGCCAGGCGCTGAGCCAGGCGCTGAGCCAGGGCTGAGCCAGGCGCTGAGCCAGGCGCTGAGCCAGGCGCTGAGCCAGGCGCTGAGCCAGGCGCTGAGCCAGGCGCTGAGCCAGGCGCTGAGCCAAGCGCTGAGCCAGGCGCTGAGCCAGGCGCTGAGCCAGGCGCTGAGCCAAGCGCTGAGCCAAGCGCTGAGCCAAGCGCTGAGCCAAGCGCTGAGCCAAGCGCTGAGCGCTGAATGTTTATGTGCTTTTTGTAAATAATAGAAATTAGACCCTGCGCCAAAATTACGGCTCCACCTTTTCAGCAAATCGCATGCCAAACGCTGCAATCAATTCAAGAACCCTAAGTGTTATATAGAGAATTGAAGTCTTTATTCTTGTCTACATTTCTGTACAAAAAGTTCTTTGATTAGAGTTTTGTAGCCGATTTTTCAGAAGATCGAATGTCTCCGATCAGTCTCCGACGTGATTCCATTTTTAGCTGTTTTCTAACTCAAAAACTTGTATGTAGGAAGAATTTTTCTTTAGTAAAAGCTTTAGTAAATATTTCCAACAAATTTACAGCTTTAGGACAGCGCGTACGGAGATAAAAACTGAGAATTGAACACCTCCAAAAGCCAAATTTCGCCAGAATCACCGAACATTCAAAGAGGGCTACCTTTAACTTAAGTTCTAGTTAGGTTAACATTGTCAAAACACTTTGGTGTTATCATCGTTTTTTATACCATTCAAAATGCAATCTTTTCATGTATTAAACAACCAGGAAATTCTTCTTAGAATCTTCTTTTTTAGTTAGAAAACAGCTAAAAATAAAAGCAGATCGGAGACTGATCGGATTGGGTTCATTTGATGGTCTGAAAAATTGGCTACAAAACTCTAATCAAAGAACTTTTTGTACAGAAATGTAGGCAAGAATCCAGGCTTCAATTCTCTATATAACACTTTGAGTTTGAATTGATTGCAGCGTTTGGCATACGATTTGCTGAAAAGGTGTAGTCATAATTTTGACGCACGGTCTAATTTCTATTATTTACAAAAAGCACATAAACATTCAGCGCCTGGCTCAGCGCCTGGCTCAGCGCCTGGCTCAGCGCCTGGCTCAGCGCCTGGCTCAGCGCCTGGCTCAGCGCCTGGCTCAGCGCCTGGCTCAGCGCCTGGCTCAGCGCCTGGCTCAGCGCCTGGCTCAGCGCCTGAGGCTTTAAGAATCAATTTATTAGTAAAATCAACTTTTCATGTATTAAACAACCGGAAAATTCTTAGGAAACAGCTAAAAATGAAAGCAGATCGAAGACTGATCGGATTGGGTTTATTTGATGGTCTGAAAAATCGCTTGCAAAACTCTAATCAAAGAACTTTTTGTACAGAAATGTAGGCAAGAATCCAGACTTCAATTCTCTATATAACACTTAGGGTTTTTGAATTGATTGCAGCGTTTGGCATGCGATTTGCTGAACAGGTGTAGCCGTAATGGCGCACGTATGTAAATTTTTCCTTTGTAAATTTGCTTACCTGTAAGAATGAATCCTTTTCTTCTGCCATGTGTGTCTTTCATTTGAAATTTGATACGTCTCGGTGATGATTTACGAAGAGTGAAATGAGCTGAATACTTTTTTGAAGCGCTTATTTTGCCGATAAGCCACCAACCGGTCAACGCCTTTGTCTGCTGAGAAAAATGCGATTAGAAAGTCCGAAGTTCGGTAGTTTTTTCAGCAATAACACAGCTGTTTTGCGATTTCTGAAAGCACGAATTAAAAAACGTATAGAAATTGTTGAGAAAAATAAGAAAACAAGTGATTTTTAGCTTTAAGAAGTAACTTGTTCAAACAATACCGCGTTCAATCAATAATTCGAGGCAATTGAGGTGTTCCTTGTTGTTAAAAGGTGTTAAAAGTGTTCCTTTTTTCCTCAAAAATCGATCAGCACACAGAAAAAGGCTAGACATTTGTCAGAACTAGAAAAATGTTCTTTCAGAGTCACTCAAACACTAATGAGCACAAGGGTTGAAGGGTTTTGTAAATGCGATCTACTTAACAACTTGCTCGTTTAAGTATACTTTATGCTACTTTTGTGTACTTTATTTACTGTACTTTATGCTACTTTTAACTTTTTATTTCACAGTAATCCCTCAGAAATTGCAGAAAAAGAAGAAATTTACAAATAAATCAGCTGAAATATCTAACAACATTACCGTATTTTCTCTAATAGTAGCGCACCCAGAGCCTCGCCTAAATCCCTCGAAATCTCGAGAACCGCTTATCAGATCGCTTATCAGATGTTGGGTTGGAAAATGTAGCTGACGATGAGATCTAGTGGGGTCTGATCCAGGCCGATCCAGGCCGATCCAGGCCGATCCAGGCCGATCCAGGCCGATCCAGGCCGATCCAGGCCGATCCAGGCCGATCCAGGCCGATCCAGGCCGATCCAGGCCGATCCAGGCCGATCCAGGCCGATCCAGGCCGATCCAGGCCGATCCAGGCCGATCCAGGCCGATCCAGGCCGATCCAGGCCGATCCAGGCCGATCCAGGCCGATCCAGGCCGATCCAGGCCAGAGTCAGATTCGAAAACAAGTCCAAGCCTGGCTTCTGATTGGCTATACTTGAGCTAATCCTGCAGTAAAGCCAGATCAGAATCCTACCCAGCTTCAGGACAATCCTGATCTCTTAGCTGGCTTGTAATAAAGCTCATAGTCATCAACTCGGCTCACCGGGGCGCACTACTATTAGAGAAAATACGGTATTATTTGCCTTATTATTGGCTTGGCTTGGCTAAAGTCCCTGCTAGAACCTGTCTCACAGGTCTGGTTGAAATATCTTTGAAATAAAGTCCCTGCTAGATACCGTATTCTCTCCAATAGTAGCGCAGCTTAAGCTTCGTCTAAATTCCTCGAAATCTCGAGAACCGTTTATCAGAACCTATCGATGTGGGGTCGGAAAATGTAGCTAACGATGAGATCTAGTGAAGGATTAGAGTGTTGAACTTCTGGGAGAGCTTTGGAAGCCTAAAATAGTCACCAACTCGGCCCAGTGGACGACTATTAGAGAAAACACAGCATTTAAATTCAATCAATCAATTTGTAATCAATCAGTTTTCACATTTGAAAAGATGTAGAAGACAAATTTCTGTGCGGCAAAATGGGACACAGTAGCTAGAGAAAGAAACGAGATATAGGAAAGGAGAGCGAGATGGGTGAAGAATTCGGTCAGCTGAACGGCTCCACTCATATTCGAGCGATAGTGCAAAAAGAAGAGACCGTAGATGAAGATGAAGAAGGAAAACGAGCTGAAAATGATTGCTATTGTGATTTTCGAGGCTAAACCAGGCCAGAAACTAAAACCTGGCTTGTTTTTAAGATTTTAAGCTAGGATTCTCTAAGCCTATAAGCTAGGCTAATCCAGGACGATCCAGGACGATCCAGGCCGATCCAGGACGATCCAGGCCGATCCAGGACGATCCAGGCCGATCTAGGCCAGAGTCAGATTCGAAAACAAGTCCAAGCCTGGCTTCTGATTGGCTATACTTGAGCTAATCCTGCAGTAAAGCCAGATCAGAATCCTACCCAGCTTCAGGACAATCCTGATCTCTTAGCTGGCTCGTAATAAAGCTGGCTTGTAAGAATCCGGTTAAAGAGATTTTTGTGCAAGGTTTTTCAAAATTAGGTCAAAGGGGATTCAGTGAAGCGATTTGGGTCAAAGTATTGAAGGATTTCACTTACAGATCAGTGAAAGGCGTAAAAAAAATCACATTTTTGCGTTAGAATTGTTCTTTAAAAGTAATTTTTAAAGTCAAAATTATAAAATGAAATAGTTGAGCGGAAAAGTTCTCTCGTGAGAGCGAAAAAAATGGCGTTGATGGGGAAAATTCTGAGCGTTGAAGGTGAGAGCAATGGAAAGTGGAAAAGGAGGGAAAAGGAGGGGAAAAGATGAGAGGGAAATTTCCATTTCCTCGTCTTTTTGTGGTTTTTCAAGGGATGGGGAATTGAGGGATGATGGATGATCGAAAGTTCTTGTAACAAACCTTTTAGATCTAATAGATTTTAAGAATAAAGGTTTAAAGATTGAAGGTTTAAGTTAAAGATTAAAGATTAAAGCTTTTAAGATTAAAGATCAGAAGCCAGATTTGGACTTGTTTTCGAATCTGACTCTGGCCTTGATCGGCCTGGATCAGCCTGGATCGGCCTGGATCGACCTGGATCAGCCTGGATCGGCCTTGATCGTCCTGGATCGACCTGGATCAGCCTGGATCGACCTGGATCAGCCTGGATCGTCCTGGATCAGCCTGGATCGACCTGGATCAGCCTGGATCAGCCTGGATCGGCCTGGATCGACCTGGATCAGCCTGGATCGACCTGGATCGGCCTGGATCGGCCTGGATCGACCTGGATCAGCCTGGATCGGCCTTGATCGTCCTGGATCGGCCTGGATCAGCCTGGATCGGCCTGGATCGACCTGGATCAGCCTGGATCGGCCTGTCGCCTGGTCGCGGACGCCTGGATCGGCCTGGACGCCTGGGCCGGCCTGGATCGGCCTTGTCGTCCTGGGGGCCCGGATCGGCCGGTCGGCCCTGGACGCCTGGGGGGCTTGGTCGGCCTGGATCCTCGATCGGTTTTGGATCTGTAAATTAAGGTAAGGGTTATAAAAGTTAAGGAGATAAAAAAAGAAAAAAGGCTAAAAAAATAGATTTAAAGGTTTTAAGGTTAAAGTTTTAAATTAAAGTTTAAAGGTTTTAAAATTAAAAGTTTAAAGCTTTAAATTAAAGTTTAAAGGCTTAAATTAAAGATTAAAGGTTTAAATTAAAGTTTAAAGCTTTTAAGATTAAAAATTAAAGGTTTAAATTAAAGATTAAAGCTTTAAATTAAAGATTAAAGATTCAAGCTTTAAGTTAAAGATTAAAGAATAAAGATTTAAAGATTTCAATCAATCTTTCTTTATAGATTTCACAGTATTCATGAAATCTAAACGAGAAAATGAAAAAAAAAGAAATATTAGCTGAAGAGGCGAATAATTTGCTGACCACTTTCCCATTCTTTCCAAAGTGTTTATCAAATGATTCACTGATTGCTCTGTTGAGCACAAGGAAATAAACAAATTCTCTTATGAATTGCGAATAATTTGATCAATTGAACAAAGCTGAATAGGTTTTTGGTTAAATTGGTAAATTTGTTGTCTAAAGGGAAGTGAATTCGTCTTTCTCAATTGGCTCGATGTTTTTGGGAGACAGGCAAGGCTAAGAACAAATTTCTTAGCTAAATCTACTATATATAAAGGGACTAAGATGGCTGTCCGTTTGTCTGTCTGTCCGTCTGTCTGTCTGTCTGTCTGTCTGTCTGTCTGTCTGTCTGTCTGTCTGTCTGTCTGTCTGTCTGTCTGTCTGTCTGTCTGTCTGTCTGTCTGTCTGTCTGTCTGTCTGTCTGTCTGTCTGTCTGTCTGTCTGTCTGTCTGTCTGTCTGTGCACACTACTCCTTCGCGCCAAGTGGGCCGTTTCAAATAACATATTTAGTTTGGCTTAGAATTCCATCTAGTTGTGCTCTTATGAATTGCGAATAATTTGATCAATTGAACAAAGCTGAATTCATAGAACGCCCACAAGGGTTAAGGTCAAGCTTTCGAGGGGTTAAAGGGGTGTCATTTTAAACATCATTTACGGTATCTATTTGCTTGACACGAATAATAATTACAATAAAAGGAAGGAGATTTTTACCCTTAGTTACCCCTATTACCCAAATGTTGTGAAGAAAAAGCCCATAATGATGGGGGAAAAAAAGGATCTAATTTTCTGGCCGCCCGAACCTTTGATCGCCCGACTAGGAGGCAAGACTCCTATCCGGTCGGCTACAATGGTTTAGGCTAATACGAAAGCCCACAAGTCAAGTCAAGTCAAGATTTCGAGAGGTTAAAGTTATTAAAGTCAACTTTCGAGGGGTTAAAGGGGTTTAAAGTCAACTTTCAAAATCTTGACTTTAAACCACTTTAACCCCTCGAAAGTTGACTTTAATCACTTTAACCCCATCGTGAATTGAGGTAATGGTTAAATAATGGAATCTAAAAGTAAAATCTAATAAAATAAACGATAAGAGACGTTGATAAACGTTTCATAAATCAAAATCAGCATCAAGAATTGATGTAAATGATTTGTAAAGTGAAAATTTGTAAGAAAAATTGATGGATTAAGGAAATTCTTTTGTTTAGAATAGCTCTAATTCTTATTTAGAATAGAAATAAAATGAAAATTAGAGAAAAATTTCCATTTCTTTGCCTATTTTTTCGTTTTTTAGTGAGGGTTGAAAGAGAAAAAGGGAAAAAAAGAGAAAAACCGGTATTCTTTTCTCTCTCTGATCACACTGCAGCCATTTTTTCTTCGTCTAGAAGAGTTATTCCCTTTAAAAGCTAGTTTGTTTCAAAATTCGTTCTCTAAAACGTGTCCTTTACTATCGTAATCCTGTTTGAATCAAGCCATCTACTTTTTGTTTAGTTTGTAAATAAATTGTTAGATTTATTTGTAAATAAATTGTAAGATTTATTTATAAATCTAAAAACAAACCCTCCATTGAAAATCGATCTCCACCACCAATGATAATCCTCAGCGTTTAATTGAGAATATGTAAGGCCGATTGAGATCGAGGCGGTCACCTAGAATTGATTTGATTTGATTAGAAATAGATTTGATTAGGATTAGGATTAGAATTAGAAATAGATTTGATTTGATTTGATTTGATTAGAATTAGAAATAGATTTGATTTGATTTGATTAGAATTAGAAATAGATTTGATTGATTTGATTAGATTAGGTTAGAATTAGGTTAGAATTAGGTTAGAATTAGGTTAGAATTAGATTTAATTAGATTTGATTAGATTTAATTAGATTTGATTAGGTTTGATTTGATTAGAATTAAAATTACAGTACTTTAAACCCTCCAAAGTTGACTTTAAACTCCTTTAACCTCTCGAAATCTTGACTTTAAACCCCTTTAATCCCTAGAAAGTTGACTTTAATCACTTTAAACCCTAGAAAGTTGACTTTAAACTCCTTTAACCCCTCCAAAGTTGACTTTGATTACGTTTGATTAGATTAGAATTAGAATTACAGTATTGGGCAATGGAATTGAAATATTTGAAAAACGATCGTCACTTTCGCACGCCGCAGACAAGCTTTTGGACAGGTACGATTTATTGGAATTACTCTAAATTTTATGTTTATTAAACAAGCCAATTGCTTTAGATGATTTGCAAACTGACGAGCGTTCTAAAGCTTGCGTCTAAAGCTAAAGCTAAAGCTCAAGCTAAAGCTCAAGCTCAAGCTCAACTTGCTCAAGTTACCATAACTGGTTTAGTCCAGCTATCTATCAGCTATCTATCAGCTATACAGTACTGGACAATGAAATATCATATTTGAAGAAACGATCGATCATCACGATCGTCACTTTCGCACGTCTGTAACTCCCTTGTCTTTGAGTTTAAACTATTAGTGTTATACATTTTCTGAAAGCTCTTTTCAAGGGCTACACAATGGTAATATTAATATTTAGAAATACGGTAAAGACAAGGGAGTTACAGACGCGCGAAAGTGACGATCTTTTTTCAAATATGATATTTCGTTGTCCAGTAGTGTAGATTGGAATTAGAATTTGATTTGATTTCTTTAGAATTAGATTTGATTAGATTAGATTAGGTTAGAGTAGGTTAGAATTAGCTTTAGGTTCGATTTGATTTGATTAGAATTAGATTAGAATTAGATTAGAATTAGATTTTATTTGATTATGTTAGAATTAGAATTAGATTTGGTTAGGTTTGATTAGAATTAGAATTAGATTTGATTAGGATTAGGATTAGATTTGATTTGATTTCTTTAGAATTAGAATTAGATTTGATTAGAATTAGATTAGGTTAGATTAGATTTGGTTAGAATTAGCTTTAGATTTGATTAGAATTAGAATTAGAATTAGAATTAGATTAGAATTAGTTTAGGTTAGAATTAGAATTAGATTAGATTTGATTAGATTACATTAGAATTAGAATCAGAATTTTATTTTATTTTATTTGATTATGTTAGAATTAGAATTAGATTAGGTTAGGTTTGATTAGAATTAGAAATAGATTAGGTTAGGATTAGAATTAGATTAGAATTAGAATTAGATTTGATTAGATTAGATTTCTTTAGAATTAGATTAGATTTTACAAGACCACAAGTTTAGCCAGTGTTTTTTCTTTTTCTTAACCAATCTGGCTCTGGCTGTTAGTTCCTGTTAGTTTCAAAATGTCTAAAAAGATCAACTTTTAGTTTTGCTCATAAACTAGCCCAAACCAATGTCTCACTGATGATAAATCATGTCTCAGTGTCAGAGATGATAAAAAGCTAGTTTCCACACGTCATTCTTTCTGTTTTTCAATGGAAAGAAGAAATTTGAGGGAGACATCTCATTTTTTGGCATTAAAGGAAAGAAAGAACAACGAAAACAATGATCAAACTCGTTAGAGTTTGAAAGGTATTGTTATGAGTCATCAAAAAGCTTTAGACTTTTAAACTTTGTGCTTTAAATGGAAATGGAAATGCTTTTGGCGTACTCTTGTAACAAAAAGTAACTAATAAGAGAATTTTCTTTTAGTGATGATTTCAAAAACGGGATTTTGAGTAAATTGTAAGCACTTTTCCTCTACAGGGTTGGAGAAAATTATCTGGAAAAGTAACTTGTTTAAATCTTATTCATCAACCGTTTTATAATTCCTATTATTCTTTTTCTAGAAGCTCTTAATTATTATCAAAAAAGTATTCACACTTTTCTAGGCTTTCTAGGCTTTTTTTCAAGTTTTTCAGAAACAAAAAAAAGCGCTGAAAAGGGAAAAAGGATGTCCAACTAATGTCCAACTAATGTCCAACTAATGTTCAACTAATGTTCAACTAATGTCCAACTCTATATAATCAGGAACTTAAATTAGACATGTTCCGAAGAGTAAACTACAATACATTCAAGCAGGATTGGCAAAAAAAGCTCCGATCAATTTTACTCAATGTTTTATAATTCGAAAAGAAAGCCGGCCAACGAAACGTAATGTTCCAATAGGTTAAGAAATAAATAAATTTATACTATGAAGAAAATTAAACGGTTAAGTTGGCCGGGTGCAAAGTTACAACGAAGAACTCTTGTCCGAATAATGTCCAACTCTGTATAATCAGGAACTTAAATTAGACATGTTCCGGAGAGTAAACTACAATACTTTCAAGTAGGATTGGCAAAAAAACAAAAGACAATGCTAGCCTAGTCTAGCCAAAGCCTAGCCAAGTCAAGCCAAAGCCTAGCCAAGCCAAAACCTAGCCAAAGTCAAGCCAAAGTCTAGCCAAGCCAAGCCAAAACCTAGCCAAAGTCAAGCCAAAGTCTAGCCAAGCCAAGTCAAAGCCAATCCAAGCCAAGCCAAAGCCAATCCAAAGCCAAGCCAAAGCCTAGCCAAAGCCAAGCCAAAGCCAAGCCAAAACCTAGCCAAAGCCAAGCCAAAGCCAAAGCCAATCCAAGCCAAAGCCAAAGCCAAGCCAAAGCCTAGCCAAAGCCAAGCCAAAGCCAAGCCAAAGCCTAGCCAAAGCCAAGCCAAAGCCAAGCCAAAGCCAAGCCAGAAGCCAAGCCAAGCCAATAGCTTTCAATTGGTTTGCCTGGAATTGGATTTGGCCTATTTTGGCCTAAAACCCTGGCTTTGACTTGTCTTTGGCTGAATTTATAATTGGCTTCGTCTGGAATTTGACTTTCTTTACCAATCTTGACCGCAAGCTCACTCTAAACTCACCCAAAGTACAATGCAGAAAACAATGGCTAACATGTAGAACAAGGTGTAGGTCTCTCTTCCCCAAATCGTCGAAAAGATATAGTAGAGTTCGACCGAGATTGCACTAAATGGAGAATTTTTCAAAAAAACCCAAGTACCAAATCGTGAACCTGAACGGTAAAAATCCAGCGACAATGCAAAAGGATGGGGTCGAATGATACCAGGGAAGTGCCGGGATTTGACGAGGAACATTCCTCGTTCTGCACGGTGCTTCGTACTTTTTGGAGAGACTGCTAAACTTTGAAAGTTAATAAAAAATTAGCGATCGACCTTTTTTTTACATTATCCAACAGATAAGTAAATCAATTTCCTTATATTATTCAATTGTAATCAACAAACCTTCCCAAAATCGCTCCCATAATCGCTAGCGGATAGCCGATGATGAGAGCGATCAGTAAAACGATGCTCACCGTCGTCCAGGGAAGAGCCTAAAGTTAGATTGACAAGGCTTACAATCCCAAAAATCTGGGTCTAATTTCCGAATCAGCACGATTTTCAGCACTGTCCTAACTTAATCCAGTTGTAGGTATACTACAGGGTGATTCAAAATTCTAACAACTCGGTATTTGCTAATCGTTTAGTTTGTAGCCATCGGCAAGAATTGGACCTCGTCCTGCTTGTAGGCGTTCAATTAAGGTCGTCAACAATGTAGTGTAGCCACCGACAACAATTGGACCTCCTTCTGCTCGTAGGCGTTCAATTAAGGTCATCAACAATGATTGTATAGCCATCGACAACAATTGGACTTCGTTTTGCTCGTAGGCGTTCAATTAAGGTCGTCAACAATGTAGTGTAGCCACTGGCAACAATTGGACCTCGTCCTGCTTGTAAGCGTTCAATTAAGGTCGTCAACAATGTAGTGCAGCCATCGACAACAATTGGACCTCGTCCTTCTTGTAAGCGTTCAATTAAGGTCGTCAACAATGTAGTGCAGCCACCGGCAACAATTGGACCTCGTTCTGCTTGCAAGCGTTCAATTAAGGTCGTCAACAATGATTGTATAGCCATCGACAGCAATTGGACTTCGTTCTTCTTGTAGGCATTCAAGTTATGATCAAGTTGTCGGTGGCTATACTACAACAATATAGTGTAGCCACTGGCAACAATTAGACCTCGTTCTTCTTGTAAGCGTTCAATTAAGGTCGTCAACAATGTAGTGTAGCCACTGGCAACAATTGGACTTCGTTCTGCTTGTAGGCGTTCAATTAAGGTCGTCAACAATGATTGTATAGCCATTGACAACAATTGGACTTCGTTTTGCTTGTAGGCGTTCAATTAAGGTCGTCAACAATGATTCTTCAAAGAAAAGATCGAGAGAAGCCAATCCCTTTCGCCATTTTGCGCACGGAATGACGACCGTTTTTGCGGAGCTTGTCCAGAACTTTTTTGATGATGTCCTTAGTTTTAGCTGTGCACTTCTAAACCGATCTTCCAACCCGATCCTCATTCGTTCCCAAGACTTTAAACCTTTGAATCGTTTGATAAACAACGGTTTTGCTGATCTTCAATCGCTTGGCGATGTCGCTTGGCAATGTCGGTGCTTGGCAATGTCGGTGCTTGGCAATGTCGGCAATGTTCCACTTTTGCGCAAGACTATGATCGAATCGCGATGAGCTGAGCATTACTTGACCATTCTTGCATTTCTCGACCATTCCTTGAGCATTCTTGCATTTCTTGACCATTACTAAAATTAGCAAAGTTTTTGAGTAATAAACATAAAATACAATGAAATAGAAAAACAGAAAAAAAGTCGGTAAAGCTTAAAGAAAGTAGATCAAGGGCATCTTAATTGAAGCTGGCGAGTTGCAATAATTTTGAAGCACCCTGTATAGTATAAAAAGCACAAAAAGCAGCCAGAGTTTGCAGATCTTGATGCGCAAATTCACCAGTATCAAAAAGCCTTTCGACGGATTATTTTCACATACCGTAAATACTGCAATAGTACCCCACCCTCCTCGTACAGTCGCGTAGTCGCAAACGTTTTTTAGTAGTTCATTTTTTTCTAAGCGCCCGTACTTTCAAAAAAAGCGTCTTTGCTATCAAAAAATAGCTGAAATTCAGGGCTATTTTTTGATACCAAAGCGCGCATTGTAGCATAAACCAGTGTCGAGAAAAACTCGTTCAAAGTTAGACTACGCAGCATTCTGCACCTTCATTATGCGGGTGGGGTACTATTACAGTATTTACGGTAATCATAGTCCCATTTTTCTGAATTATATCCAAGTCAGACCAAGGTAAAGCCCGGTTTTTGGCTTCCAGCAATGCAGCAATGCAGCAATGCCTTCCAGCAATGCAGCAATACCTTCCAGCAATGCAACAATACCTTCCAGCAATGCGGCAATGCCTTCCAGCAATGCAACAATGCCTTCCAGTAATGCAGCAATGCAGCAATGCCTTCCAGTGCAACAATGCCTTCCAGCAATGCAGCAATGCCCAGCTTCTAGTCTGCCAAGAATTAGCAAGACTTAGCATAGAATTAGCAAGAGCAAGCTGTTTTAAGTAATCCGTTTCACCTGCGTCGAGTTATTCACCCAAGCCACCGAATTATTGATCGTCCAAACAGTGATCATTGGGGCCGCAAAAAGGCCCATCGTTAGATGCACATTTACTATCCAATTTTTCCCATCCAATTGAGCGTATTTCGAGGATGAAACAAAACCCGCAATGACTTAAATAATACGAAATTTTCTTCAGAAAACCGTTTGACTCACAGCTTGTCAATGCATACAAAAAGATTAATATTGTATTGAGCATTCCGTGTCGATGAAGATTGAGAATATTGAATGAGGCAATGATTAGGATGATCGAAGTGATGATCAGGAATTGTGTGCCGACTCCTGGAAATGCATTTTTGCATTAGGCAGACCGATTCTAGCTATAGAAAGATGCAAAAAGTTTACCTAGAATCGCTGATAATAACATTGGATGTTTCGGTTTTCTGAACACATCCATTGCCACGGTTTTCCATCCATTATCCATTAGTAGATCTTGCTCATCACCTTCATTATATTGTGCAAGATCTCGGCGAACAGCAGAGAACTGAAGGAAGGTGTACTATTGCGTAATCGCGCTGGTACAGTGTATGTACACTTTAAATTAGCACTCTAGTATTCTAGAGTCTACATGGTGGCGCACAATTACCCGCACTCAGTTCAGCTTGGCAGCTTAGCTCGGCAGCTTAGCTTAGCTCGGCAGCTTAGCTTAGCTCGGCAGCTTAGCTTAGCTCGGCAGCTTAGCTTAGCTCGGCAGCTTAGCTTAGCTCGGCAGCTTAGCTTAGCTCGGCAGCTTAGCTTAGCTCGGCAGCTTAGCTTAGCTCGGCAGCTTAGCTTAGCAGCTTAGCTTAGCAAAGAGATCATCAATTGTCACTTAAACCCACGAATAAGGTTTATTTGATGTATCGATCATCAATGCAAATATTTCAGACAACAACCGGCTGTGAGTACTCTTTATTTCAAGCAGGATATCCCGTAACGGATAGAGGCTTGAATGCGTATCGACTTCACACGTTCACGTTTGTTTTTGCAATCGTTATTACCAAGTGGCGCACAATTACCCGCACTCAGTTCAGATTCTCCAGCTTGGCAAAGAGGCAATCAATCGATCTAATTCTTTCTTTATTATCATAATTGAATATTTCTTTTGCAATGTGTTTGATTTGATCAGAAAAGTTTCTAAACTTTTGCTAGATCGTTGCAAGCGCTGCAGACGTTTCGAGCGTTTTCGAGTGCAGAGTACTGCAGGGCCCAGTGCCATCAGCCGAAAAGCCCACCCAACGACTTTTGACGCCATGGCGCTGCAGCGAGTGAGTGGCACTGCAGCGAGTGAGTGGCACTGCAGCGAGTGAGTGGCACTGCTGCGAGTGAGTGGCACTGCAGCGAGTGAGTGGCACTGCAGGGGATCGAACCGGGATCGTGTGGGCTGAAGACAAGCGCGCTCTCGACTGCAGGCGTCAAAATTCGTTGAGTGGGGTTTTCGGCTGATATTTGAAATAAGAAAACTGACCAAGATCAACGCAACAAACATGATCAACAACAAGACCAGCAAGACCGAATTGATAACGGAAAGCCAATGGATGTGCATGGAACGAGTCGAGAAGAGAACTTGGCCATCGGATGGACGGGAAGAGAGGGTTTTGCTGCAAGATTACTGTAGTACAGTAGCTGTAGAGAATAACAACTACAGTACCCTGTAGTCAGTATTCTGTAGACAAGATTGTTCACAGTTTACACTCTTTTCTGCTTAAATTTTATCGTACTTTTCATCATTAGTGTTCTCGTTGCAGTTTTAGCTTTTAAAACTCATTAGAAGTAAAAATGAGACGATATAAACGAAAAGTGAAACATTATTCGTTAAAAAGTGACTCATAGATATTTGCTAGCTATTTGCTCCATATCTATTGGGTTGTCCAGTTATGAATGTTACTATTTTGTAAATTTCTCAAGATATCGAACAGATTTATATAAGTGTTATATATCATTCGAAAGCTGAAGATCTCCTCTACATTTTGATATAAAAAGTTTTTGAATTTGTCGAGCTTTCGGGCAAATTGATTGCACAGAAGAAGAGGTGGCCAAAAAATGGAAGGGTGCCTTTGGATCAAGTTTTGGCTTCGCTCAAATTGAGTTAACCGTTTGATGTTTGGCCAATCGATATATCAATACAAGTTTTTTTTTAAATATAACAATTTCAGAGCATCTTTACTTTTCTGGGCGGTTATTTTACACCATAAAAGGCACCCTTCCATTTTTTGACCACCTCTTCTTCTGTGCAATCAATTTGCCCAAAAGCTCGACAAATTCCAAAGCTTTTTATATCAAAATGTAGAGGAGATCTTCAGCTTTCGAATGATATATAACACTCAAATAAATCTGTTCGATATCTTGAGAAATAGTAAGAACGCGCATTCATAATTGGACAACCCAATATTTGCTTAGAAGAGAGTTCAATGAGAAGCGAAAGAATTCTTTTGCAACTCCAAAAGGCAATGAAGGCCAAAGGTAAATGGTAAATCTTACAATTCGCTTAAAGGTTCAGCTAACTTTCGAAAAAATCAAACTCACTTTGTTTTATTCCATTTCACGGAATACTGAAAGTCTACACTGAACCCTTTTCCCTCTTCGATCTCGACAGCGCTTTCGTGAACCATTTTTAGATCAATGTTGATGATCTGAAATTGTTTTCAGAAGCTTCAAGAAGCCTAGTTTTTAGTTACTATTGTTATTATTCAATGATTTCTCTATTCTTATGCAAATGTGTTCTCCTTGGTGCTTATCCCTTTCCTCGAGAAGAGGTGGTGCCTAGGATTGCTGGAAGTGGTGCCTAGGATTGCCTAGGATTGCCTAGGATTCTTCTGGCCACGTGGCCCATCTAAGGCTTTTTCCCTCGATCACTTCCACTGGATCTCTAAGTCCCGAGAGCTGGCGCATATCCGTACTTCTTAGGTCTTGGTCGAGCTGCGTCTTCCTATTGTGCCCGAGAAGGTTCCTTTCAAGGGCTCGATGTGTCGTTCTCAGGGCTCGTTCGGTGATCTGTGTCGTAACCCAGATCTCTGTCCCGTAGCAGAGTGCCGGGAGGACGGTGCTGTCGAAGAGGTGTGCCCGAGTGCTCTGGTGACTCTTGAGCATCTTTGTGACTTCTTCGATGCTTCCTAGTGCTGTCCAGGCCACTCGTCTTCTTCTGGCGACTTCTGGTCTTAGGTCTCCCTCCATTTTGAGTCCTCTGTGTCGTGGCCCAGATCTCTGTCCCGTAACAGAGTGCTTTAAAGTATACTTTGTGCTCAAAAAGTTTAAATGCCTCTTCATCATCTCAATCAAGATAGCAGAGTGTTTAATTGTTGCTTAAAGTCAATTTACCTGATTCTTCTCATTGATCTCAAAAGAGATGATTGATTCAGTGTAAAGAAATATTCGATGAATGTGCGGGAAAACTTGTTTCGATTCCTCGATGAAACCGAGAAAGTTGCGAACTCGTAAGTCATCTAAATCACAGAAGAATTCGAAAAAATCATCATTAAATAACTTGCCTATAATAATCTCAAAGTAATAATCCTCTTCAATTGCTCGAATGAGTCGCTCAGTGTCGGCTAAGTCGAGCGCAACGTCACCACATAGTGAGCCTCTAGCCTGGAATTGCCAAGCGTACAGTCGAGTACAGTAGCTTTGTACAGTAGCTTTGTACAGTAGCTTTGCAGTAGCTTCTAATTCTCCTTGAACGTCTAATTCTTTACGCTGCTTTAAGCTAAGAGCTAGCCCTTGAAATCCAGTATTTTTAGTATTAAAAGTAGCTGAGAAAAGATGATTTTCTAAAAGGAATTTAGACTACGCGATTGTACGAAGAAATGACGTTTCGATTTAAGTATTAGGACCTTGTTGGACCTCGTAGCCCTCGTAGGACCTCGTAGCCCTCGTAGGACCTCGTAGGACCTCGTAGGACCTCGTAGGACCTCGTAGGACCTCGTAGGACCTCGTAGGACCTCGTAGCCCTCGTAGGACCTCGTAGGACCTCGTAGGACCTCGTAGGACCTCGTAGGACCTCGTAGGACCTCGTAGGACCTCGTAGGACCTCGTAGGACCTCGTAGGACCTCGTAGGACCTCGTAGGACCTCGTAGGACCTCGTGGGACCTCGTAGGACCTCGTAGGACCTCGTAGGACCTCGTGGGACCTCGTAGGACCTCGTAGGACCTCGTAGGACCTCGTAGGACCTCGTAGGACCTCGTAGGACCTCGTAGGACCTCGTAGGACCTCGTAGGACCTCGTAGGACCTCGTAGGACCTCGTAGGACCTCGTAGGACCTCGTAGGACCTCGTAGGACCTCGTAGGACCTCGTAGGACCTCGTAGGACCTCGTAGGACCTCGTAGGACCTCGTAGGACCTCGTAGGACCTCGTAGGACCTCGTAGGACCTCGTAGGACCTCGTAGGACCTCGTAGGACCTCGTAGGACCTCGTAGGACCTCGTAGGACCTCGTAGGACCTCGTAGGACCTCGTAGGACCTCGTAGGACCTCGTAGGACCTCGTAGGACCTCGTAGGACCTCTAGATATTATTTAATAGAGAAAAGTGGCCAAATGACAGATTCGCCAGAGAGATGTCGACTAGCGCTCATTCAAGCGCTTGTTAAATCAGTTATATAAGTCCAATCGGGATGTTTTTGGTAGATAAATGTTGCCGAGAATCAGGCCTACAATTCTCTGTATAACACTTGCCACTTTTGAAATAAATTAGACATTTCCCAGATACTCTGGGAAATGATACCAAAAATTCCAGATACCAAAAAGTTGTTGCGGTAATTCTTGGTCACCCTGTAATCCTTATATTACAGTATGAGGACTATTGAAATAATAGCTAACTAGCTATTACTATAATAGCTAACTAGCTAGCTTCGATTCGTTGAACTTTTCAAAAGTACCAACCATATTCTCTCCAAAATGTATGATGTAAGTGCTCTCAGCCACTCGATCACCCTCTAACACTTGTCCAAGTGATAGAGATTTGTGAATAATCTAGAAATGTAAATTTGTAAGTTTCAGTTCTTATTCCAGAAGTTCTTAAGCTAAAAATAACAAAATCCGTTTTGTTTTTGAACTATTGAACTACAATAACTACAGGTTGTCTCAATTATTCAAACAACTTTTTCGAAAACTAGTCACACGCTTAATTTATTTCAAAGTATCAAGTGTTATATAGAGAATTGTAGCCCTAAATCTTGGCTACATTTATCTACTAAAAGCTTCACAATCGGATGAATACAGCTCATTTAACAACTCTTTGAACAACCACTAGTCGATTCCTATTCGGTGCTGGCATTTTTGACGATTAAATGAGCTATATTCATCCGATTGGGAAGTTTTTAGTAGCTAAATGTAGCTAAGATTTAGGGCTACAATTCTCTATATAACACTTGATACTTTGAAATAAATTAAGCGTGTGAAAAAGTTGTCGAAAGTCGAAAAAGTTGTTTGGATGATTTTGAGCTTTGTAATGGGGTCAAAATGGTTACCGAATGCCCTTAATGAATTCATTTTGCATTTAGAACAATGCCAAAATACTAAAAACTAAAAAAAAAGCCGTTAAATTTACAAATAAAAGTTTTGTTTACCTTTTCCGGGCGACAAATCGGCAAACTGTAGAAATGATAGGTTTCATGAATGTTCGCGTACGGGCCAACTTTATTTACAAATACATCTACCTGAAAGTAAAAATTATTATAGTTTCTGTAAAATAACGTTTCTAACATGATAAGCTACTCAAAGCAATAATTAAATTTCGATAGCAAAAAGACAGACAGACGCTGATAGCACAGCTTTTAAAAAGGCTCTGACAGCTTGTTCAATCATGAGCCGCACTTATAGTGGTAAACTAAAGCCAAGCTAAAGTCTACGAGATGGCTGTATGGTTAGTAGCCTTGTTTATCAAGCCTAAGCCTAAGCTACTCAGCAATAATTAAATTTCGATAGAAAAAAGACAGACTCTGATAGCACAGCCTTTAGAAAGGCTCTGATAACTTGTTTCCTTCAACAATCATGAGCCGCGCTTATAGTGGTAAACTAAAGCCAAGCTAAAGTATACGAGATGGCTGTATGGTTAGTAGCCTTGTTTACCAGTCGAAATTTTAGGAGTTCGATTCCCACTAGGAAGAAGATAGTTTCTTTCTTCAATTTTTTTTTAACAACGTTTGAGTGTTGTTTTTTTGAGTTTTTACTATTCTATTGTGTCTTTTTTTACACATTATGTTGAATAAATCTATTCTTAAAGCCAATGTCTTTCAGTTGGAACAAGACGTTTCAAGACGGTTCCAAGACGGTTCTAATACGGTTCTTTTTAGATCCAATACGGTTCCAATACGGTTCCAATACGTTTCCAATACGGTTCCTATTTTCAGATCCAATACGGTTCCAAGACGGTTCCAATACGGTCCCAATACGGTTCTTTTTAGATCCAATACGGTTCCAATACGGTCCCAATACGATCCCAATACGGTTCTTTTTGGATCCAATACGGTTCCAATACGGTCCCAATACGGTTCTTTTCAGATCCAATACGGTTCCAAGACGGTTCCAATACGGTCCCAATACGGTTCCAATACGGTTCCAATACGGTTCCAATACGGTTCCAATACGTTCCCAATACGGTTCTTTTTGGATCCAATACGGTTCCAATACGGTCCCAATACGGTTCTTTTCAGATCCAATACGGTTCCAAGACGGTTCCAATACGGTCCCAATACGGTTCTTTTTAGATCCAATACCGTTCCAATACGGTCCCAATACGGTTACAAATACAGTTCCAATACGGTTCTTTTTAGATCCAATACGGTCCCAATAAGGTTCCAATACGGTTCCAATTGTTTGGAATTTCAAGCTTGCCTTTGTCTTTGGCTTGAGCTGTCCGTCAAAAATTTGGCTCTTTTTGCAAGCGTTGAGATCGGTTTAATGCTAATTTTTTTCGAGTCAACTCAAAGAAAACTTGAATTCAAAAGATTTCTCGACAAAATCGACACAAAATTAGTGCAAAATTTCAGATAAATTTTCATTTCTTTGCCTATTTCTTTGCCTATTCGGCTAGTATTTTAAATTGGTTTTGAATTTGGATAAAATTTGGATAATCTTGATAATCTTGATAAACTTGAAGATCTTGAAGATAATCTAGAACTCAGAACTCACTTTTTCCTTGCTCTGATACATATTGACGGCTCCATGCGTGAGATGAATGCCGAAAAGCAATAGAAAAAGTATTAGGCTCATTCTTTGACGAAAAACCAATCTAAAACCACTAAAACCACAACATTTTGACAGTAAAAAGTGAGAAAATTGGAAAAAATTTTCCTTTAAATCATTAATAATGAAAGAGGAAAAATCTATGACGACAAAAATGAGGGAAAAGGAAAAAAAAAGAAAAGAAGAGAGATGAAGAGACATTTGTGAAGAAGAAGAAGAAGAATGGAAGGTGGGGAAGACGTGGAAAAGCAATGAGAATAGGGAAATGGTTGAAAAATGATTGAAAGCTGATTGAAAGCTGATTAAAAATTGATTGAAAATGAAAAAATCGATGAAAAATCGACATTTGAACTTTGTGCTCAAAGTTTGTAAACACATCGCTTCTAGTGCACTGAATTTTTCGTTTTTCTTTTAGTAAATCATGGTATCTTTCCCTGTTATCTTGCAAAAAAGCAAACAATTCGTGCACCAGAAGCAGTGTGTTTACAAGCTTTAAAAAGAAATCGCCAAAAGAATCCTGTACTTTGGGCAAAAAAATTGGGAACACACACTTTCTGGCGCACTGGATTCTTGTTTTTTTTAGTTTGGTGTCAGAAGAAAATGCAGAATCCAGTGAACCAGATAAGATGCGTTTACTCCTTTTTGAGCACAAAGTATACTATAAATGAAAAATTTCCCAAAAACGATTTTCAAATCGAATTTTGATCTGAAAACAATGGGATCTCTCGTTTATTTGTCTAGATGGCTCATTTCGAATCAATTTCTGTCCCACTATCTGCTATGAATATTTAAAATGGATTGAATTTATTGAATGAATTATTGAATTGTCATTGAATTTATAAAAAATTCTCTAGGTTATTGTTTTTTTGACTTGTCATTTTCTGTAGCGTTTACTTTCCGAAATAAAGAACTGATAGAAAATTTTATTGAAGTGAACACATGAGGGAAGTTGATTGAAAGAACAATTCTTCAGTGCTAAAGACACTTCATCGAGGTGCCCGATGTCCGATATCAACATTCGTATGACGGTAACTGCTTTGATCTCTGCAATTTGGAATTGAAATTTGTACAAAATGTCTGTACAAAACTAAGATAGAACTTTTGTCCGTACAAAACTAAGATTGAACTTCATTTCGATAAATTCGAAAATGGCTGAAAAATTAATGACTTAACTAATGAGTTATAAAAATTAATTACTGAAAAGGCATCTTACGAGAAAAAGTTAGCTTACTACATGTTTTGCTATACTACAAAAAGGGGAATTGAGATTTTTTCGCACAAAATGAAAACGGAATCAAGTTGTCCGGTATTAAATCAAAAATATAACTGTCTAAAGCTAATTGAACACTAGAAGCACAGTCGAACACGTGTTATTAAACCACAACTACAAAAGGAATTCTGAAAAATCAATTTACTAACGCGGTTAGCTCACTAGAAAGGTCAAAATAAGTTTATTTTTGTCGATGGGTTCTCAAAAACCAATTTCGAGTGATATTTGACTATAGTTCTGAGATTTGACACTCAAGCTCTCTGCAATAAGTTATCAAAAACAAACTTGAGACAATCATCGTGTCGTTTATACTCGAGCACGGTGTTTGCTGGCAAGTTGAGCACTCGACGAAGCGAGTCACGGATACGATTGCGGACACCCGGATCGTCGGCTGTTCTGCAACAAAAAGAAGATTATACTTTGGCTTTGTTCAAAAGGTCTAACATTTAAATATTAAGCCATCTCCAACAATAACTCACCGATTCCACAACGAGACGATATCCTCTTGATTTCTCACCGAGCACACTGCCCCGCAAATCTCATCAGCCACCAAGAATTGCTCGCCGATCATCGCCAATAGCAAATTCTCCCAGATTCGAGAGCAGAGACCCTGAAATTTGACGTATTGTATCAAAAGAAAACTTTAATATTTCATAGTTGGCTCAATTTGTTACCCATAATAACGTTTTGTGGCTTACCTTTTTGATTCGGAGAATCCATTTTCCGCCTTTCTTGTTATCATCGGCTTCCCAAACGGGTTTGATTCCTTTTTTGAAAAAATGGAGATCAGCTTTTTGAGTGAAATCTGAAAAGAATGTTTACTCATTGATTTAGCTATATTAGATTGTCGAAAAAGTCTTTTCGTTCCTTTTCGTACTTCCGTTTAAAACCAACAAATGCACCAATATACCGACTGTTTGTTTCATTAGAAAGGTCAATTATTTTTCTGCAAAATAACATTAAAACGGGTTTAAAATGCCGCATGTCTGAATTTTTTTGAGAGTGTGAAATCGGATAGTCAAAAAGAGCGGTGATGATGCGGTTTAGGCACTTTAGCTAAGCAAAGCCTATCTTGATGTCAATAGATAAAAGATAGAGCACAAAAAGTTTAGTATATAGCTAAATTTTCAAAGAAATTCATTCAGCCAATTTCTTTGTAGAGATTTTTATAGACTTTTACAAAAAACACATGTTTTCACTCTCGAATTTGCTTGAAAGTGAACCAAATTGACTTTAAAAGATTGGAAATTGAACAATAAACACTTTTTATTTCGAGGAAACCATAGGTTAATTGGTGAATTTGTTATTTTTCAAAAGGAAGTACGAAAAGGAACAAAAAGACTTATTCACCAACCTAACAGTTGTATCATCAAGGCTTTAAATTCTCATTAAATTTCTAGGCTTCTAGGATTATTAGGTCGGTGAATAAGTCTTTTCGTTCCTTTTCGTACTTCCATTTAAAACCAACAAATGCACCAATTGAACTACGGTTTGTTTCATTAGAAAGGTCAATTATTTTTCTGCAAAACAACATTAAAGCGGGTTTTAAATGGCTTATGTATGGATTTTTTTGAGACTGTGAAATCGGATAGTCAAAAAGAGCGGTGATGGTGCGGTTTAGACACTTTAGCTAAACAAAGCCTATCTTGATGCAAAAGATAGAGCACAAAGAGTTTAGTATATAGCGAAATCTTCAAAGAAACTCATTCAGCCAATTTCTTTGTAGAGATTTTTATAGACTTTTACAAAAACACATGTTTTCACTCTCGAATTTGCTTGAAAGTGAACCAAATTGACTTAAAAAGATTGGAAATTGAACAATAAACACTTTTTATTTCGAGGAAACCATAGGTTAATTGGTGAATTTGTTATTTTTCAAGAAGAAGTACGAAAAGGCACGGAAAAGACCTTCTGAACAGTCTAATACATACCTGATGGCCTCTTGAGATGACAATAGACGTCCCAAAACTGTTGTACACTGTTGGCGGTGGCGATTGCACGGACATGCTTCGAATAGTCTTCGGGGTCAAAATCTCCCGTTGGACGAATGAAATAGGAGAATTCGTAGGAGTATTGAAGGCGCTGCTCGTTGGGGCCACACGGACGTTCGGCCTAAAAATTTCAAGATGTAAATGATAGATTCAGTTGTACTTCGATGAGATTTTCCTAGAAACTTTCTTCACCAAATCTCTATAATGAAAGGTCTTCTATCAGAATGTTTACGGTAAATGTTAGCATGGCTTAATGCATAACACTAAAAGCTACATCGATATTAAACTCATAGTCAGTCATAAGCTAGATCCATTCTGAACTTAAGCATAGAAAAGTTTTTTTCGCTTAAAACCTTAAAACTTCTTTTACGTAATATTTAAGCACGTAACGTCTTTTAGCAAAAAAAATTTTTAACCTATTAAAATGCAAAAAAAACAAACCACAGCTGATTCCCGATTGTCGGCCATTGCTTGAATAGGATTCTAGAAGAAAACTAAGAAAATATATGTACAAATTGGGAAATGAAAGAAAAAAAAAATGATCAAAAATAGAGGAAAACGGGGAAAAGACTACGAGGGGAGACGAAATCACGCAGAAATTGGAGGGGAAATGGAGGAAAGAGAAATTTAGAACGGGATAATTAAGGGAATCGATAAGAGAGGGAATTTAGCAGATAGCCCCAGATGTGTTTGTAATTTTTTTTATGAACTCAGCACAAAGCACAAGATTTCTAGTGTACTTTGGGCTTAAATCCGTAAACGCGCTCTTTCTGGTGCAATTCAAAGCCACAAAAAGCCGTGTGAAAATGAATCACTTTTTCAAAAAACTCTTTAATAGAGTGTGTTCCTCACAAGCAAGCAATTACTCGAGTAAAATTTGCATGAGTAATTTTTTTACTCGATTAATCGACGTTTTTGCTCGACTAACTACGAGTAACTACGACTAACTACGAGTAATCCTCTTTACACGTCGAGTAAATTGAATATCTTTACATTTGATGGGAATTTGCCACCAAATCAAATAAAAGGCTGAATATCTTTAAAAGGAGTTGCACCTGAGGGGGTGGGACAAATGCGACCTTTTTTTTTGCTGGAAAACGCCTTAGGAAAGGTCGTAGAGCTTCAAAAATGTTTTCATAGAAGGGAATCGTATGCGTAGATTCCGAATTTCGACAAATCAGACCTCGCTGACACGTCAAATTTGGGCTAAAAGGCAAAAACTACGCAACTTAACGCTTTTCCGCAGTTTGCGTAGTTCTTATTTAGTTCCTTTCTAGTTCCTTTATAGTCCCTATTTAGTTTCTTTATAGTTCCTAGGAATATATTTCGAAAATATTTCCATATAAGGGAATCGTATGCGTAGATTCCGAATTTCGACAAATCAGACCTCGCTGACACGTCAAATTTGGGCTAAAAGGCAAAAACTGCGGAAAAGCGTTAAGTTGCGTAGTTTTTGCCTTTTAGCCCAAAGTTGACGTGTCAGCGAGGTCTGATTTGTCAAAATTCTGAATCTACGCATACGATTCCCTTCTATGAAAACATTTTTGAAGCTCTACGACCTTTCCTAAGGCCTTTTCCAGCAAAAAAAAAGGTGCGCAAATGTCCAGGTGCGCAAAAAAAAGGTCGCATTTGTCCCACCCTCGCATCTGAGTCATTTTTTTGGAGATGTTAGCAAAAGCGCCAATTTTTTTTGAGTTGCGTATCATTTGCGTAAATTTTTTCTAATTTTTTTGCGTCACGTATCATTTACGCCAAATTTGCACTTTTCAACACACTTTCCTACCAACTCTGACTGGTTATTTTTATTTTTTTACTACTTTTTCTCGTCGACAATGCTCGCTACTTTGTCGGTGCTAAAAATGGCATCAAATCGATGTAAAGAACATCGCTAAAAGTTTGTTGAGCAAAAAGCCAAAAAGCAAAAAGCAAAATGATTGTTTTTGATCAAATCAAATGACAAATGATCGGTGACACAAAAATTATTGTTTTTGAGGCTATATACCGTAAATACTGTAATAGTACCCCACCCCCATAATAACGGTGCGGAGCGTTGCGTAGTCTAGCTTTGAACGAGTTTTTCTCGACACTGGTTTATGCTACAGTGTTCGTTTTGGTGTCAAAAAATAGCTGAAATTCAGGGCTATTTTTTGACACCAAAGACGCATTTTTTGAAAGTACGGGCGCTTTGAAAAAAATGAAATACTAAAAAACTTTTGCGACTACGCGACTGTACGAGGGCGGTGGGGTACTATTACAGTATCTACGGTATGTATTTAAACATGTTTTCTAATTGAAAACGATGTAAATTGAAATTGTGAAGCAGAAAACTGAAAAAAAGTTGGTTAGAGGTTGGGAAAAAAGTGATTTTTTAGAGTGATTTTCATAAGCGTAAATTGGCGCAAAGGATTTTGACGAAAAAAAAACGCAGCCCTTTTGCTAGCACCTCTTTTTTTTCCGCGCCAATTTTTTTTGTTGCAATGATTTTCGCTTAAAGTACGGTTTTTTCTTTTTTTCCCAAGTTTGCATTTTAAAAAACGCATTACTCGCGGGGAAAACACTCTACTTTTTAGAGGGAATTAAAGCACCAATTACTGTTCGTTTACTTACTATTTGTTTTATTAAAAAGCCCAATTATTTTTCTACAAGTTAATATTAAAATAACTTTGACATTTATTATGTTGGGCATTTTACGAGCGCGCGAATTTGGTTTTGGCCTCCTTCTCTATTAAATCTCCTGGTCTCCTTCCCTATTAAATCTTATTAAAAAAATAGAACGTGTTCAGAGGCACTTCACCAGAATTGCTCTTTATAAAATTAATTTTGACAAAAATTAACTGTATTCTGATCCTCCTCCTTTAGTTATTCTGATAGATTGCAACTCTTTGGTCTTGAAATGTTACGCCGCCTTATCATCGATTTAGTGGAATGCTTTAAAATTGTTAAAGGCATTCATCCCGGCTCCCTTTTTTCTGATCTCTTTGAACTCGGCTCTCTACTCCAGAAGCCTCTAGAAGGCCTTTTCTCATACGTCAACCTCATCCTCTAAATGCTCCCATTTCTTTTTTAATCGAGTTATTAAATTATGGAACCTTTTATCCCTCATGTTCGTGATAATCCGACCCTACCTAGATTCATGAGATTCCCACCTTACCTAGATTTGAATTCGGCTCTCTACTCCAGAAGCCCATAGAAGGCCTTTTCTCATACGCCATCCTTCCGTTTCCTCTAAAAGCCCCCACAGTTTCTTTTTTAATCGAGTTATTAAATTCTGAAACATTTTACCCCCTCATGTTCGTGATATTCCCACCTTGGCTAGATTTAAAGCCGCAATTTCGGCAATTGATTTGACTGCTCTGTGATTCTTTCTTGAGGTATTTATTTATCTTTTGGGTGTTTTTTGAGTGGTGTCCCGGGTAATTATTGTGATTTTGTTTTGTCGCTATTCAACTAAATAAAGCATATAATCAAAGTTTGCATTTTAAAAAACGCATTACTCGCGGCGAAAACACTCTACTTTTTAGAGGGAATTAAAGCACCAATTACTGTTCGTTTACTTCCTATTTGTTTTATTAAAAAGCCCAATTATTTTTCTACAAGTTAATATTAAAATAACTTTGACATTTCTTATGTTGGGCATTTTACGAGCGCGCGAATTTGGTTTTGACCTTTCCAATGCAAGATCGGCGACTCGTTTGCCACGTTTTAAGGATTTTGATTAAGAAAACCGATTTTCATTTCAATACGGTTCGAATACGATTCCCATTTTGATCCAATACGGTTCCAATACGGCTCCAATACGGTTCCTTTTTTATCTAATACGGTTCCAATACGATTCCAATACGATTCCAATTTTGATCCAATACGGTTCCAATACGGCTCCAATACGATTCCCATTTTGATCCAATACGGTTCCTTTTTTATCTAATACGGTTCCGATACGGTTCCAATACGGTTGACGATTTTCATGCCAGAAAAGATAAAGTACAAAAAAGTTAAGCATAACTAAAGAAGGCTTCTTTTGACCTGGCTTGTGGCTTAGCCTGATCGAAAAACGATTTAGAATGAACTAATAGGTGGATCAAAGAGTTGAATTTTGGAGGAAACTAGTTTTCTTGCCAAAGAAGTGTTGCTCTCGATTCTATATTTGTTTTCACATGTTTTACGATGAATTCTCCAGATTTATTCCCCATTTTCATTGCTCAAGCTTTATATTTCAATTCATGTCGACTTTTCCAGAGGCTTTTCATGTAGGTGAGCTCATCCTTCTTCAGTTCACTCTAAATTATTGAATTCTCTTGAAAAAAAGATCTTCTCACTATTCGATAAGAGGCGAATTTGCACGCGACAATTATTTCAAAGAAACTTCCCAAAATTAGAGACATTCCAGTGGAATACCAAAGCATCAAAGCGCAAAAATAGGCACAACGCCAATAGGTAATCTGAAGAGAAAATAATCGGTAGATTACGATAAAAAGAGAAAGAGGATACGTTTTAGAAGACTTTTCATTACGGTAGTTGAGCAAGTTTTAGGAAAAAAGACCTCTTTAGCCATTAAGCTCCTTGGCGCACTCCAGATATCGCCAATTCCCGTGAAAAGCCCCATCGAGAATCTGAGGCTCTCGTTGAAAGTCCAGGCGTTTTCTTGCATCAAAATGTAGCCAGCTGAAGAATGGATTTAAAGTTATTGGCCCAGTGTTTGATTGTTGGCCCAGTTATTGGTCCAGTTTTTGGTCCAATTATTGACCCAGTTATTGGTCCAGTTATTGACCCAGTTTTTGGTCCAGTTATTGACCCAGTTATTGGTCCAGTTATTGACCCAGTTTTTGGTCCAGTTATTGACCCAGTTATTGGCCCAGTTATTGACCCAGTTATTGGTCCAGTTATTGGCCCAGTTATTGACCCAGTTATTGGCCCAGTTATTGGCCCAACTCAGTAAGCCAGAATAAAAAGTTATAAGAGTTGATTGAAATGAATAAAATACATTTCAATAAACCCTAATTGAATAACTTTCAACTTTCACTTCCTCCTTTTGACTTCTTCCTTTCCACTTCTTCCTTTCCACTTCTTCCTTTTCACAAATCACTTTCTTCCTTCCACTAATGGCTTACTGTGGTTTGAGCTTTAGGATATTTATAGATGAATATGATAGATGAATGAATGAATGAATTTACTTGAGAATCTGATCTGAAAAGGGTAACTTTGAAATAATGAACAATTTGGAAATTAGAAGCAAGACTTACAGCAAGTAAAGCTGTAAGATCAGTACACTAAAAGTGGTGTACTAATCTTACAGCTTTACAATAACCGTCTTATCAACTCAAGCTTGGATTTTTCGACGTTAAACCCGGATTGTGACGAATTGCCACTACTTTGCTGACAAATTCAATACACAATTTAAAATTGAAAGTCGATGAATAAGATACCGTAATCATACCTGAGCCTTTTTGGTTTTCAGTTCTTGTTTTCTCAGCTTGAAACTCTAGAAATGAAATGCTTCTCAATTCTCCTTTTTCTACTCAAAGTCTTCAGTCAAATGTTGAACTTAAAGCACTGCAATTCTATATAATAAAGGGAGAACAATAAAGAAATCAAAGTCTAATTCTGCAGAAGCTTAATTTCTAGTTCTAGACTTATGTTTTTTGTTAGGCTTGTTAGGCTGACACTCTAGCTATCAGATCAGTACTAGAATTGTTGATGTTATCTTGGCTTGGATTTAATGTTATCAAGCTTGGATTTATCTACGTTAAACTCAGATCCTAAATACAGTCCTCTGTAAGAAGCATTTGAATCTCAAGTTTTTTATATTAATATATTATTAGATGCTTATTGACTGATAGGGTATAATCGAAAACCGTATTTTCTCTAATAGTAGCCGAGTTGGTGACTATGGTGAGTTGGTGACGAGTTGGTGACCTAGCCGAGGCTCCTGGCCAATCAAGCACCTGGCTGAGCCGAGTTGGTGACTATTTTACGGCTTCCAAACTTCTCCCAGAAGCTCAACACTCTAATCCCCCACTAGATCTCATTGTCAGCTACATTTTCCGACCCCACATCGATAGGTTCTGATAAGCGGTTCTCGAGATTTCGAGGAATTTAGGCGAGGCTCTGGATGCACTACTATTAGAGAAAATACGGTAGTACCGATATTCTTTATGAACTCACCCCCGCATCCCATCCCTAACGCCAGCCCGATACAGCTCAACGAAACATTGAATTCTTGCATCAACGTCAAATAAGTTTCCTTTTTTTCTAAGGCAAAGATAAGTCCATTTCTTGCTTGTTCTTTCCTTTTCTTGTACTCAAGCCTTTTATTTTGATAGTACAATAAACTCGTCAACCATTTCACGTGTTGACGAAGCATGGAGATTGTTGAGGCTAAAAGTTTTATATTTCAGAAAGTTTTAAAAATTATAAAGTAATCAGTAAGGCCAATCAGTAAGCCCAATCAGTAAGGCCAATCAGTAAGGCCAATCAGTAAGGCCAATCAGTAAGGCCAATCAGTAAGGCCAATCAGTAAGGCCAATCAGTAAGGCCAATCAGTAAGGCCAAAGGCTAGCTTTCAGATTCGGATTCGGAAAGAGGACCCAAAACTCCATGCTCTTGCAAATTTTGAGCTCATTTGGTCCGGCCATTCACGAGAAACAACCGTGACCCACTAGGGAAAGGCACGAACTTCCCATGAGCTTTTTTCGACCACTAAATTGAGTATGGAGATTCATAAAACCTGTAAAGTATTACATTTAAAGAAATAAAAAACCAAAAACCACAAACTGATTGATTACTGATTGGCCTTAGCTTACTATTAGCCTTGTTTTTAAGCAAAAGTTTCAGAAGAGAAACCAAATATATTCTGGCTTGGCTTATATTCTAGCTTGGCTTATATTCTGGCTTGGCTCAGATTCTGGTTTGGCTTATATTCTGGCTCACAAATAGAGTGTATTCCTATTGAATTCCTTTGAAAATTTGCATAAATAATGTTTTATTTGATTAATTCCTTGAGTAATTGTCAGGTAATGCCATTTTAAAACGCTCTCTCGCGCAAGAAAAAAAGCTATAACTATAACTATAAAAAAAAGCGCCAAAACGGTCACGTTTACAAGAGAAAAGCCCGTTCCCACTGAGCCATGTGTTAAGATATTTGAGATCAATTTGCGTTTAAGTTGATGGCTACAGTTTTGCGCAACTTTTAAAAAGGGATTCCTCTATTCACAAATCTTACAGTTGGAGTGGCCCTGGTTTCCAGGCTAGCCTAGCATAGCCTAGCTTAGCCTAGCATAGCCTAGCCTAGCTTAACCTAGGCTAGCCTAGCATAGCCTAGCCTAGCTTAACCTAGGCTAGCCTAGCATAGCCTAGCCTAGCTTAACCTAGGCTAGCCTAGCATAGCCTAGCCTAGCTTAGCCTAGGCTAGCCTAGCCTAGCATAGCCTAGCCTAGCATAGCCTAGCCTAGCTTAACCTAGGCTAGCCTTCCACTCTTCTTAAACTCTTTTAGATCTTTAGACTTTCCACCAGAGCTTTCCAGAGAATTGACTCTAAATGATATTGTACCTATAATAACAACGAAGAGAAAAGTGCCGAAAATCGGCGCCACTGCGCTCAAGGTATGTCCAATATCGGCAGAGAATTTCATCCTTCTGAGATTGATCAATAGCATGCAGCTGATGAACTGAATTGTGTACTTTTTGCATGGGCAGGATTTCCTTTTAGCAGGATTTCCTGACTTTCAGTCTAACGCTCCTCGTGCCTACCGTGCCTAAACTTTGCGTGGGACTCGAACTTGGGGACAAAAAAGAGTAACAGTGTTAGCAGTCTAGGAGACTATCGACTAGACCACGGACACGGACAGTCTAGCAGACACGGAAGCAGTTCGTCGGCCAGCGTATAGCGGCGTAACGAGTGTGTAACGAGGCCAAAATTGAGCTATCTCGAAAGTGTCAAAATTCTGTCTGAAAGGGCGAAATTGTGGTCAAGATCACGGTGAGCAGGTGGCCGAGTGGTTAAGGCGTTGGACTGCTAATCCAATGGGCTCTGCCCGCGTGGGTTCGAATCCCATCTTGCTCGAATCTTTTGCTTTTATTCGAAAAAGTTTATCTTTTTTGATTTAAACCAATGCCACGCCTCTAAACGTAGCTGTAAACGCACCCTATCTAGCACACTACCTGTAAAGCCACATTTTGATAGGTGAACTCTTGATTGAAATGAATTTCGCGTAAAACAAGATCGCTGGCATTCGGGAAAGCCATTTTTGAGTAATCGATTGAAAATTCTAAAAAATCAATTCAAACAATCAAAAAACAAACTCCATTTTCTTTACGTTTCAATAAATCTTTTGTTTGATTTCCGAATTGCGAATGAGTGACCCGTTTGATCCAATTGAGAGCCCGTAACAATTGCACTTGTTGATCGTAGAAACGAATGCCCAAATCTTGCGCCTTATCCGCCTCATTCTCCGATTCAGCGTCAATTGAAAGTCTAGAGTTTTAACGTTTTAAAACTCTGGACAATTCTGGACATTTCTGAACATTTCCAAATAATTCAGAACATTGTGAATGTCCAGAATTATCCGGAAATTAGTTGGCTCCGGATAATAAAAATTATAATACAAACAAAACACAATAACCGTTTTATCAGCTCAAGCTTGGAGGTAAACTCAGATCCTAAATACAGTCCTCTGTAAGAAGCATTTGAATCTCAAACGTTTTATATATTAATATATTATTAGACGCTAATTGACTGATGGAGGTATAATCGAAAACCGTATTTTCTCTAATAGTAGCCGAGTTGGTGACTATGGTGAGTTGGTGACGAGTTGGTGACCTAGCCGAGGCTCCTGGCCAATCAAGACCGGGCTGAGCCGAGTTGGTGACTATTTTACGGCTTCCAAAGCTCCCAGAAGCCAACACCTAACCCCACTCGCAGCTACATTTGCCAGCCACACATCGATAGGTTCTGATAAGCGGTTCTCGAGATTTCGAGGAATTTAGACGAAGCTTAAGCTGCGCTACTATTGGAGAGAATACGGTATCTAACAGGGACTTTATTTCAAAGATATTTCAACCAGACCTGTGAGACAGGTTCTAGCAGGGACTTTAGCCAAGCCAAGCCAATAATAAGGATACCGTTTTCTCTATAGGTGCGCCCCGGTGAGCCGAGTTGATGACTATTTTACGGCTTCCAAAGCTTTCCCAGAAGCTCAACACTCTAATCCCCCACTAGATCTCATCGTCAGCTACATTTTCCGGCCCCACATCGATAGGTTCTGATAAGCGGCTCTCGAGATTTCGAGGAATTTAGGGTGCGCTACTATTAGAGAAAATACGGTAAATGGATTCAAAAATCTATGGGATATCTAGATGAAGATATTTCAATCAGACTCTACCTGTGAGCCAGATTCGAGAAGGGATGACTAGCAGGGAATTTATCCAAGCCAAGCCAGTAATAAATCAAAAAACCCACTTTGTCAATACGAAAATCCCGAATGCCACCAAAAATATGACTTGAATTGTCAACGAAAAGCTTTTAAAAGACGAGAAAAGGGTTTCCTTGTGTTTTTCCCATAAAATCCACGAATAAAAGCTCGTTTTTCGAAGATTTCTGATCATTTTGAATGAATAAATTTAAGGATTTCTCAAAAGCAATCGAATATTTTATAGAAATTTTTTCGACAAATTTTCTCGTCTGTAACGTGAGCAATTTTTACGGGTTTCTTAGCTACAAAACCTTGAAAACAAAGCATGAAATCATTCATTTTCTTAGCTGAATATCTTTTAGTGTTCATCCATTTCAAAAAATTTATACAATGCACAAAAAATCGTCAAAAAAAAAGTCAAAAAAAGCGCAAAATTCACCGAGTGATCAAAGCAAAAATGTTATAAAATCGATTTAAAACTTTCTAGAGCAAAAATCGAAACGTAAAATTAGTAAAGGAAATGAATTTACATATAAAAAACTATATAATGTAATATATATCATCACAAAAAAGATGATTTAAAATGATTTTTTGGGAGTGGGACAAATGCGACCCTTTTTTTGCGCACCCGGACATTTGCGCACCTTGCCCATTAGCGCACCTTTTTGCGCGTTTTAAAAAAGCTCTAAAAAGCTAATATTAACCAATTTCTATTCCAAATCTTGTTTTTCTAGGTAATTTGAGGGTGTCGAATTCAAATTTTGACATATCAGAGCTTGTGGAACCAATTTCAAAGACAAAACGGCTAGATCAAATTACAGAAATTTCGATTGTCGATTTTTCTCTTTGTAAAACTCCGTCCGTTTGTTTCCACAAGCTCTGATATGTCAAAATTTCGATTCTACGCCCTAAAATTACCTAGAAAAACAACTTTTGGAATAGAAATTGGTTAATATTAGCTTTTAGAGCTTTTTTAAAACGCGAAAAAAGGTGCGCTAATGGGCAAGGTGCGGAAAAAAAGGTGCGCAAATGTCCGGGTGCGCAAAAAAAAGGTCGCATTTGTCCCACTCCCATATATTTCACAAAAAAATGATTTTTTAGTTAATTTAAAAAAAAGAATAAGGCAAGAAAGCAAGAAAAATTCAAAAAAAGTGCAAAATTTTAGGATTTTTTTTGAAAATCTTCATTTGAGGTCTGTAAATTTGTGTAAAAAAAGAAGAAAAATATGAAAATTAGAGCTTTTTTTCAAAAATTTTAGGCATTTCTGAGGTACTTTGAGAGGAAATTTAATGAAATTTCATCAAATTCAATGAGTTTTTGAAACTTTTACACCAAAAAAATTGTTGTTTGAGTTGATTTTTGCCTAGAAAAACGAAACGATTAATGTAATTTGTGCTCATTTTTCTAAACGCATCCTTTCTGGTGTACTTTTGAGTGTTTAAAGCTTTAAATAAAACTTCGAAGCCTTAGAATTTACAAAATTTTCAATTTGAATCAAAAAAAGTACACTTAACAAAGTTTCTTTAGCTTGTACTTTGTGTTTTGGTAAAGCCAAGCAATCTAGCGTACTTGATTTTCGTTTATAAAGGATTAGAGCTTAATTTAGTCACTAAATAAGCCACTAATCCAGTTGCGTGCGCCAGAAAATAAGCGTTTCAATAGAGCACAGTGAGTGTTCTTTGAATTCTCTGATAAACGCGTGAATCTAAAGCACTAAATCAACTCAATCAAAGCATAAAAACATCAAAAATAAGCAAAGAAAATAGAAAAAGAGGTAGAAGAAAAAGAAAAGTCATGAGATTGCAAAAAGAAAAGAAAAAAAAAAAACAAAAAAAACACAAAAATGCAAATTATACCACGATTTAAAAGTGAAATGAAAATGTTTAAAAAGGAAATTTTTCACCGAAATTTCACCGTAATTTGTAAAGTAGTGGACATTTTTTGAATAGTATACTGAAAAATAAGGTAAAACAACTATAGAAAATAAGATTTTTTGATTAAATCATTCGACGGGGAAGAACTCTTTTGGAAGAGCTTCAGCTTCTTCTGAAAAATTTATGTAAAATTGGTTTGGAAATGAAAATAAATGAATTTCTGGATAAATTAGAGACGAATTTTACTCGAATCTTACTGTTATTTGTAAAAGAAAATCAGCTTTAGGTATCAGTAACTAATCCGGAATGGATGGGGTAATTCCCGCAACTGGGTCATTTGCGCTTCCTCTAACTTTCTTCTAGTGGACTAATCTTTATGATTTTTGTGTCATTTTGTTGCACTTATTGAGATCTACAAAATGAAACCAAAATCATTGAGATTGATCGACTTAAAAGAAAGTTATGGCGCGTTGTGCAGATGACTCAGCTGCGCAAACGACCCAGTTGCGCAAATGACCCTGTTGCTCAAAAAAAATTGCGCAAATTAGCCTACTCCTAATGGATTTCTTACCGTTATCTTTTAATATTACTGCTAAAGAATAAAATCCTTGACTCATTTAACAAATTATGATATTTAATCCTTTCTTTAGATTAGCTTTATAATATTCTAAAGTTCTACAGAATTTTCTTATTAGCTTTACTTAGCTTAAAAAGCTAAAAGGCTAAAAAGCTAATAGCTACTATTAGCTAAAAAATGAATACTAATTATTAATCAGAAAAACTACTTCAAAATGAGTACTACACTTGGCTAGGGAGACAAATGGGTCGCGCAATTTCAAACGCTTGATCTAGTCTAGAGTATCGGATTTCAATTATTCTTTTCTAGATAAAAGCTAAGATTTTAAGTTATCTAATGATACCTATCACTTATATTTTTCTTTTGAAAACGAGAACGAAAAACCTTATTGAGACTTAACGAGTTCAAAAGTCTTGGTAAGGTTTTTGATTGACTTTTTGAAAAGAAAAATATTGGTGATGGGTATCATTAGATAACTTTAAGTCTTAGCTTTTAACTAGAAAAGAATAATTGAAATCCGATACTCTAGACTAGATCAAGGGTTTGAAATTGCGCGACCCATTTGTCTCGTTAGCCAAGTCTAGTACTCAAGTAGTTTTTCTGATTAAAAAGCTAATAGCTACTATTAGCTAGAAAATGAATACTAATTCAAGTATTAATCAGAAAAACTACTACTTTAAAAAATGAATACTAATTATTAATCAGAAAACTACTGCAAAATGAGTACTAGACTTTTAAAGACTAAAATCTTTGACTCAGTTAACAAATTATGATATTTAATCCTTTCTTTAGATCTTTAGATTAGCTTTATAATATTCTAAAGTTCTACAGAATTTTCTTATTAGCTTTCCTGCTAAAAAGAATACTAATTATTAATCAGAAAAACTACTTGAGTACTAGACTTGGCTAACGAGACAAATGGGTTGCGCAATTTCAAACCCCTTGATCTAGTCTAGAGTATCGGATTTCAATTATTGTTTTCTAGTTAAAAGCTAAGACTTTAAGTTATCTAATGATACCCATCACCAATATTTTTCTTTTCAAAAAGTCAATCAAAAACCTTACCAAGACTTTTGAACTCGTTAAGTCTCAATAAGGTTTTTCGTTCTCGTTTTCAAGAGAAAAATATAAGTGATAGGTATCATTAGATAACTTAAAATCTTAGCTTTTATCTAGAAAAGAATAATTGAAATCCGATACTCTAGACTAGATCAAGGGTTTGAAGTAGTAGGTCCGGATTCCTTTCCGTTTCGTTAAGCAAGTCTACTAATCCGAGTACTAATCTAAATATTAATCACAAAACTTAACGCTTACCTTTATTAACTTTTCCCATAAAAAGCATAGCTGTATTTGAAGAGATAATCTCAAGCATTTTCAATGCTTTTGGAATCATTTCGTTGAAACGACGAGACTCATCACCGTACAATGATTCGAGATAACTAAAAGAAAAATGATTACAATTTGAACACTTAAATTCAATCCTATTATTTAAAAAAAGCAAGATCAAGCTTTATTTTATGATTGTTTATATTTAAACTATTATAAAAGTACCGAAAATTTAAACCAACCGATGCAAGAGTGCTGTGAAATCGTTGTGTTGCCGCTCAACAACGATTCGATCGTTTGGGTCTTGAACGCCGGGACGGGGTCTAGAATTAAAAATACACTTATTCAAACAAAAAATGTGATATAAACAATATAAAAGCACAATTCCTGAGCCCTAAATGTAGAGAAAACCCATATAAAACCTCTAATAGAAAACCCCACTATAGGAGCGTCGTGTAGTCGAAGTTGACACTCAAAGAACCGCTCATATCTCGACACCAGTAGGTTTGTTTCCGCACATTTAGATATCAAATTAAAGTAGAGAGAATGGGTGATTTTTTGAGATATAACAGATGTTTTTGGCATTAACCAGCGCTTAGAAAAAAATGATTGAAAAGTGGCAAAAAAAGCTGATTGGCTGATAGGTCTTGAACGCCGGGACGAGGTCTAGAATTAAAAATACACTTATTCAAACAAAAAATGTGATATAAACAATACTAAAAGCACAATTCCTAAGCCCTAAATGTAGAGAAAACCCATGTAAAAGCTCTAATAGAAGACCCCACTATAGGAGCGTCGTGTAGTCGAAGTTGACACTCAAAGAACCGCTCATATCTCGACACCAGTACGTTTGTTTCCGCACGTTTAGATATCAAATTAAAGTAGAGAGAATGGGTGATTTTTTGAGATATAACAGATGTTTTTGGCATTAAGCAGCGCTTAGAAAAAAAATGATGAAAAATCAGCTTTTTTTGCCACTTTTCAATGATTTTTTCTAAGCACTGGTTAATGCTAAAAATATGTGTTATATCTCAAAAGATCACTCATCCTCCCTACTTTAATTTGATATTAAAGTGCGCAGAAAGAAGCGTATTGGTGTCAAGATATGAGTGTTTCTTTGAGTGTCAACTTAGTCTACACGACGGGACAAAAAAGTCGATTTTTCATCATTTTTCTAAGCACTGGTTAATGCTTAAAATATGTGTTATATCACAAAAAAATCACCCATCACTCCCTACTTTAATTTGATATCTAAACGTGCGGAAACAAACGTACTGGTGTCGAGATATGAGCCGTTCTTTGAGTGTCAACTTCGACTACGCGACGCTACTATAGGGGGTCTTCTATTAGAGCTTTTCCGGTAAAAGAATCAATAATCTAGAGCGGGATTGAATCCTTGACCTCCCGACTAAAATACAGGACTCCTAAGGTCGGTAATGGTGATGGAATTGAAAATAAGTTTTAAAAGCATTAAATTACTTACTTAAACAGCACGATTAACATCAATAAATCGATCGCCAGCTCATTTTTTCTCAAATCCTCGTTGAGAACACGGAAAAATTGCAGGAAACGCTCTTTTTGCACATCACGAACACCTTCTTTTAACGAGTCGAACATTTTGATCGGCACCTGGAATAGAAAAGAGATTAACTTATCAACTGCTGCCAAGACTAAGATTTAAGATTACTCAACTATAACAAACTTTCAAGAGAAACTGTATTGTTAAAAGGTTCAGAGTCTTACAAGGAACTGGTTGAAACTCGCGGAAAAAGCAAACTCCGAAAGGAATTGAACTCTGCTTGGCAATCTGATGATCCTTTGCTTGGTAATCTGGCCACTAGATTGCCAAGCCATTTCAACTACTTCTTTGAAAAGCCCTTAAGACTATCTAGCAAAAACTATCCAGTTTTGTGTTTACAATGCTTATAAACAACTAATTTTTACATCATTCAATTCGTTTTTTCTAAGCTCTACAAGATGTTCTATATCGAATATCAAAATTCCACCGCGAGCTCCAACCAGTTCCTTGTTACCCCGGTAATGGCAAGAGTGGTGTTCAAAGTCCCAAGGTCATGGCCAGGACAGAGTTGACTCAGGGCAGAGTCAAGGTCAAGGCCAGTCAAGGCCCAGACAGAGCTTTTGTTGTCCTAGCCAAGGTTTTTGACAGGCAAGGCTAGGACTTTTGACTAGATTCTTGACTCAGCATCTTGAACCCAACAAACCAGGATCTTTTTACAGTAAAGCCAAGAACTTGACCTGACAATTGAAGTCAGTCTGAGAACAACTTGTCTTTAGAACAAGAAAGGTAATAACTAGAGTGTGCTCCTTTCAAGAAATAGAAAATAGGAAAAGAGTGCATTTAAAATAGACAGAATGTCTTACAAATTGTAGAAAATCAAGATTGATCAAGATCCAGTTGATCAAGCTCAAGATCCAGTTGATCAAGCTCAAGATCCAGTTGATCAAGCTCAAGATCCAGTTGATCAAGCTCAAGATCCAGTTGATCAAGATCTAGTTGAGCAAGATCAAGATCCAGTTGATCAAGCTCAAGATCCAGTTGAGCAAGCTCAAGATCAAGATCCAGTTGATTTCGACTTAACCCGTTTCCTATTTCCTATTTCTTGAAAAGAACACACTCTAGTAATAAGTACTAACTTGATATTGAGCTGGCAACGTCGGTGTATGCCATCCACCCGATTGCTCATCGTATCTTGTCACCCCACGAACCGTCAACATCTCCACCATTCCACCTAGATTGATTGATTGATTGATTGATAATTGATCTGCATCAGAAAAGGTACGAAACCTTTAAAAATCTAAAATTAACTTAAAATCGTTACCTTTCAACAAAGTGAATTTCCCATCTTGTGTCATCTCGTTGAAAATCGGTAACTTTTTCGCCATTTTCACTAATCGCCTCATCGTGATGTCCATAATATTCATAATATCGGTGGGAGTTTTCTGAAAAGATTTTATAAAGAAGTATTGCCAAAGCTCTTTACATTATCCTTCATGAACGCGAATTTCTGTTTCCCGTTATCTAAAGGATCATTCATTCCAGAAAACGCAGCTCGAACCACATCCAACTCTCTCAATTCGGCAATGTTCAATTGATAGTTGGCACGGACTTCATTTGTCGGCAATTCCTCAGCCTAAATTAAAATATTTGACTAAATATTTGACTAAATGTATTTTATTAAAACTTATGCAAATTGTAATATTATTGAACTCTTATTTAACAATTACAATTTAACAATTTAACAATTACTTGATAATGGAAATGGAACAGTTACTGGAAGGGAAAAGTTAATGGAGTGGAACAGTTACTGGAACTGGAACAGTTACTGGAAGGGAACAGTTACTGGAAGGGAGCAGTTACTGGAAGGGAACAGTTACTGGAATGGAACAGTTACTGGAATGGAACAGTTACTGGGATGGAACAGTTACTGGGATGGAACAGTTACTGGAAGGGAACAGTTACTGGAAGGGAACAGTTACTGGAATGGAATAGTTACTGGAATGAAACAGTTACTGGAATGGAACAGTTACTGGAATGGAACAGTTACTAGAATGGAACAGTCATTGGAATGGAACAGTTACCGGGAAGGGAACAGTTACTGGAATGGAACAGTTACTGGAAGGGAACAGTTACTGGATAATCTATCATAACTTTAATCAATTACGGTAGCTTATCTACTAGATCACTTAAAGTAGTTTTAATTTAATAAATCTAATCCATGGCTCACTTCGCCAAGAAAGCCAATCCATGGCACCAAGTGAAACCAAAAATCCAAAACTACAGTAACTTCGAAAAATTCTATTAAGTGATTTAGGGATTAGGATAACAAAATTAAACAGAACTGATCAGTTCCCATAAATTAGTGAAACCAAGCTCTTATATGCTAAGAGCTCTTGTAACTGAGCTCTTATATTCTAAGAGTACGCTTATTTCTATCTACTACAAACCGAAGCTGGTCTCGTTCCTCCAATCGAATTCGGTGGCCCATCCGGACTGTCCACATTCAACGCATCGATGATCGTCTGATCGAAGAAAGTGGCCATTCTCTCTTGAAATCCTTCTGGAAACATTCCATCCCCATTCCACCCATTCCCATTCCTTTCATTTGATCCATTCCAGGGTTTAGATCTGTGTAGGAAGCGAAGGCTAAAATAGGAGATATAGTTTTTATGATAAAAGCTGTTCAATATCCTTGTTCTTTTTGGAATTGACTCTTCAGCTCACAAGTTGTTTAGGGCTCTTAAAATTGGTACTTGTACTTGTACTTGTTCTTGTACTTGTTCTTGTTCTTGTACTTGTACTTGTTCTTGTACTTGTACTTGTACTTGTTCTTTTTCTTGTTCTTGTTCTTGTTCTTTTTCTTGTTCTTATTTAACAAGAACAAGAAGCTCCGATTCTTCTTTGCCATTCCTTACTTTACCTCCATTCCCGAGTGACTGTGTTGTGATGGTGGCGGAGTATGGTCGACCAGATTGCATCGCTGATGCGTCCATGCTCAATCTAAATGTTTAAAAATGGTTTAAAGATCGATTATACTTTTTCCTAGGTTTTACTGAAATTAGTATATAATAACGTGCTTTCTCTTGCCACGTTGCTGGCGAAAACTTGGGTCAGGTTGGATCTGATCTGATCCGATCCGATCCGATCCCCACCCATCCGGTCAAGTCGGATCTGATCCGATCCGATTCCATCTCATCTCATCCCATCCCATCCGATCAGGGCGGATCTGATCCGATCTGATCCGATCTGATCTGATCCGATCCCACCCCATCCCATCCCATCCGATCCGGTCCGATCCGATCTGATCTGATCCGATCCGATCCCATCCCATCCCATCCGATTAAGTCGGATCCGACCTGATCCGATCTGATCCGATCCGATCCGATCCGATCCGATCTGATCCGATCCGATCCGATCCAATCCCATCCGATCTAATCTGATCTGATCCGATCCGAAACCAGTACTATGTACTACTTATATACTCATATTTTTCTCACCTTTTAACAGGCGGTTCTTCTAGTGTAGCTGGTGGTGTGGAGACTTCAGCAATAGGTCGATTCGACGCCATTTGAATCAACTGATTGTACTCATCAACGGACATTGTCACCTAGAAAAGCTAGCTATTGAAGAACAAAGTATAAAGCAAACAATCAACCAAACTAATCCACCTTTTAGAAAAACTATTAAGGTTAGTAGTGTTGCTTTATCGTTAAAGTTTAGATCAGCTACCGTCACTGGGAAATACGATAATGCTGCTTTTTTGTCGAGATTACGGTAACTTATCCATTTTGGTGTTTTCCGGAAAGCTTCTATTCTACAATCTAAATCTAAGCATCTATTCTTTCTACCTGATTACGCACAGGATCAACGTTGACTCGATTCGCTGATGGCGAGGCGATTGGGGGACTTGAGATTGGGATTGGTGATGGACGAGTGAGGGGACAACTCAGCCGTTGTTGAGCGAAGCGTTGTTGCAAGAGGAGATTCGGCTCATACTGAACGCCGAAGTTTTGTCGTTTGTCAATGTCGTTTTTCTTGTTTTTCTCGTTTTCCCGTTTCCCCAGACTTTCTCTACCCTACTCTATTCTAACAAAAGCTTTTGTACAAGAAAAACTAGACAAATACCGACTTAAACTGATTCTAAATCCATTCTAGCCATTCTAGCCTCTTCTAGCCACTCAGTTTCTTTTATTTTTCATTCAAAATATCTTAATCAAGTTTTTCTTTTTTTCAAAAGTGCATTTGTCCTTTTGATTTAAAAAAAAAAGTTTGTTTTTCCCTTTTTTCGATAAAATGCGGAGGGTGCCTAGTCATCAACAGACAGAAAAACAAAAAAAAACAAAAAAACTTCAGTCAAATCAATAATTTAAACAAATAGAATAACATCTTTGACTATTTATTTACATTTTTTTAAACTTACATCAGAGATTATTGAAGTTGGGGTGGGTAGGTTTGAGGGAGGAGTGATTGGGGAGATGATTGGGTGAGCTGGAGGAGCCAGAGGGTACTGAAAATGCAATAACTTTCACTTTAACAAGGCTTTTCTTTTGCTTAAGTTTACAATTTAGTATCTTTAGACGTTAGGGTTACTGCAAGAATGTTTGCAGATTGCTGACAAGTCAATAGGTCAGCTCTAGATGGCTAGTAGCCTGGCCAGGTCAAATCAGGCAGCTCTAGATGGCTGGTAGCCTGGTCAGGTCAAATCAGGCAGCTCTAGATGCCCAGTAGCCTTGCCAGGTCAAATCAAGCCAGCTCTAGATGGCTAGTAGCCTGACCAGGACTTCTGATTGCCCAGCCTGGAAAATAATCTTTAACGTAATACTAGATTGTGTTAAATTGAAAGAACCCAGGCCAGAATTGCCCTAAGCATCGAAAAATTCCAATCCAAACCTAATTCCACCTCGTTTTCTCAGCCGTTTCTTGTTCGATTGCTTTGAAATTTTTTCGACAACTAGAAATCAATATTTCCAGGTTGTAGACAAAATTTCAGAGGAATCGGTGAAGAAATGGCTGAGAAAATGATGGTGAAATGGTTTAGCTTGAGATTTTCTGCTTGGCCTATGCTTTGCCTAGATTTGCCTAGATCTGAATGAATCTGAAACAGCTCTAGCTGAAACAGCTGAGTACTACAATCAAAACAATCACTAATCACTGAGTAATGACAATGTTTACTACAATCACGAATTCGATCGTTCCAAACAAACCGTTGTTGTGTTATCCGGACTGATCATTGGCGGGGTCATCTCCAATCTAGTCGAATTGTTGCCGAATTGAAGCTGAAATGCAGAATTTAATCATTTTTATGCAATATGAATCATTTGACATAAAAAAAACACAATTCTAATATTTCTAAAGATATTGCAAAGACAAAACCTATGTATATAAGGAATTTTAACGGATTGAACGGATCTAACGGATTGAACCGGTAAAGTTCTGACTAGGATAAGCTGAAAGCTCTAAGCTCTAAGCTCAAAGCTCTAAGCTCTAAGCTCTATGCTCTTAGCCAGGCTCATAGCCAAGCCAGGGATTTGGTCTAGCTTTAGACCACGACAATCCTAGGTTGGCCCTGGTTAATCTAGCCAAAACTACTACTAGGTCGAACCACTAGCCTACTAGGCCTACTGAGCCTAAGCCTAAGCCTGAGCCTAAGCCTAAGCCTGAGCCTAAGCCTAAGCTTAAGCCTAAGCCTAAGCGAAAGCCTAAGCCTAAGCCTAATAAGCCTGAGCCTAAGCCTAAGCCAAAGCCTAAGCGAAAGCATAAGCCTAAGCCTAAGCTTGAGCCTGAACCTAAGCCTAAGCCTAAGCTTAAGCCTAAGCCTAAGCCAAAGCCTAAGCGAAAGCCTAAGCCTAAGCCTAAGCTTGAGCCTGAGCCTAAGCCAAAGCCTAACCCAAAGCCTAAGCCTAAGCCTAAGCTTGAGCCTAAGCCTAAGCCTAAGCCAGCCAACCAGTCAGCTATAAAAGTTAAGCTTTGAAAGCAATTATAAGTACTACTTGAAAAGCTAGAATGAGAATTTGTTTTGTGAAAAAACTACTTGTTCTGGTGAGAGAATAGTCATCGGTTTTGACGGGGATTGAAGGATTTGAGCCGATTGGTTGACAACAATTTGTCGGCGTTGACTTGAGACACTGTTCAATCGGGAATTCTTTCTTCTTCTCAATTGTTCATCGTTTAAAATCCATTCCTTTTTCATGCCAACCTAGAAGAAATTAAATGAAAGTTAAGAAAAATCAAGAAAAATCATTCGAAAACTCACCGCAAAGCACTTCTTGAGTCGACATTTTTGACAGAAGCGTCGACTCACCGCGTTTATATCACAATCATCAGAATACGGGCATTTGAATTCCTGGAATATAGTTGTAAAGCTCAGGCTTACTTGAAATCCCTATTTGTCTAAAAAATTGAATCAAATAGGCAATCAATCGGAAATTTGGTGTCAAATGCTTTAAATGGATGTCAAATGTCAAATGGATGCTTTAAAAGACTCTTTTCTAGCCAACAGGGGAGACGTCAGTGGCCTAGTGGATAACGAGTTAAGCTAGCGATCACAGGATCAGGGTTCGGTCCCTGTTTCAGCTTTTGAATTCTTTTCAAGGCTATCAATGTACCTTTTGATTCTTGGATTGCTTATTGGTTGAATCAAAAACCCTAACTGAAAGGCAAGTAGCGCAAAAATCTATTTCAAATCATCACAAGTCTGTAAGTTTTCAATCGATTTACATCAAATTCTCTCAAACCTTTAGTCTTAAAGCGTTTCTTCTGAGGAAAGCCTTGCACGATTCACAGGTGATCACATTAAAATTAAACGAATGCTTTAAAAGGCTCTTTTCTAGCCAAGGGAGATGACCTAGTGGATAACGAACCTAGCTACCGCTCACAGGATCAGGGTTCACTCCATGTTTCAGCTTTTGGATTCTTTTGCAGGACATTAATGTACCTTTTGATTCTTGGATTGCATATTGGTTGAATTAAAAACCCTAACTGAAAGGCAAACTGCCCAAAGGTCTATTTCAAATTAATCAATTCAATTCAAAATTCAATTTCATCAGTCTATAAGTTTTCCATCGATTTAGTTCAAATTCTCTCAAACCTTTGGTCTTAAAGCGTTTCTTCTGAAGAAAGCCTTGCACGATTCACTGATGATGACATTAAAATTAAACGGATGCTTTAAAAAGCTCTTTTCTAGCCAAGGGAGATGGCCTAGTGGATAACAAACCTATCTACCGCTCACAGGAACTCACAAACCTTTGGTCTTAATGCGTTTCTTCTGAAGAAAGCCTTGCACGATTCACAGGTGATCACATTAAAATTATATCCAGTTGCATGATCATTACAAACTCGACACGTTTTATTGCGACGACTTCGCTCCTAAACTTTTTTTTTTTTATTAAGAATTAGATAGCCAGCTGTGTGTTGGACTAAGCTTAACGAAAAATCAAAGTTTTACAGAAGATCTACTGATTTTCTTTATCAGCTTACTTCAGCGCTTCCTTCAGCTCCTTCAGCTCCCGGAGAATCACAGCTCGATCGGCTATCTGATTGAGGACAGTAGCCTGAAAGAAATATTGTAATTCTAAGAGTTAAACTTCTCAAAATTTCAATTCTTAATCTATTACTTAAAACAGAAAAATCAGAAAACAGAAAATTAGAATAAAATGGTAATCTTTAAATGAGTAATGAGGTTTAAATTGGAGCTGCTATGCTTGGATTGGAGCTACGCAGCTCTTTGTACTTTGACAAGTACAAAGTGCTGAGTCTTTGTACTTGTCAAAGTCTAGATCAGTTAAAGCTAAAGCTAAAGCTAGCTAGCTATTTGCCTATCCCAGACTTCTTATCCTTTCCATTCTAACAAACCTCCACTTTGTGGTGATGACTCTTGTTGTTCTCTTTGATTATTGTGGATTACTGGATCATCAGGAGTGCTCATTGGCGGCTAAATCAACTCATTAATCACTGAAATTCCTTTGGAAAATCGTTTTCTTTCCGATTTTTGACCTTTTGAAAGTACTATTAGGTAAATGCGTAAGAAATTCGGATCTCAACATTTTCTTAAATTCCCAACGATAGAAACCTGATGTTATAAACTAGAATCGATGATTGTTATAAACTATTTGAAAGCTGTAAATCTCCTCGTTTACGGTTCCTATTTTGATCTAATACGGCTCCAATACGGTTCTTTTTTTGATGATGACTAAAAAAAGGAATCGAGTCACTTTCGAGTCAATCGAGTCAAACGAAGGTCATTGCTGACTTTTAAGGTCAACGAAGGTCATTGCTGGTTTCAAGAAGAGGATTGAAGGGCAAATCTTTCTGGAAAGCTAACTCTATTTTGACCCCACTAAACTTGTCCCTAAAGTGACTCGATTCCTTTTTTTGGTCATCATCAAAAAAAGAACCGTATTGGAACCGTATTAGATCAAAATAGGAACCGTAAACGAGGAGATTTACAGCTTTCAAATAGTTTATAACATTCATCGATTCTAGTTTATAAAATCAGGTTTCTATCGTTTGAAATTTATGAAAATGTTCAAAATCCGCATTTTTTATGCAATAGATTCGTTGATTTTTAGATTTTTTTCTTTAAAAACTTAATTGATAAAGGAAAACTTGTGAATGAGGGAGTGTAAAGGGTTTAAAGCTTGGATAAACGTAATCGTAATCGTTTACGAGTTTCCCAGTTCTCCAGTTCTCCAGTTCTCCAGTTTCCCAGTTTCCCGCTCACTTTCACTTTCGGGCTGAGCTTATCAATGAGATTCCAGTTGAACATATGATGCTGTGGATAGTTGAGATTGACTTCAGTCATTTTACCGTAATAGATTTACAGTTTACTGTAAAGTAATCGACAAAAAAAACTCTTGTGAACAGTGAATTATTCGGCAATTTCTGAAAACCAAAAAAAGTGTTTTTAATGAAAAGGTTTGTACAAAAAAAATCAATAAAATATGAAAGTTTAAATAATTTTTTAAAAATATACAAGATACAGTAGTTTTTTGTCTTTAAAATATTAGACGACGCTCTTGATGATGATCATCAAGAGCTCTTGATGATCATCAAGAGCGTCGTCTTTTATTCTTTGATGAAAATGATCTTTTAGTGAAGAAAATAGAGAGAAATCGTTGAAAAAGGAATCGGGTTTTAAAAATGGATAAATTTGATGTAAAGAGTGCTTTAAAAAGCTAGATGAGTAGCGAAATTGGTTCAAGATATTTAAATAAACATTGCAAAGTCTTATAGCTAGATTCTCTGCTAAAAATGCAGTATTGAAAGGGTTCTCGTAGTCAGCAAGAAGTGCTAAACTGGGCCAAGAGTCAGCAAGGAGTGCTAAACCTAGACGTTTGAGCTAGTACTAAAATGACACAGAAAATGTATAGAAGTTTTCTGCGTCTGGGGCTGAACATGGGCTTTAACTTGTTCTAGATTTAATCTGGTCTGGCTTAACCAGTTTGGAAAACTGGCCTGGTCTGGTCTGGTTTGGTCTGGCTTGGTTAAGTTTCCTGCGTCTGGATCTGGACATAAGGTTTGACTTGTTCCAGATCTAATCTAGCCAAGCTTAACCAGTTTGGAAAACTGACCCTGGCATGATCTGGCTTGGTTAGGCCTCTACATAATACAGATTAGCAATTGCAAGAATCAAATTAAGATTCTAAAAGCAAATAGGGTGGATAAAGCTAGTCATAGCGTCAACTACTGTAGTTGGATTATTATTGATTACCAGTCGAAAAATCCGCCTAACGGTTTTTCTAGCTGGATTTTTTGGGGATGACGCATAGTCACCATGGCACTGTCGGCAGCGCGCTTCTCTACAGCCCACACGAGCCGGGTTCGACTCCCTTGAAGCCCCACTGAAGCTTGACTTCTTAATTTCTTATTTTAAATGGATCAAAGTTTCAAAAACTGTTCAAGGATTGAAATCTACATAGAAAAAACGCGCCACCTTTTATCCTAATCAAAATCTCTGCGTTCAAAAAAAGGAATAAAAGTTTTTAGTATCCGAAATGGCCTCGAACACCGCACACAGCTGGGGATTGGAATGGAGGGGAAATGGAAAGAGACAAAGGGAATGAAAAAGATAGAAATAGATTCGAAGTAATGGTAAAGTTAAGATTTATAAATAAAATTGAAGGAAGATATAGCAATGAAATCGAAATTGAATAATTTTGTTAGAAACTATGCTAAAGCTTTGTAAAGAAAGTTGTTTAGTTTAAAAGAAAGCTAAAACTTGAGAAAGATCGTGAGAAAGAACTTGCAAGCCATTTTTAGAAGAACAAGAGATCAGTAGTGTTTTTCGAAAGACAAAATTTCCTCATCGATTTCGTAATATCTTAGAGTTGAATTGGTGCGAAAGGAATTCAGAGTAACAGCTCAAAAATCGAAATAGCTTAAGAAAAAGCTGAAAAATGGGGGCCGGGGTATGAAAAACAGATTGAAAATAGAAAAGGATGGAGGTGAAGGGGTTAGGAGTGGATAAAATGGGGAAAATGGAGACCAACAAAATAGAAAACAGACGGAGTGAAAGGAAAAGAGAAGGGAAAAGGGAAAGAGAGTGGTCCAGAAGGGGTTTGCTGAAAAACAAGGGGAGGGAGGGTCTGGCAAGCGGGGGGAGGGGGGCCTACCCCTACCCTGCCCCTACTCCCTTGTTTTTCAGCACCTTCTGGACCACTCTCTTTCCCTTTTCCTTTCAGGAAGGGGGACGGAGAGTCTGGCAGGCGGGAGGAGGGGCAGGGGCAGGGGTAGAGGCAAGGGGGAGGAGTAGGGGCAGGGGTAGAGGGGAGGGGCCCTCCCCCTGCTCCTACCCCACCCCCTACCCCAACCCCTACCCCAACCCCTACCCCTGCCCCTGCCCTTGTCCCTCCCCCTGCCCCCTCCTCCTTTCCGAACAACAACCCAGGGCACGTGCACTTTTCCCCCAATAAGAGACCATCGAGCAAAAATGTCTCTCAATCTTTCATACTATTTATATTTCTGTGTTCTCAGAGTTTTCTTTATATCTACCAATTTTCTCTCTCCTCCATTTCCATACTATTTACATGATCTAGAATCTCTTGATTTCTATAGTACCTATCTGGACCCTGGCCTAGAATCTGGACCTAGAATCTTCTAAACAGTTCTTTGACTAACTTTACCACAAGAGATGCGTTTACGGGACTCCTAAACATGGAAATTTTAATAGAAACTTAATCGCTTGCTTTTAAGACAAGAACTCTTTACTTTTTTTAGCTTTTTATTATTCTGTTTTCGTGTTTTTGTTAGGGTCTCTTATTGGTTTTTCTCTCTTTCTCCTCATTTCCATAATCTCTAAGCTGTTTACTGGTTTTAGAATAGAATTTTGGGTATCCTCTGCTAGTGTAATTGAAATTTTCAATGCGGGGGTTGATTTAGATTTAGATTTGAGTATGATTTAGAGTATAACATAAGCCAGAGATTGGAGTTGTTTAAGGTAGGCAAATCAAAGCTCAAGCCCAGTTTTTGTCCTAATTACTGGCTTAGCTTGGATAAGGTCTAGAATCTGGTTCAGAGGTAGAGTTTGATTGAAATATCTTTGTCTAGATATCCCATAGATTTTTGAATCCATTTACCGTATTTTGTCTTAATAGTAGTGCACCAAGAGCGTCGTCTAAATTCCTCGAAATCTCGAGAACCGCTTATCAGAACCTATCGATGTGGGGTCGGAAAATGTAGCTGACGATGAGATCTAGTAGGGGATTAAGTGTTGAGTTTCTGTGAAGCCTTTGGAAGCCGTAAAATAGTCACCAACTCGGCTCGATCGGGCTTAGGTATACGTCATTTTTCGACCCAAAATCGATAGGTTACTATTAGAGAATACGGTAAATGGATTCAAAAATCTTCAAGCTCAATCAAGCAAGGCTTTTGCCTTTTCCCCAGAGAGCCTTTTGACTTATCAAAATACTTTTCGAGTAAGTAGAAAAGCTCAGCTGAAAATCGAAATGAGCTCTTGATTCATAAGCTCACAAATTTCTTTTCTTTCTTTCTTTCAAAATTCTGTTCCTTAACCCCAGCTGTTTCTCAGATCCACAAGAAAACACAACAAAACGTGTAAGTCTCAAAATAAAAGTGAAAAAAAAGAAAGAAGAACGGAGAAAACAGAGAAAAATGGCAAAAACACGATGGCAATTGAGAAAAAATGGGGGAAAAGGGTCGCGATTTTTGCAAAACAAGGTAAACATCAGAGAAAATGGATCAATGGGGGTAAAGGCTTATAGAGAATTGGCTAGAGAGTGAGAGAATCGGCTTTGAATTCTATTTTGGATGATGGAAGCAAAGCAAAAAAAAACGCATTCAGATTCAGATTCTTTTCAAATTGTTAGGTAAGCTTAAGTAAAATAACAAGATAATTTGAGTGAAGAGCTAGAATTAAAAAGGGATAAAGGAAAGAAGCCGAATTGATAAGTTATTTCAAATCATTCGGGGTAAAAAAGTACATACCGTAAATACTGTAATAGGGCCCCGGCCCCATAATAACAGTGCGGAGTGTTGCGTAGCTCTCGGCTTTCTCGACATGGTATGCTACAAGCCGTAAGGTACCAAAAAAAGCCCTGATTTCAGCTATTGAGCGAAAGTGAAGTTTTGGTGGGAAAGGAAAGTTCGTTATTTCAATCATTCGGGATTTTAAAAAGTACATAAGGACGATTAATTTTTCGATTTCTACTCAATCTAGTTATTCATAATATAAAAAATGAGAAAACAAGAGAGGTGTTTTCTTAGAAAAATAAAAGATCGGGGTCATTAGGGTCAAAGCCGAGCCCTGCCAAGCCAAGCCGAGCCCTTCACCTGTTTACAATTTACTTTGCATTTCTCTTTTGCACTTTATTTTTCATAATTCGTTTTTATTCAAAAGTGCATCATCTTTGAGCCGATAAAGTTCATGTGTTCGGAGAATTTTCTCGGAGCGCTCGAATAAACTCGTGTTTTTGTGGACAATAGATAGTGAGGGGCAGGTAAATAATGCTAAAGATTGGATTGGAAAGTGCAGATTCGATAAAATAATACTTATGACTTTACAAAACTCTCACTTTATATGCTAATTTTGTTCTTTAACCGATAATTTGATCTTGTAAAGTTAAAGAAGCGTCACAAGTAGTGGTTAAAGTTATCGTTAAAGTATAGAAGAAAACGGTGTAGTATAGAAGAAAATCTGAATGTTAGACTCGAAAAATCCTTTCTGACATTAAGTTCTTGTGGCTTGAAGGTACTGTAAGGCTGACTATGAGCTCAACGATTCAAAAGTACTGTGGATTGTGGGCCCAGCCACTTTTGCCATTGGCGATCTAACTTTGAGCTTCAATTTCTTGGTGTTAAGCTGTTCAATTTACATATCCTTGGTATTATTGGACTCGCCAAGTCTTTCTCTATCGATTGGTACAAAAACTATTTAAATTGAATAGCTCAACACCAAGAAATTTGAGCTTAAAGTTGGATTGCCAATGGCAAAGGGGGCGAGGCACGTATAAAAGGTCTTTCTGGCCCCGCCCTTTTTCCAATCCCACTTTGAGCTCAAATATCTTCGTGTTGGGTTGTTCAATTTAAATAGTTTTTGTACCAATCAATAGAGAAAGACTTGACGAATCCAATGATACCAAGAATCTGTAAATTGCACGGCCCAACACCAAGGAATTTGAGCTTAAAGTCAGATTGCCAATGGCAAAGGGGGCGGGGCAAGTATAAAAGGGTTATGGGACGCCCCTTTTGCCATCGACAATCCAACTTTGAGCTCAAATATCTTAAAATTCATTTTCTAAAAGATTTTTTATTGAAATCTAGGCAATATCTTTAAAAAAATCTCTAATTTCTAGTCAAAAATTTCAAGAAAAAGATTGATTTGATCGTTGATCTTTTAGTTTTTTTTTGTTTGTTTTTCCTGGGGAGGAAATGTCGCAAATATTCATAGGAGCTTTACAAAATGAGATTTGAAAGAGGGTTTTCTAGAAAAAAAGTCTAGCTTTGAACGAGTTTTTCTCGACACTGGTTTATGCTACAATGCTCGTATAGGTATCAAAAAATAGCCCTGAATTTCAGCTATTGAATGCGTAAAGTGGAGTTTTAGAGGTACGGTTTACGGGTAGAGTACAGTCACGAAAGGTTTGAGTCTGATACTTTTTGAGAGAAATGAGAAAAGAAAGGAAAAGATGGTGATCATCGGCAAAGTTTTGGGGAAATTTATAGCATTTGAAGATAGCTTTGAAGTACTTTTGTAAGTAAAAGCTTTTGTAATTACGTTAAACTCGTTGATACTCTTTAGGAACAAAGGATTCAAAGAGCCGTTTGGCATTGAAATGTTTCGGATGTTTACCGAAAGCTCATTGCTGAAAGAACTCTTCACAGAAGAACTTTCATTTATCTTGTTATAAGACTACCGTAAATACTGTAATAGTACCCCACCCCAATAATGACAATACGGAGTGTTGCGTAGCTCTAGTTTTGACCGAGTTTTTCTCGACACTGGTTTAAGCTACAATGCTCGCTTAGGTATCAAAAAATAGCCCTGAATTTCAGCTATTTTTTGATACCAAAGACGAGTTTTTTGAAAGCACAGACGCTTTGAAAAATACTAAAAAACTTTTGCGACTACGTCACTGTACGAGGGGGTGAGGTCCAATTACAGTATTTATGGTAGGTCCGGACAAGCTTTCGAACATAGGCGAATCAGTCAATATTTGTATACTAAATACCTCGCGTTAAAAGAAATCCCATTGGATAAACTAAAATCATATTCAGAATTAGCGTAAAAAGTTCTATTACGTATACTGGGTTTCATTTTGAAACGCAACCTTGACCTGGTGCCTTTCCCTCGTAAGTTATTATCAGAGTCAGACCAACAGTTGCCGTAAATACTGTAATAGTACCCCACCCTCATAATGACGGTGCGGAGTGTTGCGTAGCTCTAGTTTTGAACGAGTTTTTCTCGACACTGGTTTAAGCTACAATGCTCGTATAGGTATCAAAAAATAGCCCTGAATTTCAGCTATTGATCGTTGATCTTTTAGTTTTTTTTTTGCTTGTTTTTCTTGGGGAGGAAATGTCGAAAATATTCATAGGAGCTTTACAAAATGAGAGCTGAAAGAGGGCTTTCTAGTATAAAAGGATTTGATCTTTGCAATAATCAAATAACGATAACGATTATAATGACTTTAATATTGAAAAAGGAAATTTTAGAATTAAGAAAAGATAGATCTTTTTTAATTGCTGAAAGTTTGAAACGAAAATTTGGAAAAGACGAAGAGTTGAGAGCGCTTTTATCACCGTTCTTTCGACTTTCTCGACTTTCTTTTACTTAGTTTTTGTAATCTTTTTCTTTATTTGCTTTATCCTTTATCTTTTTATTGATTCAAGATAAAAGTGAGCTTCTTTTCGTCAGTAAAACAGCTGATCACTTCTAAAAATCCCAACAAAAAACGTCATTAGATTGAAAACAAGTCAATAAAAGGTCACAAAACAGTTTAACAAATGAATTTTGTATGTGAAAATGAGAAAATTACAGTTATTCCAGAAAAATATAGCTATTCAAGTTAGCAGAAAGGATTTAGAATCGATTTATTTAAAGATTTAGCATTAAATTTTGAAATTTTTGTTCTTTCTTGTTTCTTTAACTCTTTGAAAACCGCTTTAATTGACTAAGGCAAACGAAAATATTCGAAAAAACAATTTAAAAGATTAGATTTTAACTTAAATAGCTGTATATTTTCCATTTCCACATATAAAATTCATTTATTATATCGTTTTGCGGGGGTGGGACAAATGCGACCTTTTTTTGCGCACCTGGACATTTGCGCACCTTTTTTTGGCTGAAAAAAACCTTAGAGCTTCAAAAATGTTTTCATAGAAGGGAATCGTATGCGTAGATTCAGAATTTTGACAAATCAGACCTCGCTGACACGTCAACTTTGGGCTAAAAGGCAAAAACTACGCAACTTAACGCTTTTCCGCAGTTTTTGCCTTTTAGCCCAAATTTGACGTGTCAGCGAGGTCTGATTTGTCGAAATTCGGAATCTACACATACGATTCCCTTATGTGGAAATATTTTCGAAGCTCTACGACCTTTCTCCTAAGGCCTTTTCCAGCAAAAAAAAAGGTCGCATTAAAAAAGCATTAACTTTAACTTCTTGAACTTCTTTAACCTTAAATTTAACTTAACTTTAACTCTTTCTTACTTCTTTAACTTTAAGATTAGCTTCTTTAACATCTTTAAGATCTTTAACTTTAGCTTTAACCACTTTAACCTTTTTAACTTCAACTTTAACTTTAACTCTTTCTTGCTTCTTTAACTTTAAGATTAGCTTCTTTAATATCTTTAAGACTTCTTAAACTTCTTTAACTTTAACTTCAACTTCAACTTTAACTTTAACTTTAACTCTTTCTTGCTTCTTTAACTTTAAGATTAGCTTCTTTAATATCTTTAACTTCTTTAACTTCCTCAACTTTAACGCTTTCTTGCTTTTTTTTAACTTTATTAGCTTCTTTAATATCTTTAAGATCTTTAACTTCTTTAATTTCTTTAATTTCTTGAACTTCTTCAACTCTTTTAATCTTTAACTCTTACATTAGTTCTTAACATCTTTAAGATCTTTAACTTTAGCTTTAACCTCTTCAACTTTAACTTCTTTAACTTTAATTCTCTCTTGCTTCTTTAACTTTAAGATTAGCTTCTTTAATATCTTTAAGATCTTTAACTTCTTTAACTCTTTTTTAACTTTTTCCTTTCAATTGACTGAGGAAAGAAGAATGTCAAAAACACTTTCAATATTTATTTTGATGAACAATTGAAAGAGAAAAGAGAAAAACATTGTTTTCTCTCAGAAAAAATTTCAATGATCTCAAAAATATTTTTGCCGAATTTCTGTTATGAAAAGGGAGAGATCTATTTTCTAGGGGAATTGGAATTTAACAAAAAAAATTAAAATTGATTTACTTCATTTAATCCCTAGAAAGAACAAGTTGAAATCCTAAAGTTGAAACGTTCACTTTTTACCGAGATTCGATCTTTTTTTAAGGGTTCAACGGATTCATATCTTCATACCGATCTCTTCACTCAGCAAAAACGCAAAAAAAAACCCTCACTTACCACAGGTTTAAGTTTGAATATGACTAGGGAAATTAATAATAGAGCCAATAATAGCAAATAAATATCAATTTGATGTATCAATATCAATAAACAGCTTTATAAGCTGTTATTTCATCAAGAAAAGAGAAAAATTTGGGAAAACTGTGTTCTGAATAGGATTGCATATGGAAAAGAGAGGATTTTTTTTCGTGTTCACAGAATTTCCCATCCAAATTTCCCCCTCTTTCATTAGATTCCCTTTTTTTCAACGGACATTCGCATAAATTTTCAGACAAAGAACGGTTTTTTCTCTTTCCTTTTCGTGTTCTGTTGGTGGAGTGTTTCTAGAAAGATTTTGGTGACTCATTTTTCTGGAAAGTTACTGTTATTTGTTGGATTGGAATTGTTAAAAGAGTTTTAGAAAATTATCGTAACCAAAGTGTTTACATTCGATCAGCCAAATTTTGGTATCGGACATGCTCTGCCACTTTTGCCATTGACAATCCAACTTTGAGCTCAAATATCTTGGTGTTGGGCTGTTCAATCTAGATATTTTTGGTCTCATTGGATTTGCCAAGTCTTTCTCTATTGATTGGTACAAAAACTATTTAAATTGAACAGTCCAACACCAAGAAATTCGAGCTCAAAGTTGGATTGCCGATGGCAAAAGGGGCGGAGCTTATCAGACGTCCGATAACCCTTTTATACTTGCCCCGCGTTCTTTGTCATTGGCAATCTAACTTTGAGCTCAAATTTCTTGGTGTTGGGTTGTCCAATTTAAATCGCTTTTGTATCAATCGATAGAGAAAGACTTGGCGAATCCGATATTAGCAATAATATGTAGATTGAACAGCCCAACACCAAGAAATTGAAGTTTAAAGTTGGATTGCCAATGGCAAAGGAGGCGGGGCACGTATAAAAGGTCTTTCTAGCTTTTGTTGTCTTAGTTTTTGTACCAATCAATAGAGAAAGACTTGGCGAATCCCAATGATCCCAAGAATCTGTCAATTGAATAGCTCAACACCAAGAAACTTGTGCTCAAAATTAGATTGGCAAAAGGGGTGGGAGCAGAAAGATCTTTTATACGTGATTCGCCAAGTCTTTCTCTATTGATTGGTACAAAAACTATTTAAATTGAACGGCCCAACACCAAGAAATTTGAGTTTCAAGTTAGATTGCCAATGGCAAAGCGGCAGAGCACGTATAAAAGGTTTTTCTGGCTTTTTCCAATCTAGCTTTGAGCTGAAATTTCTTGGTGTATTCAATCGTCAAATTTTGGTAACATTTCTTCATCAAATGATGTCAAAATTGGGCTAATCAGATCAAAAATCGACAGTTTGAATATAGTAGCTTTAGGAAAATTTGAGAAAACATTTTAGCCGAAAGGTTAGATTGGAAGGTTTTTATGTTCAAGTTATTTTAGCTCATTTAAATCCAAAAAATTTAGTTTGATTTAAAACCGAATACGAATTTGATTTAAAATAGAATTAAAACTAAAGCTCAACTTTCGAAATCAAGAATTTCAAAAAGGAATGCAAATGAAGGGTAATGAAAAACGAGGAAACGATGTGATCAGACGCAAATATAAAGAAAAACTGTAAAGCAAAACCAATGAAAAGATCTGATTAAAAACTGAATCCCACCTCATCATCCTCATCGTTTTGTCGATTTTTTCCCAACGTCGGTGGCTCATCTTTTTCCATAATCAGCTTCTCAACCTTGTCTTTCTAAAAAACTTTCATTAAACTATTATCTAGAAATTGAAAAGTGGCAAAAAAAAAGCCGATTTTTCATCATTTTTTTCTAAGCTCTGGTTAATCCTAAAAAAATGTGTTATATCTCAAAAAATCACTCATTCTCTCTACTTTAATTTGATATTAAAGTGCGCAGCAAGAAACGTATTGGTGTCAAGATCTGAGCGGTTTTTAAGTGTCAACTTAGACTACCCGACGCGACAAAAAAAAGTCGATTTTTCATCATTTTTTTCTAAGCACTGGTTAATGCTAAAAATATGTGTTACATCACAAAAGATCACCCATCCTCTCTCCTTTAATTTCATATTAAAGTGCGCAGATCGAAACGTATTGGTGTCAAGACATGAGCGGTTCTTTGAGTGGCAACTTAGACTACACGACTAATAGAAGACCTCCTATAGAGAGGTCTTCTATTAGAGCTTTTTTATAGGCTTTCCCTACATTTAGGGCTTAGGGTTTGTGCTTTTGTATTGTTTATATCACATTTTTTGTGTGAATAAATGTATTTTTAATTCTAGACCCCGTCCCGGCATTCAAGACCCCTCAGACAATCAGCTTTTTTGCCACCTTTCAATCATTTTGTTCTAAGCGCTGGTTAATGCTTAAAATATGTGTTATATCTCAAAAGATCACTCATCCTCTCTACTTTAATTTGATATTAAAGTGCGCAGATAGAAACGTATTGGTGTCAAGACATGAGCGGTTCTTTGAGTGTCAACTTAGACAACTTTCCTATACGGGGGGCTTCTATTAAAGTATTTACGGTAGTACAATAGAACTTATAGAGCTAATAGTTTACAGTAGAAAGGGGATTTGAATGAAAATTTGGCTTTAAAATCCTCTCAAATGCTCTAAAATGTTCTAGCTGAAAAGACTGACCTCAATAAACGTCGTGCTTAAATGATGCCCCTCATTTTTCTTCAGATTCTCATTTGGTGTTATCGGTGGTGATGGTGGGATCTCATTTTGTGGATCTTCAATGTCGGGAGCAACAGGAGCCATCCATTCAAGCTTCTCTTCAAATCGCGAGAATCTCTGAACATTTTTGATTTTATAAAACGAAATGAAACTGAAATGGAAACGAAATGGAAACGAAATAGAAACGAAATGAAACTGAAATGGAAACGAAATGAAAACAAAGTTTAAGCAATGTTTGGCAAGGAATGTGCCAATAAATGCCAATAAACCAATCTTATCAAATTTTCCGCGAAACAGCAATCTTCGTGGTCGGTCAGGAAAAAGCTGTTTTTCTCAAAATCAAATCAATTCGCTACGTCAAAATGGACCTATTTATAAAGTAAAATATCTAACTAAATGCTAAATTTCGAATCTAATTTAAAAATGAAAGATTTTTGTAAAAAAAAGTCTTTTCAAAACAAATATTAAGAAAATTTTGTACAGAAACGTTTAATTTAAAAAATTTTTTGAAATCTCTTAGTTTAAATGAAATAGATTAGATTAAAAGTCAAGTTTGCTTAGAAAAATCTTCTAGAGAAAGACAAATGAATAAAAAGACAAAGTGGGGGTAGGCTAGTTTCCGCAACTTTTTTTGCGCAACAGGGTTACACTGGTGGGTTTTAGCACTTTGAATTTGGCAGCGTTTTAAGGGGGGCAATCGTTAAGAGAAGATTTTTTGCAAGAGGGTACTAATACATATGACCACCAGTGTATTTCCGCAACAGGGTCGTTTACGCAACTCGCCATAACTTTCTTCTAAGTCGCTCAATCTTTATGATTTTGGTCTCATTTTGTAGATCTCAACAAGTACAACAAAATGAAACCAAAAACATAAAGATTAGTCCACTTAGAAGAAAGTTCTGGTGAGTTGCGCAAAAAATTTGGCGCAAAGTAACCTTGCAAAATTGTTGCAAGTGGGACAAATGCTACCTGTTTTTGCGCACCCGGCCCACGAGGTATGGGTATACCTTTGTGCGTACTTAGTGAGGTATGGGTATCAGGTCCAACACTCAACGACGCGTAAGAATGCTCATTAAAAACCGTTAGAAAATTTAGGGGCGGTAGGAAATCGGGAAATTTGCGGGAAATCGGGAAATTCTTTTGCACAACTGAGTCTTTTGCGCAACTCGTCATAACTTTCTTCTAAGCCGCCCAATCTTTATGATGTTGGTGTCATTTTGTTACACTTATTGAGATTTACAAAATGAAACCAAAAGCCTAAAGATTAGTCGACTTAGAAGAAAGTTATGGCGAGTTGCGGAAACAACCCTTTTGCGGAAACAACCCTGTTGCACAAAAAAAGTAGCCTACCCCACAAAGTGAACAAAAAGTAAAAAGTGAAAAAATGAGTAATTTTCTATAAGAAATAACTTAAAAAAAACTATTTTCTTGTCTTTTTGAGTATTTTTGGATAAAGTTCGTCCTTTCCGAACATCAAGGGGAAGCAAGGAAGAATGGGAAAAGAGGGAAAAGAGCAAAGAAGAGCAAAAGAGCATAAAAGAGCAAAAAAAACGAGTGAGCTGGTCAGAAAGTGGAAAGAAGAGATGGGAAAATAAAGAGAAATTGAGAAATTGAAAAGGTTTTGGGCGAACGGCCGTGAAAAAAGCGAAGAGCGTTGCAATTGATCGAACTTTAGACTAAGCTAGGAGTTGAGAAAAGTCGAAAAAGTTAGCAGTTAGCACTGAGTAAAATCCTTTGAATTTCTCACTATTTTACTCAACAATTCAGAAAGCTTTTGTAAACTTTGTTTATCTTATTCTACTTTAGTTAATCTACCCATTTGATAACATTCAATTCACAGTTCGAGAATAGAGAAAGGAAGAAATCGGAGAAATCAGAGAAAATTTTGAAGGAAAGATTAGAGTATTTTTAAAATTATACACTTTTTAGATAATGGATTACTCTTTAAAAACTAATAATTACTTTAAAAATTGAAGGTACATGGTACATAAGAAATGAAGGTCAATAAGAAATTCGGATTTCAACATTTTCTTAAATTTCCAACGATAGAAACCTGATGTTATAAACTAGAATCGATGAATGTTATAAACTATTTGAAAGCTGTAAATCTCCTCTACAAAATAGGCTAAAAATTGTTTCAATTCATCGAAGCATTGAAGAAATTTCGAGGGTGAAATGCAAGTGACCAAAAAAAGGAATCGAGTCACTTTAGGGACAAGTTTAGTGTGGTGAAAATAGAGTTAGCTTCCCAGAATTGAAGATTTAAAAAAAGAAAAGGATAACTATATATCAATTCATTAAGAAAAGTCTAACGGAAATGCATTTACAGAAATTTAGATAGAGCGTAAGTTCAAAACCCTCAAAATCATCAAAAAACCGGCTTTTTCACAAAAAGAACAAGAAAAATTATTGTAAAAACAAAGTAGCTCATCCGGTTCACTTGAAGATCCTTCAACTTTAGCGTTGACCAAGCTCCCATTGGCATCTTGTTCGGCTCGTTCATCACGCGGTTCTTTGAAGAATTTCTTTGAAGAAGAGATCTACAATCATAAAGATTGGCCCACTTAGAAGAAAGTTATGGCGAGCTGCGCAAAAAAATTGGCGTAAAGTAGCCACCCCAAATCTAAAAATAACAAATTTATGGGATAAAATTAAAAATACAAACGATTTCTGAAAATACATGAAAATTTTCCGCTTTAAAAGCGTTGTTTGTAATTACGCGTTAGGTGGGGGTGGGGTATTATTTTTTTCCCTCCTAGGGTGGGGTATTATTAGACGGGGGTACTATTAGAGGGGTGGGGTCCAATTATAGTATTTACGGTATCAATTCATTAAGAAAAGTCTAACGGAAATGCATTTACAGAAATTTATATAGAGCGTAAGTTCAAAACGTGTTTCAATTGATCGAAGCATTGAAGAAATTTCGAAGGCGAAATGCGAGTGACCAAAAAAAGGGCACTTTTTGAAAATAACACTCATCGATAGCAGGTTTCTATCGTTGGAAATTTATGAAAATGTTGAAATCCGCATTTCTTATGCATTTACCTAATAGTTTAAGCTTTAAGCTTAAATTTAAGCATAGTTTAAGCTGAGTACAATAGCTTTCCAAAGCCCCATCTTTTAGAAAACAAAGCCGAAAATCTTTCAAAGCCAAAAATCGCGAATTTCATTTCGTATACTTGCCTCTTCTGGAGAACAAATGAGAATCGGGATTTCATTTTCATTTCATTGTGATTCAATTCTCATTTGTGCCCCAGAAGGGCAGCGTTTACCTGGGTGTTCCTGAGCGCGAAAATTTCTACACAACAATCCGTAAACCACTCACTTTCTGGATGAGAATCGTTTTGTAAAGCTTTTAGATTATACTAGATAGATATTATAGCTTTTAGATTTATTTCTAAACAAGATCACCCATAAGACTGAAGATCAAAAACGAAAAAAAAGCGAAAGAATTTGAGAAAACTAGGAAATCCCATCTAGAACTCGTCGGGGTGAGAAAAAGAGCTTTTCCACGATCAAATCTTTCAGAGATTTCAGTCCTAAAACAAGTTTTCAAAAATTCGAAAGCTTTGAAGATTAATTTTCAATTGGTTTTAAATCTTTTACTGTATAAAATCAGATTCAAAATTATATTTTCCAATAAAAGCGTTTACCGTGTTTTCAATAAGCTAAAGATTTCCACGATTCACGAGCTCCCGGTGGTGCGGCGGGCATTGGCAATCCAGATCTCCTTTTTGAACCCTCACAGAATTAGACAAAAAGTAGATACCGTATTTTCTCTAATAGTAGTGCACCCCGCTGAGCCGAGTTGATGGCGATTTTACAGCTTCCAAGCTTTTGCAGAAGCTCAACACTCAAATCGCCCACTAGATCTCATCGTCAGCTACATTTTCCGACCCAACATCAATAGGTTCTGATAAGCGGTTCTCGAGATTTCGAGGAATTTAGGCGAGGCTGCACTACTATTGGCGGTGCACTACTATTGGAGAAAATACGGTATCTAGCCAAAGATATTTCAATCAGACCTGTGAGCCAGGTTCTAGCAGGGACTTTATCCAAGCCAAGCCAGTAATAAAGCAAATAATACCGTATTTTCTCTAATAGTAGTGCACCCAGCCGAGCCGAGTTGATGACTATTGGTCGGGTTGGTCGAGTTGGTGACTACGGCTTCCAAAGGCTTCTAAAGCTTCACAGAAGCTCAATACTCAAATCCCCCACTAGATCTCATCGTCATTTTCCACACATCAACAGGTTCTGATAAGCGGTTCTCAAGATTTCGAGGAATTTAAGCGAAACTCGCTACTATTACAGAAAATACGGTATTTAGAAATTTCATTATATTTTCTGATGGCATTGTTGGATCGCCCATTTGAGAACTCTTGAAAATTCTTGGGTTTTTGAGGGCGAAAACCGCATCTTTAGTAATCCCAATCAGCTTTTAAATGAAAATCTTGAGCTGATTAAATAGATGAAATTAAAATAGATGATTTTAAAAGAAACAAGAGCATTTTAAGTTCTTAACACGTTGACGACATCTGTCTGTCTACACAAAAAATTAAATCAAAAGATGAAAAAAATAAAAGAATTCTCGAGAATCCTTAGATTGATTGGTGCATTGGAAGCCACCGGAAGCTTATTTAAATTTAAATCTTAAAAATAAAGTTCTGTAATGCGTCAGAATCGGATTCTCGAGAAAAACAAAAAACAAAAGGCTGACTATCATTCTTAACGTCTGGTTCATACGTCAAAACGCCAATCAAAATAACCAATGATTTCAAGAATAGAAAAAATGAGGTACTTATGGGTTATCTCCGTGCTCAAAAATGATTTTATTAATTTGCACATAAGATTTTGATTTTCGGAGTCTCCCATCTCTGCACAGATATTATTAACACGTTGACGACATTGTCACCTGATGCTGTCTGACACATATTCGTTCGCCTGGGACATTGTCACCTGATGCTGTCTGACACATATTCGTTCGCCTGGGATATTGTCACCTGATGTCAGGTGACATTTTTTGTCGAAAAAAAAACAATGTTGTCCCATGCGACTGTTTGTGCAAAAACGCCATTGTCGTCAACGTGTTAAAAGCTTCTCTCAAAACAATAAGTTTAGCAACGCTTGTTTATATCCGAACAACCTAATGCTAGATCTTTTTTAATAACCTCTTAGTGAAATCAGAAGGTGTTTAGGCGGTTTAGGCGCCTAAGTGAGCATCTTGTGATTAGCATACGTCCACTTATCCTCCACTTACCCTCATAACAAATCATTAGGTTGAGAGGGTAGTTGAAATGGGAAAAGAAAAAGGTGCAAAAACGCCATTGTCGTCAACGTGTTAAATAAAAGATTTTTTGTGGTATTTTTGAATGTAAATGATTTCGAAATGATATGAAAATGAGAAAATGAGAAAAAACGATAATCGAAAGGAAAATTTGTAGCCAGTACGGTATGAAGGATTTGTATTGAAAATTCGATTACATTTTTGGAATCACGTGTGCTCCCTGGAATGCAATTTGAACTCAAAAAAAGAAACGTATCTTTTCTTTGCATTAAATTGAACATTTTTCAAATTAAATATCAAGTTATTAACGAATTCCTTTAGCAAGAACAATAGAAAACCAAAAAAGCCAAAAAAAAAAGACAAATTTCAATGAAAATTTGAGAAAAACATTAGCTTAATAATGATTTTAAAGCTGAAATTTGGGTAATAATAATAATACTTTATTCAAACGATAAAGTGAAAGAAATGATAGAGAAATGCACAGTGATACTTAATCATACAATACATACTGAAATCAATAAGCCAATTACTTACGGCAAAGAGCCACTAGATCTAAAGCATCGATACGTTTCTTGAATATGAAAAGCGACTGAATTTCTCGTATGTCGTTTGGGAGCAAGTTCCATAATCTAGCGGCTCTAACGGGAAATGAATTTGAGATTTAAAAAATTGAATTTGAGATTAATAATAAAGAAAAAGTTATTAATTGAATCGTTGATGCATTTTAAAACAAAGAAAATTTGAAAATTTGTCTTTTGTCAAAAAAAATCTTTGAATTTCATAGTGAAGAAAAAGAATCGATAGCCTTGCAGCATTGCACTTGATGGTACCGCCCTTCTCTCTTCAATTTCTTCGTTTCTCTCGAAAATCTCCATTCTCTCATTCAGTGAAAAGGAAAACGAGAGGGCAATGCACTTTGAAGTGAAAGAGAAATGGAAAAAGAAATCAACTAAACAAATAAAAAAATGAAAGAAAAATGAGGAGATGAGAGAAATGTTGTTAACCACCGTATTTTCTCTAATAGTAGTGCCACGGCTGAGCCGAGTTGATGACTAATTTACAGTTTTCAAGCTTTCCCAGAAGCTCAACACTCTAATCCCCCACTAGATCTCATCGTCAGCTACATTTTCCGATCCGACATCGATAGGTTCTGATAAGCGGTTCTCGAGATTTCGAGGAATTTAGGCAAAGCTTAAGGCGGGCTACTATTAGAGAAAATACGGTATTAGCTATTTTTTTTTAAAATATTTAGATCGTTGAATGCTTCTCGTTTTTGTTATTGAAGCTCACAACAGAGTTTTTGTTGATCCCGTATTGCTATCTCTTGTTTTCAAAACGGGTAAATAAAGGGCAAAGTGTTTGACTAAACTAGTCAACCAATTTTATGTTTTTTTTTTTTTTGTAATTTCAAGCGCCGTTTCTTCCCTCTTTTTTTGCATATATACAAAGTAAAAGATGTCTGCATGAATAACATTTAGTGCTCCAAATTTCATCATTCGCTTTTTGGCAAAAAATGGAGGACAAAAAATTCCGTATTTTTTTCGCATTCGAGCTGCATTGTTCTACGATTTTAAACAAGGAAAATCACCAGCTGAATCTCATCGCACGATCATCACTGTTTTTGGAGAGGAAAGTATACCCATTCGTCAATGTCAACGATGGTTTCAACGATTCCACGGCGGCGATGAAAGCCTCGTAGACGAGCCACACCAAGGACATCCTCCAGAAGTGGTCGACGATGACTTGCTCGCGTTGATTGAAGATTGCCCAACACTCACTGTTCATGAGTTGGCAGAAATATTTGAAGTATCCCATACGACAATCGAAAACGATTTACACAAATTTGGGAAAAAGAATCGAGTTGGAAAATGGGAAGAAGATAATGCTCTGTTACTGGTGGAACCTCAAGGGATTGGTGCATCATGAAGCGGTGAAACCTGGCCAAACCGTCGATGCTGATCTTTATTCGACGAACTGACCCAAAGCAACAAAATGGTCCGTGTCAATGTCGCCTCAATTTTTGCTACAAAAATGTAAATCAAACGACTTTTTTTCACAAGGTTTTGACTTCTGACAAAACGTGGATCAACTACGAGAGCGTTAAACGCAAAAATCAATGGCTATCCACTGGGCAGACCCCGCAAACCACTCCCAAACCGGATATCCATGGGAAGAAGATAATGCTCTGTTGCTGGTGGAACTTCAAGGGATTGGTGCATTATGAAGCGCTGAAACCTGGCCAAACCGTCGATGCTGATCTTTATTCGAAGCAATTAATGAAAGTTAACGAGTCTTTGAAGAAATTGGGGCTCAAACCGGAGAGAGTCAGATTTTTAGACGACAACGCAAAACCTCACCCTGCAAAGATCACTTATAAGAAAATCGAGGAACTTGGCTGAGCAAAAGCTTCGAGACTTTCGATGAAGGTAAAAGTTTGTCAAAACTAGGATTATTAAAGAAAATATGGGATATAGATCTTTAATTTTTGAACTTAATCACTCATTTGTACATTTTCAGAAACTCTTGCCAAATCTCGTAGTTTGGAATCTTCTCCCAAACTACGGGAAAAATGTCGTTTAGGATTCAAAGTCTTCTCTTTTCTAAAGAAGACTTCAAAGACTTCTCTTTGTTCGAGTATGATCAACTTATAAATCTTCTGCTATTTCAATGGATTCCTTAGGGGGGAAAGCTTGAACCCGAAGTCAAACCAAATATGGGTGAGAAGAAGTTTATGTTTTCGGTGTTCTGGGACCGATCCTCCTGGGAAATTTTGGATAACAAGACAACACTCAACTTAATCAAATACTCGGAGCAACTTGAGCAAGCCTAAATTTTTGTCAGAGGAATGATTCCAGAAGGCGTCCTCTTCTCGTGGACGCGTTCCACAATTCCACAATTTTGAAAGGTCTTCGGTTTATGCAAACCTTAAACTTGGGTAATTGAACCGAAGAGGGAAGTCTGTGTCGGGCTATGAGCAAGGGTCGTGTGCCAGATGCCGCTTTTTCCAACGAGTGACATCAAAGGTACGCACAATGGTGCAGTGTGCCAGATGCGGCTTTCAGAAAAACGTACACAAAAGGTACGCACAACTTTTTGAACTTTAATCATTTATCAAATACTAAACATGTCAATCAAAGGTGTTTCACCATTCTGAAAGGATTTTGGAAGGTCGTCGGCTTATGCAAACGTTAAACTTGGGTAATTAAACCAAGGAGGGAGGTCTCTCCCGGGCTATGGGTCAAGGCCGTGTGCCAGATGGCACTTTTTCCTACGAGTGACATCAAAGATACGGACAAAGCTTTGAATCGAGACAGAGCACTGTGCCAGATGCAAAAATTTACACAGAAGGTACGCACAATGAATTTTCAATCATTTATTGATTACTAAACATGTCAACCAGTCAAGGTAAATACCCAAAATTCAAAAAAGCTTAAACTTGGGTAATTAAACCGAAGAGGGAGGTCGCTCTCGGGCTATAGGTCAAGGCCGTGTGCCAGATGCCGCTTTTTCCTATAAGTGACATCAAAGGTACGCACAAAGCTTTGAATCGGTCAGAGCAGTGTGCCAGATGCGGCTTTGTGAAAATTCGCACAAAAGGTACGCACCATGAATTTTCAAAGATCGATCGTTTACTAAGAATGTCAATCAAAGGTGCTCCAAAATTCTGAAACGATTTTGAAAGGTTCTGTAAGCCTAAAACTTGGGTAATTAAACCGAGGAGGGAGGTCTCTCCCGGGCTATGGGTCAAGGCCGTGTGCCAGATGCCGCTTTTTCCTATAAGTGACATCAAAGATACGCACAAAGCTTTGAATCGAGACAGAGCACTGTGCCAGATGCAAAAATTTACGCAAAAGGTACGCACAATGAGTTTTCAATCATTTATCGATTACTAAACATGTCAACCAATCAAGGTAAATACCCAAAATTCAAAAAAGCTTAAACTTGGGTAATTAAACCGAAGAGGGAGGTCTCTGTCGGGTTATACGCAAAGGTCGTGTGCCAGATGCTGCTTTTTCCTACAAGTGACGTCAAAGGTACGGACAAAGCTTTGAATCGAGACAGAGCACTGTGCCAGATGCAAAAATTTACGCAAAAGGTACGCACAATGAATTTTCAATCATTTATCGATTACTAAACATGTCAACCAGTCAAGGTAAATACCCAAAATTAAACAAATTTTCAAGAAAAGAAGTTTTTTGATCGGTTTTTATGTGGAAAAGACCGTATTCACAACATTCTAGCGAAAGATTCGAGAAAAAGAAACCTGTAAATGTCATCTAAACGAAACGAAACAAACTAAAAGACTAAAAGAAAGCTAACAAAATTTTTCATTCAACATTTCGACTATTGTTCATCGATCCGTATTCGTTGTTTGAAATGTGATACGATTGTGAAGCTTTCCATTCGCCATCCACAAGGAATCTGGGTAATAAAGCCTCATTCTTGATTTCAGTAAATCATTTTTAAAAGCTAAACTAGATCAAGCAAGGACAGACAAAGCCAGACTCAGCTCCGAAGCTTAGATCCGGATTACAGTAACCTAGCAGGCTACAGTAACCCCCGGCTACAGTAGACTATGGCCAGAAGTACGTTACCGGCTTGTGATCTGCTTTCTGGCCTAGCCTGATGTATTGTTGGCTTAATCCACAAATACTCAGACTTCAAAGCCAGCTCTGGCTCTGGACCTAGCCAGCTCTGACTCTGGACCTAGCCAGCTCTGGCTCTGGAACTAGCCAGCTCTGGCTTTGAAGTTGGCCCTGTCTGCAGTCTTTGTGAACCTAGTCAGAGAATCCAATTCAACCCAGAAGTCCGGCATCAAGCTGGCTTCCAGCCCTCTCTGGCCTGGACCTGGCCCTGGACTTGTTACCGGGTTTAAAACCACTCAACTCTTTATATTAGATGTAGTACCAGCTAGATCTTGGAAAATTCCGAGCCGAACCTAATTCCACCTTCGTTTTCTCAGCCGTCTCTTGACCAATTCCTCTGAAATTTTGTCTACAAGCAGAGAATGTCAATTTCTCTTTGTAGCCAAAATTTCAAAACGATTGGCTGAAAAACGGCTGAGAAAACGAAGATGGAAATAGGTTGAGGTTGGAATTTTCCAATATCTAGCTGGTACTACATCTAATCTAAGGAGTTGAGTGTTTTTAAGCCCGGTAACAAGTCTGGTCAGAGCCAGGTCCAGGCTAGAGAGGGCCAGAAGCCAGCTTGATGCCGGACTTCAGTACCTAGTACCAGTTTAATCTGAAATCTCACTTGAAATCGTATTGTCCCCTCGGCACATCCACCCAAACTCCGTGTTTTCCATTTCCGAGTGGTCGACAAAGGAGTGCCACTTCCCAATTCAAGAAGGAACCCTAGAAAAGATGTTATTAAGGCTAGCAATAGTTATTTCCTTGACAATACAGTCCTTTACTGTTTTTCATTATTTGTACACTAGATTTGTACCAAAAACATCTGTCGTCTGTCGTCGTTGGCAATTTAAGGTTTTTCTTGTTTTTCTCAGCACCAACCCTTCTATTTTGACTATTTTGACAATCATTCGATGCAGAATAAAATTCCGCATCGAATGATACCAAAATCAACTTAAAATATAATATCCACGTAAAGTTGTTCGCTAAAAACCTAAACCCCGCTTATTATAAGCGGGACTTTCCCTCTTGCTTCATAACTTTGCATAGATATTATATTTTGAGTTAATTTTGGTATCATTCGATGCGCAATTTTCTTCTGCATCAAATGATAATCAAAATCGAAGGGTTGGTGCTGAGAAGAACACAAAAAAACCTCTAAATGCCAACAGAGAAAAAGAAGGACGTCTTACAAGTCGTCTTTTCTTATAATTCGATAGTTGATTACTACAATCGACTCTCGATCTAATGACTCGGTTCTAACGACTCGGTTCTAACGACTGGATTCTAACGACTCGATTCTAACGACTCGATTCTAACGACTCGATTCTAACGACTCGGTTCTAACGACTCGGTTCTAACGACTCGAAACATTTGCTTTAAAGCGAATCGTTAAATCTAGAGTCGATTGTAGTAATCTACTATCGAATTGTAAGAAAAGGCGACTTGTAAGACGACTCTCTCCCTTTTTTTGACAGTTTAAGGCTTTTCGTTTAAGGTTTAAGGGCGATTTAACGACTCAGTGAATCGACTAACGACTCGAAGTGAATCGTTAAATCGAGAGTCGTCTACTTCTAACGAGAGTCGTTCTAACGACTGCTCCAAAGTGTATTGTTAAATCGAGAGTCGTCTACTTCTAACGAGAGTCATCTAACGAGAGTCGTTCTAACGAGAGTCGTTCTAACGAGAGTCGTTCTAACGATTGCTCCAAAGTGAATCATCAAATCTAGAGTCGTCTACTTTAACTCACCGCCAAGAAAATAGTCTTTGCCTCAGGTGCCTCGATCTCAAAGAGTACCCTTCTTGTCTCATTTTGTATTTGTGGTTGAAGATTTGGAAATCCGTATGGTGGATAGAAAAATGGTATTGGCATTGGATATGAAGGGATTGGTGGATATTGAGGATATTGGAATGGAAGTGGTGATGGTGGTGGGTGGTGGGGAGAGGTTGACGAGTGTGGGGCCATTGGATCAGTGCTGGAATCGTACTTTCAGTTCATTATGGTAATCATTCAGTTCATTTCTTGTAACTATGATGTTCTTGTTTTGATATTCTTGTTCTGATGTTCTTGTTTTGATGTTCTTTTTCTGAAGTTCTTGTTTTGAAGTTCTTGTTCTGATGTTCTTGTTCTGATGTTCTTGTTCTGAAGTTCTTGTTTCTGAAGTTCTTGTTCTAATGTTCTTGTTCTGATGTTCTTGTTCTGATGTTCTTTTCTGATGTTCTTGTTCTGAAGTTCTTGTTCTAATGTTCTTGTTCTGTTGTTCTTGTTCTGTTGTTCTTGTTTTGAAGTTCTTGTTCTGATATTCTTGTTTTGATATTCTTGTTCTGATGTTCTTGTTCTGATGTTCTTTTTCTGATGTTCTTTTTCTGATGTTCTTGTTCTGAAGCTCTTGTTCTGATGTTCTTGTTCCATTCTGTTCAATTTTACTTGATATATGACTGCAATTGCCATCGATCACTGTGTCGATTGACGGAAAAGGTGGCTCTAGAAGCTGGCCCAGCGATCGCCTCATTAACGCCCGATGGAGTCACGTTTCGAGTACTAAATAATAAATAATTGGGAACTAATTAGCATCCAGTTAATAGTTGAATTCTAATTTGTCGTTTGTCCTTAGCCCTTTGCCCTTTGTCTTTTGTCTTTTGTCAATTAAATTTAACCCACTCCTCCATCAACTTCTCCAATTGTTGACTCGCCGCCATCAGATCTTCAGTCAACTTTTTATTCCCAGCCTCAAGCTCACCAATTCTAGAATGATTTGATTAACTAACTACAATAGTTTTACATTGTTTTACAAAGATTTTATTGTCGTAAGCGATTATGAATTTCAGCCGATTATGAATATATATTAGCCGGGTCTAGAAGCGTCCAACCACCAAGTATTTAGTATCATTCAACGCAGAATCATTAATAATTATGTTAAATTTTTAAAATTAGAAAGATTGGATAAAAAGAAAAAAAATTATGGGGCTTCAAAGTTTTCTCTTGAACAAACAGTTTTTTTGCTCTAATTTTTTTCCTTTTTCTCAAATCTTGTTAATTTAAAAAATTCAACATAATTATCAATGATTCTGCGTTGAATTTTACTAAATACTTGATGATTGGACGCTCCTAGACCCACTCATTCAATAATCGGCTACGGGGGCTCCGCCGATTTTGAATGAAACGTTGTAACGCCGGCAATTTTTAACCTAAACTCACAAATTTGGTACCAATCGACGCGGAATTCAATCCGCTACAAGATTATATAATATTATCCTCAAAGGGTTGCTCTACTAGAAAGATTTGCCAAAACAATTTCATTCATAATCTTCCGCTATGGAGGCTACGACATTATTAGAGATCACACTTCCATTTCGCATCATTCCACCATTGAGTAAGCTCTCCAATCTTCCATTGTAATTTTTCCCTCTCTTCACCCATTCTACCGATTAAATCATCCTTGTTTGTCGTTGTTTGACTAAATTAAGTTTAAGAACAGTTTCAAAACAAACTTTTAACAGAGTAGGCTTTAAATTATTGGGTTGTCCAGTTATGAATGCGCGTTTTTTACTATTTCGTAAATTTCTCAAGATCCCGAAATCAAGAAAAAGATTTATATGAGTATTATTCGAAAGCTGAAGATCTCCTCTACATTTTGATATAAAAACGTTTTTGAATTTATTCAGCTTTTGGGCAAATTGACTGCACAGAAGAAGAGGTGGCCAAAAAATGGAAGGGTGCACATCGGCGCGAAAATGCGTTTTCTATTGGATTTTTCCGGGAGTACCTTTTTTAGATGCGGAAAATTGTGCTGATTCCGAATCTGACGGAATTTTTCAAATCCCCTTGACAGAAATTTTTTTTGAATTGAGTTTTCGCGGTTTTTTGGTCATTTTGTATGGGAAATTTTGTGGTCCCCTGCAGTTTGGGGCTCGTAACTCGACAACGAGGGGTCTAGAACCAAAAACCAAGGGATAACTTTTATTCTAGAGATTCTTACGAACATTTTGATGCAAAAATCATAAAATTTGCTCAACTCTACAAAAAGTTATAAAATTTTTTAAAAAAGAAATGAGAAAATTTAAAAAGTTCTCTATTGCACAAATGTTTTATTCAAAAGAACAATGTAGCTATGTATCGTATTCACTCAAAACAATTAAGGAATATGCAAAATAATAGCTCAAGTGCGCGGGAGAGCCGAACCAACAACCCCATACTTTTGCGCTGGATTGACGTCGCGCGCCTTAGACCACTCGGCCACGGTTTCCCCTTATGTTTTTAGTGTATTTTGCAAAATTTCTTTAAAGATGTTACCGTATTTCCTCTAATAAACGCCCCCCCCCCTTGACCAACTTTGGACGCTTCGTTCTCAGCTCCATTTGGAGATATTTTTATGTTTAATATATCAAAAGATAGAAGACATTAAGGGCTATCTTTTGATATATTAAACATAAAAATATCTCAAAATGGGGCTGAGAACGAAGCGTCCAAAGTTGGTCAGGGGGGCGTTTATTAGAGGAAATACGGTATAACTTTTTGTAGAGTTGAGCAAATTTTATGATTTTTGCATCAAAATGTTCGTAAGAATCTCTAGAATAAAAGTTATCCCTTCGTTTTTTGTTCTAACCCCTGATTGTCGAGTTACGAGCCCCAAACTACAAGGGACCACAAAATTTCCCATACAAAATGACCAAAAAACCGCTAAAACTCAATTTAAAAAATTTCTGTCAAGGGGATTTGAAAAATTCCTTCAGATTCGGAATCAGCACAATTTTCCGCATCTAAAAAAGGTACTCCCGGAAAAATCCAATAGAAAACGCATTTTTGCCTTATTTCGCGCCGATGCGCCGATCGTTGAGTCAAGACTGGAAATTGTAGCTGTTTAATTCTTGGGATTATAGAAGTGTTATATATCATTCGAAAGCTGAAGATCTCCTCTACATTTTGATATAAAAAGTTTTGGAATTTATTGAGCTTTTGGGCAAATTGACTGCACAGAAGAAGAGGTGATCAAAAAATGGATGGGTGCCTTTGGATCAAGTTTTGGCTCCGCTCAAATTGAGTTAACCGTTTGATGTTTGGCCAATAGATATATCAATACAACTTCTTTTTAAACATACCGATTTCAGAGCATCTTTACTTTTCTTTTCTTTTCTGGGCGGTTATTTTACACCATAAAACTTGAGGAATAGCTAAGCTGGGATGAGTTTTTTCGGAAACGACCTCTCCCTTTGTGCAGTCAATTTCCCAAAAGCTGAACAAATTCCAAAGGTTTTTATTCCAAAATGTAGAGGAGATCTTCAGCTTTCGAATGATATATAACACTCATATAATCCCAATAATTAAACAGTTCAATTAAACACCATAAAAGGCACCCTTCCATTTTTTGGCCACCTCTCCCTTTCTGCAGTCAATTTGCCCAAAAGCTGAACAAATTCCAAAGCTTTTTATATCAAAATGTAGAAGAGATCTTCAGCTTTCGAATGATATATAACACTCATATAAATCTGTTCGATATCTTGAGAAATTTACAAAATAGTAAAAACGCGCATTCATAACTGGACAGCCCAATAGATTCGAAATTCCTCAACTCGAAATTCCTCACCTCAACTTATCACAAGCCTCTCCCAATTGATGTTGAAGAGCGTTGATTGTTTGCTCCAAATAAGAATTCCTCTCGGTAAGGAGAGCCGTTTTCTCTAACTTAAACAAATCGATATAGTTATTTAATAAATTCAGAATTAAGTCATTCAATAATATTCAATGATACACAAAGATATTCAATGAATTAAAGAACTTTTTGTATTCTCTCACCTCATCAGCTCTCGGACCACGTTGCTCAAGAACAGAGACTCTAAAAAGAAACTTTCATAAATAAATTCTTTTTTAAAATTAGACATGCTATTACATTAAACTCCATGATTATTTTTTTTTGATCGTATTCTCTCTAATAGTAGCCTCTCTCTAATCTCTCTCTAATCTCTCTCTAATCTCTCTCTCCTATCGTATTCTCTCTCTCCCAGAGCCTCGCCTATCACTCGCCAGAGCCGTTCCTCGAAATCTCGAGAACCGCTTATCAGAATCTATCGATGTGGGGTTGGAAAATGTAGCTGACGATGAGATCTAGTGAGGGATTAGAGTGTTGAGCTTCTGGGAAAGCTTGAAAACTGTAAAATAGCCATCAAATCAGCTCGATGGGGTACACTACTATTAGAGAAAATACGGTATTAGGTTTTGGGTTAATTTTTTGTTTAAAGTTCTCTCCACACTCCATTCCCTTTTCTCACTTTTCTTGTGCTGACCCCAAATGTGCTTCCACTTCGATTTTCTCCTTTTGCGTTAACGTTAAACGTTTTCGCAAATCGGCTATCAAATTGTGAAGATTACTAGAAAGCAGTAATAGTTTTGTGTTTATTTAAATCTAGATTTAAATCTAGATTTAAAATCTAGATACAATCGACTCTCTCTATAACAGAACTAATGGAAAGCTTTATTTAATGGAATGGAATTTTGGTTTGGATCAACGCAAAGCTATAATGGACTCTATATAGCTATAATGGCACTCTATATAACGGGAAACACAAAGCTATAATGGCACTCTATATAACGGGAAACTTTTTATCTTTTCCATTCCGTTATACAAAGAATCGACTGTACTCTATCTTATTCTTGCTCAATTTGTTTATATTCTTTATTCTTTAGAGTGTACGTTGTGTTTAGCAAATCCCATTCAGCGCAATTGATTCATTTTTCTCGCAACAACGAGTTGATTTCTTGAGAAAATTTCGAGAAAAGACGATTTCAATGCTAGAATTGATTTTCAAAGTGAGCCATTGAGCTAAACCATTGAGCAATACAAAACAATCCTATCGTATCAGAATCATTTCCAGGCTCTTTTTCTTTCTACCCTAGCTACAAAATACTTACCGTAAATACTGTAATAGTACCCCACCGCCCTCGTACAGTCGCGTAGTCGCAAAAGTTTTATAGTATTTTTCAAAGCGTCTGTGCTTTCAAAAAATTCGTCTTTGGTATCAAAAAATAGCTGAAATTTAGGGCTATTTTTTGATACCAAAGCCCCTAAACCAGTGTCGAGAAAACTCGTTCAAGGGGACACCGTATTTATTCTAAAAAACCCCCTCGACCAACTTTAGAGTCTCGTTCTCGCCCGATTTTAAGCTGAGGCGGGTACAAAAAAGCCCGCATTTTTTTTGTTCCCCTACGAGCATTGTAGCATAAACCAGTGTCGAGAAAAACTCGTTCAAAGCTAGAGCTACGCAACACTCCGTACTGTCATTATGAGGGTGGGGTACTATTACAGTATTTATGATAAGTTATTGTGAAAGCTAAAAGGAGACAAAGAAAGAATCATAATTCTACGACTATAAGAAGTTGAATTAAAAGAAATGAATTACGTGCTATGGCTTGCGATGCGACTTTTCGGTTTAAAACTTTTCGTGACTGTACTCTACCCTTAAATCGTACCTCTAAAACTCCACTTTACACATTCAATAGCTGAAATTCAGGGCTATTTTTTGATACCTAAGCGAGCATTTTAGCATAAACCAGTGTCGAGAAAAACTCGTTCAAAGCTAGAGCTACGCAACGCCCCGCCCGTCATTATAGAGGAGCGCTACTATTCCATTTTTTTCAAAGCGCCCGTACTTTCAAAAAATTCGTTTTTGGTATCAAAAAATAGCTGAAATTCAGGGCTATTTTTTGATATCTAAACGAGCATTGTAGCATAAACCGGTGTCGAGAAAAACTCGTTCAAAGCTAGAGCTACGCGACACTCCGCACTGTCATTATCAGGGTGGGGTATTATTACATTATTTACGGTATATAACTTCAAAAATCACTTACTTCATCTCCTCCTCTTTCTCGATGAGCTCTTGGATTCTAAAAGTTTAACAAGTTTTTGATATTACAAAAATGATAAGCAGTTGCGATGAGCGAAACTCGCATTTAGAAGTTAGCTAAGAGAAAACGAAGAAAAAAAAAACTCAAATTCTATTTGGTACTTATAGAAAATAATTGCGTTTTTCGTTGGGATTCACTTTGAAATTTTTTTTAAAACCAAGATTTAATGAAATTAGAACCTAGATTTTTTTTCTACGTCAAAGAGATGGAGATCTAGCAAATCAAGAAGATGTACTCAAAGTTGTAGATTTTGTTTAGTCAATCGAAAAGGCTCTATCCTGCAGAATAGAGCTCTATCCTGCAGGACAAGGCTCAAGTTTCTGTGATTAATGGATCGATGGAGATCCGGTTTTAGAAAAAGAAGTCGGCATGATATAAGAAAGGAGTTTTACACTATTCGTTGCTGAAAAGGAGCTGATTTGGTATCAAGCATCGATTCAGAGATCTACGTCAAGGAGATGAAGATCTAGCAAATCAAGAAGATGTACTCAAAGTTGTAGATTTTGTTTAGTCAATCGAAAAGGCTCTATCCGGCAGGATAGAGCTCTATCCTGCAAGGCTGAAGTCTCTGTGATGACACTCAATGATTTAAGCATCAAAATTCTACCTTATCCAGTCTATACACCAAATTTATCACTAATTTATCACCAATTAATCACTTCTTTTAACCAACTTGCTTTCTCAGAGATCAAATCTTCAAAGATGCGGTTGAGGTTTAAAATGCCAGACGCTTTTATCAACTCTAGAACTAGAACTGGAGCTTTTATCAACTCTAGAACTAGAACTGGAGCTTTTATCAACTCTAGAACTAGAACTGGAGCTTTTATCAACTCTAGAACTAGAACTGGAGCTTTTATCAACTCTAGAACATGGCTTGAAAGTTTTCTAGCAAAAAGTGCATAATTGTAATGGATATTTGATTTTAATTAGTTAGTATTTGATGATTAACGCTTTTATCGAGTAGTTGAGTAGGCGAAAAACAGTTATTTTCCATAGTACCTAATAGAATTAACACTTCAAATCTCAGCTATACTTATAATCATGTTGTTCTCTTTCGGACCACAATTCAGTTTGTAGACTTTCCGCCTGCGCTTCCCAATCGGCGCATCTGTTACGATAAATTCGCTCAGTTTGTTCAATGAAAAGTTGAACTAGTCTTGTTGGCTTGTCTTGTTGGCTTTTCTTGTTGGCTTGTCTTGTTGGCTTGTCTTGTTGACTTGTCTTGTCAACTTGCCTTGTTGACTTGTCTTGTTGAACTTGTCTTGTTGACTTGTCGTTCAACTTGTCTTGTTGGCTTGTTTTGTTGGCTTGTCTTGTTGAAATTATCTTGTCAACTTATCTTGTCAACTTGTCTTGCTGAACTTGTCTTGTCAACCTGCCTTGTCAACTTGTCTTGTCAACTTGTCCAACTATTAAATATCCAATTGTTTACACTCTTACTCTTTACACAGACCTCTAACTCCTTCAAACTTTTCCTTACTTTTGATGAGCAGCGTCTAGTTCAGTCTGAAGTTTGATAATCCTTGCTTGAGCTTCATTTCTCTCAGCTAACGTCACACTTTCAGATGATGAGCTAGCAGCAAGTTGAGAGGATAAACTAAAGGTAGAAAAGATTTTAAAGCCAATTGAAATCTAATCTAGATCTAATCTAGATCTAATCTAGATCTAATTTAAATCTAATTCAAACCTAATTCAAATCAAATTCGGCTTAGGCTTGACCCAACATTACAATGCTCTTGACTCAAGACGGCCATTAATGTTCATCAGAGTTACTGTAGGCCCATCATAGGTCCAACAACAAGGCAACTAGGGGCTGGTCAGCTAGGCCAGAGATCAAGAATATTACAACCGGCTTAGGCTGGCTTCTGACCAGGCAATGCCTTGCTTCTGGTGAGGGAAAGGCTTCTAATTTCAATCTAATCTATTGGGTTGGGGACTATGACTCGGCGCCAAACTTTAAAGGGACTTTTTGCACACATAAAGCCTTCTTTAAACATATGTTTGGTTTCATCAAAAGGATCCACTATTTCTCTACAAAATCACTTTTGAGAGATTCCACAAAGCTTTTCTTTCGTGGAGTTTATGAACTTCCAAACGCAGCTGGTTAAAATGGCAAAGAGTCCAACTCATCATTTGAACAGTTTCTTTCACATGAACCTTCTTTGGTGTTTATATAAAAAAGATAGAGCACATTCAATTACTTAAGTTGCCAAATTTGCAGGAAGATCCCACCAATGGTTTTTTCTAGATCACAGTTTGTAGTTTTTGTGAAAAAATGGCTTTTTCTTGAGCGGAGGCGCTGTTTGAATTTTCTTTTAAATGTCATTTTGTAGAGAATTAGTTAACCATTCTACTCATATCAAACGCATATTATTTGACGAAGTCGAATAGAAGTTTTAGACATTTTTTTGATTTTCGGCGCCGAGTCATAGTCCCCAACCCAATAGATCTAATTCAAATCTAATTTAGCTCTAATTTAGCTCTAATTCAAATCAAAATCCTTTAAATCTCTAGCTCTAAACATCAAACCAAATTCAATTTCCAACTCACTCATTACACTTTTGTCTTTCATATTCTAATTCCTGTTGTAATTGTTGAATTGCTAAATCTCTCGAATCTTCAGGAGTCTAAATTTTTGAATTTTTAAATACTCAAATAATTCCCACTTTTCCCTTTTTGCCTTTTCTTTTTTTATCCGAAGATGAAGTGGGAGTTGGCTCAGGAGATCCGCTGAAAATTCACAAGTTAATTTCACTAGTTAATTTCAAAAGTTAAAAAGAATTTAGTATATATGTCGTAGCCGTTTACGAAATTCAGCCGCTAACAAATGAGGGGATTCCCGGGCATCCAATCAAAAAGTGACCCAAATAAAAATGTTCATAATACATATATTTTATAATAAATTTTTGAAATTAGCTCATTTGGTTCAGTAGAAAATTTATTTTGAGCCCCCAAAGTTTAGGTTTTTGAACCTAAACTTTGGGTGGCTATAAAAAATTTTCTACTCAGCCAAAAAACTTGCCTAATAGCTCATTTTGTAGCCAATTTGATGTAGTTTCTTAAAGTAAAGCCATCTAAAACAATTTTTCGTTGAAAGTAGGAGAAAGAGGGCGAGGAACAAATTCAGGGCAGTTCTCAAATGTGAAAACAGCAACCGAGTTCAACTGAAGTCGTTCCTCGCCCTCTTTCTCCTAACAAATGTTCAATGTAGCTTTACTTTAAGAAACTACATAAAATTGGCTACAAAATGAGCTATTAGGGCAAGTTTTTGGCTGAGTAGAAAATTTTTTATAGCCACCCAAAGTTTAGGCTCAAAAACCTAAACTTTGGGGGCTCAAAAAAAATTTTCTACTGAACCAAATGAGCTAATTTCAAAAATTTATTATAAAATATATGTATTATGAACACTTTTTGTGTGGATGACTTTTTGATTGGATGCCCGGAAATACCCTCATTCGTTAGCGGCTGAATTTCGTAAACGGCTACGACATATAAACTTTGGAAACTTGATTTCAATCAATTACATAATGATTTCCGGAACTGATTGGGTCAATGTTTCGTTTAAATTCGTCCTCAACTCTTCATTCTCTCTTTTCTGCGCCTCCAAGAGATTCTCGGTGTCTTTTAGTCTGAAATTTGCATTGAAAAAGAGATTGTTATCTAGATTAAAAGATATTTAATTTATCGTACTTTTAAATAGATTCATTTAATCTATTTAAAACATTAATTATTTCAAGTTTCCAGCAGATTTTACCCTCTGAAGGGACTTTAGAGTAAAATCTGCTGGATTCTGACCAGAATTTACCCTCTGAAGGGACTTTAGAGTAAAATCTGCTGGATTCTGACCAGAATTTACCCTCTGAAGGGACTTTAGAGTAAAATCTGCTGGATTCTGACCAGAATTTACCCTCTGAAGGGACTTTAGAGTAAAATCTGCTGGATTCTGACCAGAATTTACCCTCTGAAGAGCCTTTAGAGTAAAATCTGCTGGATTCTGAGCAGAATTTACCCTCTGAAGGGACTTTAGAGTAAAATCTGCTGGATTCTGACCAGAATTTACCCTCTGAAGAGCCTTTAGAGTAAAATCTGTTTGATTCTCAGCAGATTTTACCCTCTGAAGGATTTTCAGAGTAAAATCTGCTAGATTCTCAGCAGATCTTATTCCGTCGACCACAATTTTTCTGCTATTAACATCAATTTTTGCATCGAAGAGCATCACGTGAACGGACTGTAAAATAAGAACGAACTGTGAAGAAAGAACGGACTATAAAAGAAGAACAGACTATAAAGGAAGAATAGACTGTAAAGGAAGAATAGACTGTAAAGGAAGAACAGACTGTAAAGGAAGAACAGACTGTAAAGGAAGAATAGACTGTAAAGGAAGAACGGACTGTAAAGGAGGACTGTAAAGGAAGACGGACTGTAAAGGAAGACAGACGAAAGGAGAATAGACGAAAGGAGAGACTGTAAAGGAAGAACAGACTGTAAAGGAAGAATAGACTGTAAAGGAAGAACGGACTGTAAAGGAAGAACGGACTGTAAAGGAAGAACGGACTGTAAAGGAAGAGCAGACTGTAAAATATCGAAGAGTTGTGTAGATGAGTTATTCAGCGGAGTCGTTTAATAAAGTTAATTAATAAAGTTATTCAATCTATTTCATTCTCTACAGTAATCCCAGCCAAAGAAAACATCCTATTCAGTCTAGCGTAACTCGAAATAAAGCTTTACCGAGGCTGCGACTTAAATAAGTTATAGTTAGTCTATCGTCACCTCTAATAGTTGACCGTTTATTCTACCTGATAACCTAAGAATCCTACCAATTTACTCATTTTACCCACCTCAACTCCAATTCAGCTTTTTCGGAATTGATTTGCTCAAGCTCTTTCTTCTTCGCATCTAATTGTTGCTGGAGATAAGATTCGCTCTGAATGAAATAGTAAAACATCAGCTCTATTTCCATTTGGAGTGTTGAAACCATTGCAACCATTGAAACTATTACACCAGTTGATCCTCTTATTAGTTGAGGCTGGGAATCCAAAAAATGAGCAACAGTGGGATTCTAACCCGTGCCCATACCTTGCCCCTCGCTTATCAAGCAAACGTTCTACCCCTGGCTACACCGACATGGATCTTTGGCGATATGGTAGGGCTTTATTTAGAGCTTTATTTAGAGCATTCTGCTTTACTAACCTCATCCGACACATGCACTTCCTCAGGTTGTGCTTCAAAGCCGCTCTTTGGCTTGTGCGATCGCTTTGGACTAGCCTAAAGCTTGTTTATTATCGAAATTCTTTCATATCTATATTATGCAACTCTAGATTATCATAGAATCTATCTAATCTATCTATCTACAGTATTCAAAGTCAGTCAAAGAAGTCAAAGAAGTCATTTAAAGCTTCAAAGCCGCTCTTTGACTTGTGCGATCGCTTTGGACTAGCCTAAAGCTCATTTATCATCGAAATTCTTTCAATTCTATATTATACATCTCTAGATTATCATAGAATCTATCTATCTACAGTATTCAGTCAGTCAAAGAAGTCAAAGAAGTCATTTAAAGCTTCAAAGCCGCTCTTTGGCTTGTGCGATCGCTTTGGATTAGCCTAAAGCTCATTTATCATCGAAATTCTTTCAATTCTATATTATACATCTCTAGATTATCATAGAATCTATCTATCTACAGTATTCAGTCAGTCAAAGAAGTCAGTTAAAGCCAGTTAAAGCCAGTTAAAGCCAGTTAAAGTCAGTTCTCACCTTTGCATCTCCTGTCCTCTTTGCGCCGCCAAATCCTAGACCTGCTTGGGCTAAAATTAAGCAAAATTAGATGCTAAAATCGAATTTTCATTCAGAAATTCATTTTATATGAAAAAAAAGAATCGTTCTTTTCAACTTACAAATCAATTTTTGCACAGCGCTCAAATTTCTTTCGAAAATTTCGGAAGCTTTCGTGTACTCTCCACCATAACCACAATTTGCACCATGTCGATGACCATGAGCTAAAGAAAATAACGATAAAATTGATGGTTTAACGATTTCAATTCTCATTTCTTAAGATTAAGCATTGCTTTTTTCAATAAACTTTTACCTAAATGCACATAAATCTCTTGTGCTGTCCAGCCGCCAAAAGGAGAAAGCACTTTTCCTGTCGTTGAGTCAAGACTGGAAATTGTAGCTGGTTAATTCTTGGGATTATAGAAGTGTTATATATCATTCGAAAGCTGAAGATCTCCTCTACATTTTGATATAAAAAGTTTTGGAATTTATTCAGCTTTTGGGCAAATTGACTGCACAGAAGAAGAGGTGGTCAAAAAATGGATGGGTGTCTTTGGATCAAGTTTTGGCTCCGCTCAAATTGAGTTAACCGTTTGATGTTTGGCCAATAGATATATCAATACAACTTGTTTTTAAATATAACAATTTCAGAGCATCTTTACTTTTCTGGGCGGTTATTTTACACCATAAAAGGCACCCTTCCATTTTTTGGCCACCTCTTCTTCTGTGCAGTCAATTTGCCCAAAAAGCTGAACAAATCCCAAAGCTTTTTATATCAAAATGTAGAGGAGATCTTCAGCTTTCGAATGATATATAACACTCGTATACATCTGTTCGATATCTTGAGAGATTTACAAAATATTTAGTTGGTGAATTGAAAACCGCCGGCTATTGTCATATGTGACAGTTTGAGCACTTTCTTCAGAAGAAACCCATTTTGGTGTCAATGGAAAAGTTGTAGAGAATCAAAAATCAAGCTTATATCCAAATTTTCAGAACGATTCAAAAACTGGTTTTCAAGAAATGCCAAATTTACGAATTTTCACAAAACTTGCATTTTAAGCGAAACTACTAAGTGTATCTTTTTGCAAATTTGGCTATAAGCCTAATTTTTGATTCTCTACAACTTTTCTATTGACACCAAAATGGGTTTCTTTTGAAGAAAGTGCTCAAACTGGGCTGACAGCTGACATCTCCAGTCCTCCATTTTTGAGTCTCACACTTGTCTGACACACAAACCAAAATCCTACTACGAAAGAGGAATCCGCAAATTGCCTGTAAAATGGGCAGAAGTCGTCAATAATAATGGAAATTGTTTGGAATGAATCGATGGTTATGTAGAATAAATTTTAGTTCAAAGTCCCGGCAGTTTTCAACTCCCAAACCCAATCAAAAATTGGCAAAAAGCTGGGACTGGGAGTTGCTGGATAGCAAGACGACCTTTAATGCAATCAAATACAGTGAACAGTTGGGACAGGTGAATGAATCCCTGAAGAAGAATAGGCCCTCCAAGTCAAAGATCGTTCTCCTTCACGACAACGCGCCCTTATGTTGCAAAACTGACTCGCTCTAAAATGAATAGCCTTGTTTGGGAACTTTTGCCGCATCCTCCATACAGTCCGGACCTCGCCCCTTCTGATTATTATCTATTCCGGACCATGAGTAAATGAGCTTGCGGGAGAACACTTCGATTCGGAAGAAGCAGTCAAAAATTGGCTTTGAAAGTTTTTCGATTCAAAGCCAAAATCCTACAACGAAAGAGGTATCCGCAAATTGCCTTTAAAATGAGCAGAAGTCGTCAATAATAATGGAAATTATATGGAATGAATTGATGGTTTTATGTTGAATAAATTTTAGTTCAAAGTCCCGCAGTTTTCAACTCACCAACCCAATAATAATTTTATCTAAATTCAAAGAAAAATTAAACTATTATAGCTCATTTGATAGCCAAAAATCTCCTCTTAAAAACTGGTATAAAATTATAGAGTTCTATCTGCTAAATCGATAATAAAACCCTTAAAAACAACAAAACAAAAAAATTTTCGTCGTTTGCTTAGAATTTGAAAGAAAAGAAGTAAAAGTTGAAAATTAAATGGACTAGAATACATGAAAAAGTCAATAAAAGCTTGTTTTTTCAAACCTCAACGCTTTTCTTTGTCCATTATCTCGAAAATAGAGTCCATGTGCGCCGGGGATAAGCGATTGAACAGTCGAGAAAAGAAGTGATCCATCTGTATCCAATGGCACGTTCACTGACTCGATCAACAGGTTCACCCACCCTGAAATTAAAAGTATAAAACGATTAATAAACAAATAATCTAGTGTGATAACGCTTTTTTTTCTTGAACTTGAATCACTTTTCATTAAGAAATTAAGAAATGAATTAAGAAAATTTTTTTGATTTTAATGATTTTGATTGAAATTTCTTTTGATTGAAATTTCTTTTGATTGAAATTTCTTAAAGCTTCACTCATTCTTTTTGTTGTTCGTTTTCTTTTCTATCAGCTTTCTATCAGCTTTGAGTATTACAGCTGTAAGGAGAGCTTTTTTTTGGATTCTTTAGGTGAAAAATGAGATAAAGTGAGGAAAAGATGATGAAGAAAGAGAAGAGAAGAAAGAGAAGAAAGAGAAGGAAGAAGGAGAAGAAAGAAAGAGAAGAGAAGAAAGAGGAGAGAAGAAAGAAAGGGAAGAAAAGAAAGAGAAGAAAGAAAGAGAAGAAAGAAAGAGAAGAGAAGAAAGAGAAGAGAAGAATGAGAAGAGAAGAAAGAAAGAGAAGAGAAGAAAGAAAGGAAAGAAAGAAAGGGAAGAAAGAAAGGGAAGAAAGAGAAGAAAGAGAAGAAAGAGAAGACAGAAAAGAAAAGAAAGAAAGAAAGAGTAAAACTGTCAATCAATTTGGAAACTAAAGAGAACGAGGAGTTCTTTGAGTAGTGCTTTTCAAGTAGACTCTTCCAGTAGACTTTTCCAGTAGACTCTTCCAGTAGACTCTTCCAGTACACTTTTCCAGTACACTTTTCATGTACACTTTTCAAGTAGTACTTTGTACTCAAATTTATCAAAACAAATCCTTTCTGGTAAAAGATCCATCACACTTTAAACGCCTATAACTTGGTCTAGAAACAATATTATGCTTAACTATTGATATCATTGAATAGAGAATATTTCAGGCTTTCAAATGATACCAAATAGAGCTTGATTGGATAATCAGGGCAAAAGAAATCAGCCCAAGAAAAAAGGCGATACAACACCAGGGGGCTCAGAGTTGTCTCCGATTTTCTTGAACGGATTACTGGACTCGATTATCCAATCAAGCTCTATTTGGTATCATTTGAAAGCTTAAAATGTCCTCTATTCAATTATATTAATAGTTAAGCATAATATTGTTTCTAGACAAAGTTATAGCCGTTTAAGAAGAACAGTGCACCTGTCCACTTTGTCACAAAAAGTCGACGAGTTTGTAAACGCATACCATTTAGCGCACAAGTTAGAACTAGAAGAAGTGCACTAGAAAGGATGCGTTTCCATAAATTGCATCACATTTGAGTATAAAGTACATAGAAGTCTTGTAAACGAACCATTATTTGAGCGATTCTCATCAACAGTGGCTGCTGGTGGCATTTCTCGTGTATGACGCTGAAATTTTTGAAATAAAAAATCAAATTGAACGATAATTATGTGTTTAAAGTGTAATAAGGAGCAAATAGAGTAGAATTTGAGCGAAAAATTGGGTAAACAGATTGATTTCCCCGCGGAACACATGAAATGAAAAGTGATAAAACGGGAAAAAGAGAAAATTTGGAATGGAACGCTTATCAAATGAAAAGGAAAAGTTTGAAATGATCAATTTTATCTAATTTCAAGTTTTACGAATCTAATGATCAATTCAAACTCGCTTAATGCTTTGTTGTTCTTGTTGTTAACATGTTGTCGTTGTTGTTGTTGTCGTTGTTCTTGTTCTTGTTTTTTTTTTTTTTTTTTTTTTTTTTTTTTTTTTTTTTTTTTTTTTTTTTTTTTTTTTTTTTTTTTTTTTTTTTTTTTTTTTTTTTTTGTTCTTGTTCTTGTTCTTGTTGTTGGTGTTGTCGTTGTTGTTCTTGTTGTTGTTGTTCTTGTTGTTGTTCTTGTTGTTGTTGTCGTTGTTCTTGTTGTCGTTGTCGTTGTTGTCGTCGTTCTTGTTCTTGTTCTTGTTCTTGTCGTTGTTGTTATTGTTAACAAATGAAAAACGCATCGGCTCACTAACTCAAAATGCTCGCCAGAAGAAGACGAGCGGCCTGGACAGCACTAGGAAGCATCAAAGAAGTCACAAAGATACTCAAGAATCACCAGAGCACTCGGGCACACCTCTTCGACAGCACCGTCCTCCTGGCACTCTGTTACGGGACAGAAATCTGGACTACGACACAGACCACCGAACGAGCCCTGAGAACGACGCATCGAGCCCTTGAAAGGAACCTCCTCTGGCATAACAGCTCGACCAAGACCTAAGAAGTACGGATATGCGCCAGCTCTCGGGACTTAGAGATCCAGTGGAAGTGATCGAGGGAAGAAGACTCAGATAGGCCGGCCACGTGGCCAGAAGAACAGACGACAGATGGACGATTCGGATCGATCACAGAATGGCTACCACGAGACTAGAAGAGGCCCAACAGAGGACCAGCAACGAGGTGGAGCACAAGAGTGGCAGAGACGGTCAGAGAAACGATGGCTAGCGTGCAACCACCACTAGCACAAGCAAGTCGAAGACTTCGAACCAGGAACAATCAAGGAAATACGGGATGACAATAGCAAGGGATCGAGAAATGTAGAAGCAGGAGCTGGGCAAAATAGGAACACCTAAGTGCGAAGACAGATCAAAAAAAGATAACATTAAGTATGCCAAGATAGAGTTAGTTTCGATCCTTTGTGTACTTTTTGATTAAATCTTGCAAACACACCTTTCCTAGTACACTCAAATACGATAGAAAGAAGAAAAAATAAGCTTTAGACTTTCGAAAACTTTAAAATCAACAATTTCAAACTTTCAAAAACTCAATTTAATTCGATTTTTTCGTAAAGAAAACTGTCACTTTCAATAATCGTTTTTGAAGTGAAAAGAATCAAAAAAAAAGAACAGTAACAACCGCTAAAAATAATTTAAAAAGCGATTTTATGGAAAAATTTCTGTTCTAGATATTGGAAAATGGCAGCTTTCAATGCGAAAAGGGAAAAAAAACGATGTTTGTAAATTCCCCAGCCACCCAGCCATAAATATCGATTGAAAGGAGGGGTTTTGATGACAAAAAAAATTGGAGAATATTAACTAGGAAATAGATTTGAATAGATCTAAAGCTTTAGAGAAGAAATTTTTGTGAAAAACATTTTTCTCAAAAACTTTCTGGACAACTCTAAGGCAGATAATTCAAAAGTTGGGTAATATTGGGTTGGGGAGAATGAGTCGGCGCCGAAAATGAAAAAAAAATGTCTAAAACTTCTATTCGACTTCGTCAAATAATATGCGTTTGATATCAGCAGAAAGAACTTTTATACGTGATTCGCCAAGTCTTTCTCTATTGATTGGTACAAAAACTATTTAAATTGAACAGTCCAACACCAAGAAATTCGAGCTCAAAGTTGGATTGCCAATGGCAAAAGGGGCGGGGCTTATCAGACGTCCGATAACCCTTTTATACTTGCCCCGCGTTCTTTGTCATTGGCAATCTAACTTTGAGCTCAAATTTCTTGGTGTTGGGTTGTCCAATTTAAATCGCTTTTGTATCAATCGATAGAGAAAGACTTGGCGAATCCGATATTAGCAATAATATGTAGATTGAACAGCCCAACACCAAGAAATTGGAGTTTAAAGTTGGATTGCCAATGGCAAAGGAGGCGGGGCACGTATAAAAGGTCTTTCTAGCTTTTGTTGTCTTAGTTTTTGTACCAATCAATAGAGAAAGACTTGGCGAATCCAATGATCCCAAGAATCTGTCAATTGAACAGCCCAACACCAAGAAACTTGTGCTCAAAATTAGATTGGCAAAAGGGGTGGGAGCAGAAAGATCTTTTATACGTGATTCGCCAAGTCTTTCTCTATTGATTGGTACAAAAACTATTTAAATTGAACGGCCCAACACCAAGAAATTTGAGTTTAAAGTTAGATTGCCAATGGCAAAGCGGCAGAGCACGTATAAAAGGTTTTTCTGGCTTTTTCCAATCTAGCTTTGAGCTGAAATTTCTTGGTGTATTCAATCGTCAAATTTTGGTAACATTTCTTCATCAAATGATGTCAAAATTGGGCTAATCAGATCGAAAAACGACAGTTTGAATATATTGGGTTGGGGAGAATGAGTCGGCGCCGAAAATGAAAAAAAATGTCTAAAACTTCTATTCGACTTCGTCAAATAATAATTTGATATGAGTAGAATGGTTAACTAATTCTCTACAAAATCACATTTAAAAGAAAATTCAAACAGCGCCTCCGCTCAAGAAAAAGCCATTTTTTCACAAAAACTACAAACTGTGATCTAGAAAAAACCATTGGTGGGATCTTCCTGCAAATTTGGCAACTTAAGTAATTCAATGTGCTCTATCTTTTTTATATAAACACCAAAGAAGGTTTATGTGAAAGAAACTGTTCAAATGATGAGTCGGACTCTTTGCCATTTTAACCAGCTGCGTTTCGAAGTTCATAAACTCCACGAAAGAAAAGCTTTGTGGAATCTCTCAAAAGTGATTTTGTAGAGAAATAGTGGATCCTTTTGAATGAAACCAAACGTATGTTTAAAGAAGGCTTTATGTGTGCAAAAAGTCCCTTTAAAGTTCGGCGCCGACTCATTCTCCCCAACCCAATAGAACCGGATAAACGAAATCTCTACACTTAAATGCACCAGAAGTGTTCGACTACACGATTGTACGAGACGGTGGTGTTCGATTAAAGTATTTATTAAATCGGATAAATGTCACGGGATACCTCACCGTCACGGGCGTACAATCGCGTAGTCGAACTTTGAATTTCCCGTTCTCCGCGCTGCTTTATCCTACAATGTTCGTTTTGGTGTCAAATGAAAGCTGAAATTCAGGGCTATTTTTTGATACTAAACATGTATTTTTAGAACTTATTGGCGCTTAGAAAAAGATGATTTAGTAAAACTCTTTTCTCGACTACGCAACTGTACGGGGGAAGGGGCGCTACGATTAGAGAACTTTGAATGTCCCGTTCTCCGCGCTGCTTTATGCTACAGTGTTCGTTTTGGTGTCAAATGATAGCTCTTGTAATCTAGTATTTTTTGATATCAAAAGTATGTTCCAGTAAAATGTAGAAGCTGAGAAAAAACTGATTTTCTGAAAGAAGAAAGAAAAAGAAGCTAGACTACACGATTGTACGAGGCGGTGGTGTTCTATTAACGTATTTATTAATCGGGTAAACGAAATCTCTACAACTTAAATGCATCAGAAGCGTGTGCGAGCGTCAATTGATTGAAGACGCGAACGGAAATGAGTCTAACAGTGAAACAAAAGCCCGGGTTGCACAGGTAAATTCTATTTTCGAATTCAAAGCTTTTTCTCTTCAAAAACTAAGTAAAATAAGTGTTTATCGTCAAAAAAAACTGAAATTTGTTGGAAACGAGCCACTCAAATGGGTCAATTTTGTGGCCGATTTGCTCGTTTCCTCAATAAATTCCCCCAAAAAAAAACCGAGCAATAAAAAGGCGAAAAATCGACGGACAAATGAAAAAGAGTGAAAAAAAGAAAAAGAACAAGGAAAATGAGGTCAATTGATTGAAAAGGGGAAAAGGAAAGCACTTTATGAAAAGAAAGGATAAATCTAATACCGTAAACACTCTAATAGAACGTCATGACGAGCAAATTTGATGATTTTTGCATCAAAATGTTCGTAAGAGTCTCTAGAATAACATGTATCACTTCGTTTTTGGTTTTAGACCCTCGTTGTCGAGTTACGAGCCACAAAATGCTGAGTACCACAAAATTTCTCATACAAAGTGACCAAAAAAAACCGCTAAAACTAAATTTGAAAAATTTCTGTCAGAGGGATTTGAAAAATTCCTTCAGATTCGGAATCAGCACAATTTTCCGCATTCAAAAAAAGGGACTGCCAGAACAAATCCAATAGAAAACGAGGAATTTAGACGGAATCCTTCGCAGAGGCTCAACACTCAAATCCCCCACAAGATCTCATCGTTAGCTACATTTTCCGACCCCACATCGATAGGTTCTGATAAGCGGTTCTCGAGATTTCGAGGAATTTAGGGAACGCTCTGGGTGCACTATTATTAGAGAAAATACGGTAAATGGATTCAAAAATCTATGAGATATCTAGCCAAAGATATTTCAACCAGACCTGTGAGCCAGGTTCTAGCAGGGACTTTATCCAAGCCAAGCCAATAATAAGGCAAATAATACCGTATTCTCTCTAATAGTAGTGCACCGGGCCGAGCTGAGTTGATGACTATTTTACCATTCCCAAGCTTTTGCAGAAGCTCAACACTCAAATCCCCCACTAGATCTCATCGTCAGCTACATTTTCCGACCTCACATCGATAGGTTCTGATAAGCGGTTCTCGAGATTTCGAAGAATTTAGTCGAAGCGGCGCACATAGGAAAAACGGTATATTCCCTTGCAAATA